GTCAAGCTCCGCGACGCCGGCTACCGCGGCATCCTCGCGGGAACGCGCAAGACCACCCCCGGATTCCGCCTGGTGGAGAAGTACGGCATGCTGGTCGGGGGCGCCGACGCCCACAGGCACGACCTCAGCTCCATGGTCATGCTCAAGGACAACCACGTCTGGAGCCGCGGGAGCATCACCGACGCCGTGCGGGCCGCCAAGGCCGTCGCCGGGTTCAGCGTCAAGGTCGAGGTCGAGGTGCAGAGCGAGGCCGAGGCGGACGAGGCCATCGCCGCCGGGGCCGACGTGGTGATGCTGGACAACTTCACGGGCGATGGCGTCAAGGTGGCCGCGAACAGTCTGAAGACGAGATGGCAGGGGAAGCACCACTTCCTGCTCGAGGTGTCTGGCGGCTTGAGGGCCGACAACGTGGAGCCATATGTGTGCAATGGTGAGTTCTAGCGATCACTGCTACGATATACTTTGGATACTGACGGTTTATTGAACAGATGTTGATATCATCTCAACCAGCTCCATCCATCAGGGTGTACCTCATATTGACTTTTCGCTAAAAATTGAGCACTGAGAAAAGGGATCAGATTATCAATCGTAGACAGAGGAGGCCTCTTGTATCATGACTCGTTCATTTCGGTGTGGTAGACAGAACAACACACGGATTGTTCGGAATAGACATTGCAAAGCTATACTTCAGCCACTTCCATCATATACGATATCTAAGCGGTTGGTCATCTGAAGAAGCATCCAGGTGGCTAGCTGAGCATATGATCATTGGTCAGATGATGCCGATTCGGAGATTGGCGCTGTCAGATGGCCAGGTGCAGGGTAGACACTATTGACGGGATGGATGGAAAGCGAGACACACCGGCAGTGATTGGAGGAATGTCAATGAATAATGACGGGTAAATCACCGATAGAACCATAGCTTATTTTGGGCTCATTCACTCATAAACTACGTCACTTGTCCACGGTACCCCAGATCGTGTTGGAGTACACCGACGGCAGGCGGTCTGTCTTACGGCCTAGCAGGTACCGGCCTAATAACCTAGCGATGAGGTGCTTGGAAGGATCTAAGCGAATTAGTAATGTGACTTAGACGAATCGCTTGGAATGTGAAGACGGCCGTGGTTCTTGCCCAGAATGTGCAATCTCTCCCGGGGCTTACTTCACCCACCCAAAGTACCTGTGAATGATGGTACCAACAGCATCATGCCAGCAGGTAGGGATAGTACCTCTTTGAGATATAATTATCTTCGTCTAATTTGTATGCAACCCTGCACGCCCTGAGGGGGGAGGAATGCAACAGATGCAGACGCAGGTGCTGATGCAACGTCCTCCACCCCGGCCTAGGATTGAGTCAGTCGGAGTCAAACCAGCCAGCGACCAACGGGCACGGGCTGGAGCTGTGATTGATCGATTTTGTCATCGTAGTAGGCAGCGGGCGCGGCAGAGGCAACAGGAGCAGCAGCACTAGCCGCACCTCGCGCGCCTCAGACGCTGTTCGCTCTTCTCGCAAATCTCCGACCTCTCCGATGGGCCACCCACCTTTGCTTACCGCCCGTGATCCCCATTTCTTTTTTTCTTTGCTCCCGCGCCCTCTGATCCTGACTCTTGATTCACTCGTTTGTCCGTGATGCTCTGCTTCTGATCCCTTTGTCCTGTCAAGCATAGATCCCCTACGACCCTCCCCGCCCCCCTCGTGCTCGCCCTCATCTCGAGATCTGCTGGGTGCTGGCCAATCACCCACTGCGCGATCCCCCACCCTGATACCCTCCCGGCGAAACCCTTCCATTCGATCAGATTCAGATTCAGATTCAATCTGCCCCAAGTAAACCAAATCAACCATGACCCACGGCACGGCGACGGCTCATCCCCATGTCTCGCGGGTCGCATCGCACACCTCGCACACCTCGCACGCCTCGCACGCCGGCGCCGAGTTTGCCTACCCTCACGGCCATCTCGGTGCCTTGAGCGAACGTGAGGAGGAGGCATTGGCCAAATTCAAGGTCTTGCTGGAGGAGAAGGGATACTGGAAGCCAGGCCCCCCGCCGTCGCATGATGACGCAACCCTGCTGTGCGTACCTTTCGCTTGATTGTATTGCGCTCCAATTGACTCGCCCCGAGCTGTTGTCTTACCGTTACCCCCGTTGTTGCTGCGCTACCCAGCTTTCTTTCTCGAGGTTGAACTCTATTCACTAACACGCTTTTTGCTATCTGCAGCCGTTTCTTGCGCGCCCGTAGGTGGGTGCCAGAAGATGCCTTTGGCCAATTCAAGGACACCGAGGATTGGCGCCAAGGCAACGATGTGGATGTGCTCTACAGTACTATCGACCTCGAGGCCTACGAGCAGTGCCGTCGCCTTGTTCGTGGACCCTGTGACCCTCTCGCGCGCTGGTTAGTAAGACTAATGGAAACAATAATAGTACCCTCAATGGACAGGCCGACGCGACCGCCGTGGTATTCCCCTCTACGTGTTCCAGGTTAAGAACCTGGACCACAAGACCGTCTCCGAGTACGAGAAGCACGGTGCCAACAACACATTCTCCGAGGCCAAGACGGACGGCAAGACGCCGCCTAACCTGCTCCGCCTGTTCGCCCTCTACGAGAACCTGACCCGATTCGCCATGCCCCTGTGCACCGAGCTCAAGGACCGCGAGCACGCCGAGGCCCCCATCACCATGAGCACCAACATTGTCGACATCTCCGGTGTCGGCCTCAAGCAGTTCTGGAACCTCAAGAACCACATGCAGGCTGCCTCCCAGCTGGCCACCGCCCACTACCCCGAGACCCTGGACCGCATCTTCATCATCGGCGCGCCCTACTTCTTCAGCACCGTCTGGGGATGGATCAAGCGCTGGTTCGACCCCATCACCGTGTCCAAGATCTTCGTCCTCAGCCACAGCGAGGTCAAGCCCACCCTCGAGAGCTTCATCGAGCCCCGAAACATCCCTAAGAAGTACGGCGGCGAGCTGGACTACACATTTGGCGAGCTGAGCGTGGCCGACCCCCACTGGGACGGCGTCATCACATGGGAGAACGGCTACAAGTCGTTCCCTGGTGGACCCCTCCTCTGGGAGGACAGCGAGGACGGGAAGTCCATGACCTGCTATGGCCTGGGTGTGAAGGACGGTAAGAAGAGGAAGGAGAAGATCTGCACCTTGCCCAAGACGTATGAGGCACCCGCCCCGAAGCCGACAACCAATGGAGTCGCCAAGGAGACCGAGGAGAAGACGGAAGAAGCCAAGCCTGTTGAGACGGTGACCAACGGAGAGGCTTTGGAGAAGCTCAAGATCAACGACGAGAAGAAGGCCGAGGCTGCGAGCGAAGTGCCTCAGGCCCAGACTGTCACCGCTGCCTGAAGTTGACGAGCGCCAGCAGCCGGGTTGGCCGCCTCGACCGGCACCAACCCACCTATCACCACGAAATTCGACTCTACATAACCATGAATTAGCAAATACCCACGTTTTCATCAAGGCGCCAGAGGAATCCCCTGCAGAAGTTGATCTCGGCTGAGGAGAGAGAAAGGGGAAAAGGGAAAGAGGAGGAAATATGCATGCACAACCGTTATCCATCAGCAATTATTAGTTTGCATAGATCTATAGAAACATCGGATACCTCGCACATGTCGCGGCCAAGGATCGTCTGATCACTTGCCGTCTAATCTCAAATATATTCTTTATTCCAACAGGCATTCTTTCTTCCAGTTCCCTCTAGTATTAAAACAGCTCCGCTGACAGAGGAGATTTAACATGATGGAGTCAAACCACCCCGTGAAATCAAAATCGCATGCCATTGATGTCAACCCCCTCCTTACTGCTCTTGCTGCTGGCCGTCACCATGCCCCCTCCTCCGCCTCCACTCCTGGATCCCGTCCGCGACGGCCCCCCACGACACCCCCTCGCTGACGAGGTGCATCGTGACCCCCAGCGTCTCCGTGTCCCGGTTCCGCGTCTCGTCGTCGAAGAAGAGCATGTCCTCGTACGCGACGCCCGTCCTCCGCTGCAGCGCCTCCATGTGCCGCACCTTGGACCCCGGGTAGATCTCCGTCCCGCCGTCGAAGGCGTCGAGGGCCCGGCGCTGCCTGCTCTCGGCTCCCAAAGGAAGGTGGAGCAGCTTGAGCAGGTCGCGGGCGAGAGAGGGCGCCGAGGTGCGCGAGGCGACGGCGAGCTTGGGGCGGTGGGCGGTCCCCAGGTGCGGGAGGGCGTGGAGGATGGGGGCGACGTCGGGGTAGAATGCGAAGGACTCGCCGAGGCGGTCTGTGGCGGAGGAGGGGTTCTGGGAGGAGGTTGGCTTGAGGGGCGGGGAGACGTGGCAGTCGACCCAGAAGGGCCAGAGGGTGTAGTCGAGGTCGAAGATGATGAGCTTTGGGAGGGGCAGGGTCGGGTCGCGGAGGGAAGGGGGGAGGGATTCGAGGGTTGCGGGGAGGGAGGCCGCGGTCGTTCCTGGTGCGGAGGCGCGGGAGAGGCGCCGGGGCATCGTGAGGGAGGACTGTCTGTTTTGTGTGTTGAGATGATGTTGGTTGGTTTGTTTATTGGCGAGATGATCTGGTTTGTCTTTGTTTGGTGGGGGTTTCGTGGTACAATTGCGACGAGGTGGGGGATAAGCGATTGGCGATTGGGACTTTGGCAGGGGTGTTGATCAGTGCATGGAACATCATCAATAGCGGCAGCTTTCAGCTACTTTTATATCTATGATGGGTTTATTGGCTGCCTGCAGGAAATAGGCAGCAGTAAAGGACTCGTGCTAGTTGATAAATGTTGTGTGGGACAAGGACTGATGCCTAATCAATCATCAAGGTCCGAACACTCATCAAGACTCGCTTTTACGAAGGTGTTCTGGGTACATGTAGGTAGCATAGCCAGACTTACAGTGTTGATAGCATAAAACGCAATACCGGACTTGGAACGCCCTTTGCTGGGCGCAAAATCTACTTAAAAACAGTGTCGATATGATTTTATGGACAGATGACCGAGAGAATGCCACAGCTCTCTAGCTGGCTGGGTGGATGACGTCTTGAAAACCGAAAGGTTTAGAAAGGAAAGAATTCAAGAATCAAAGCTTCAAGAACACAGGCTTAAAGAATAATCGATGTCTCAAAACGAACGCTTTGTAGTGATCAAAGTGGCAGCGTGTATCCTACTATCCCACCACAAGGTATCAGAGAGAAGGGTATATGGCCCGCAAGTTCTGAGAATACCAGGAGCAAATTAACCCAGAGTGTCATAGACTATAACATTGATACCGTCTACCTCACAGCAATAGCTGCGTAAGTTGTGAGATAATGGCCCTGGAAAAGATGAGGGGTGGGTTCAACTCCTGGAATATTGTTCTCGAGTTGGGACAAGGCAAAAAGTAAACCTCATATTAACCAGAAAAGCTTTTCAGCTCTTACACCTCAATCTTGCTCTCATCACTTTGTTATCTGCTTGTATCATCCCCTTCTTGTGCTCCAGGTTGGTGGTAAGTCCATAAGGGCTACCTGATCCTCATTGCTCTGCTCGGATCGATCACTTCTATCCACTTCGTCCAGCCCATCCACTAGTTCCCATCTGCCCTCGGTCGTTGCGGATAAGGCGGCAAACCTAGTATTTGCCGTTTTCTCAATTTCCGAAAGTTCATATTTGCTCCCTTGACCTTGAGATTCTGGATTGAAACACAGGGCAGGGAGTAAAGAGCTCTTCCAAAGCGGTTCGCGACCGCGTTGAACAACGGACCGAGTTACAGCATGGATTAAGAATCCTATTGTCATAAGCAGAAGCAAAGCAGGACCAAGAAGCCAAGGCCATTGAAATCTTGTACAGATTGTAGTGTAGTGCACATCGCCTTCGATGAACCCGCCGGGATGATTAGGCCCGGGTAGTTCACCCAATAAGACCTGGAAATGCCTCGTTGCTGCTATTTCAAGCATACGGTTACTGATTGCGGTAGCGACTTCGCTCATGGTCTGGGAAGTCCAAAAAAAAGACGCAAGACCGTTGTTGAACAGGCCATAAAGATTCCACGGATTGCATCGAAGAAGGTCGATCCGAAGTGATAAGCTAGGAGGGCCTTGCGAATGGATCGGGTAGCTGCAAACGCCTTCCATCATCGTCAATGCGAGTCTAATGGCATATTTTCTCTCAGCTCTCACGTATGCGGTACAATTTGCGCTCCAGGGAATATCCACGATTTCGGTTCCTGGTCCACGCAACTCAACCTGAACTGATTCGTTGCTAACAGATTTGGTTTTTGCGAATGTGAGATCCAAAGTTTCAGAACCAATGTCACAAACTGGCTTCCAGACGTGAATATTTCCATACAGGCCGGTGTCGGCAGGGTGATAAAACCTAGGACTGTCGGTGATGAGTGTTTCGGTTAATAGACCGTTCTTTACGTCAACTTGATGATGCCTCATGCAAAAATAAAACGTGCAAGCTGCCGCGTAGACGTTAAAGTTTGGTATCGACTTTTCTTCGATTGCAGGGGGCCGATCACAATTTGTAACCGCTGCAGTGCTATTTTCAATTTGGCAACCGTCTGATGTCAAACCAAGAAACGTGTGGTTGGTGATGGATGCCCTGAAAACGTCTCGTAAATCATCATCAAAATCAGCTCGTGCCCATTCCAGGTCCTTCGAAGGCCTTGAGGAAATGGCAATGGTGCTTGTATCCATTTTATCAAATCCAACAATTAGCGGCAACCTTTCTTGGGGCAGCATGACTCTAACTGAGGCGTCTGATCTGACATAGCCCGTAGCGTTAATACACCGCGAACAAATACCCAGTGTTGAAAGGGCAATATCCCCACGGACGGCAGGAAATGAACAGTTGCCCGTGAAACAACGTGAAAGCAGTGACTTCGAGCTTGCTGAGATACTGTTCGAGGATGCACGAACAATGGCCTCTGAATAATCCGGGTCTGCCCTCTGGAGGGAGGCTGCATCTTTGCCATTTTCGGATATTCGAAAGTCGCCCCAGGTATAAGGGATGGCAGCTGTAGCGCCAGGAACAATCTTGATGCAAGATTTGGTACTGGATGCCTGCTGCGTAAATGGTCCAATACCCAGAGATAGCACCACGATGAGGCATCCAACGTAGATGTAAGAGCTGGAACTTCTAATCAGTTTTGCCTCTGCACCGAAAGAAGCCAGAGGAAGAGACTCACAACCATGCGCGGAGCCGAGCTGGAAGTATGATTGAACCCCAGAGCCCTCTGCTAGCTTGATCGATGAAGTTTAGGTGACTTATTGGTCGAGGCGTGAGCTGCCAGATCCATTTATGCTGGCTAATGACTATTTGAATTGATCAGATACGGATGGAATTTGCCGTGATCGTTCTGCCTTACCTTCTTCAGCGATAGTAAGAATGTGGGCTCTAAGCAACGCTGACAGCAGAGCTATCAACGTGTTTAGACTCATTCCAGACAGCGACCAGCCTGCCACTTCTTGATCATGGTTGTGGTATAAAACTCCGAATATTGCTCCCAGGAGACCGCATGACATGAAGACAACCATAAACTCCAAACGCCATTGCCAGAGAACCGGGAGTACATCGCTTTGGTCTCTATGACCGGAAAAGACCTTTGCCAATCTGCTCGCCTTCGCCTTGGTTGTCAAGCCGGATACAAGTTTCATTTCGACGCAGGCCGGTGACCGGTGCTTTTTCTTACACAAAGCTCCTCAGTGAATTATCAAATATGATGCCCTTATGGCAAATAACAGGGGACAAACAATCAAGCCTTGTAGTTAGGATATATGAAGAGGGAAAGGCAAGAGGTGTGGGAAGAAGAAGCGCCAATTGAGCTTGTATCTCTTCTGCCACCTTGCAGATAAACACCATATGCTGGCTCATGGAGTGTTCAGCTTGTACAAAGGCCCTGATCCCAGCCCCTAAATAATCATTCGAGATGAATGCTAGGGACTACGCTTGACCCAAATCACAGTCCTCGCATTGGTTTATGATGAGCTGCGCATAAACCTTGCCAATGTGCGGTCATACGCTGTGCAACTGCTTACACTAGGGGAGTTTTTTTTTTAAGAGGCTAGTAGCTCAATATCTCTTGGTTATTGAAGAAAGAGTTCAACGAAAGCTTTCACTGTATCACATTTTATTCCTCTTCCAGCGGTGCTGTACTCTTTGGCTTTTGTGATCCCCGAGAGTTGCACGACGCTGGAGGCTTTTGTTGGAAGCCGGACCTCTTCCCCCTGGCGAATTGAAATGCGTGCTTACATCCTGTGATATACCTTGTATAAAATCCACATACAGTTTTAGCTGGAGGTCCATAGTTGATCAGGTCACAGTATTTGCGTGACGACATAAGTTAACTAAGTCAGGCGCGTGACATTAACCTTGACCTGGCCTGATAGCCAAGCAGCGGATCTCTCGCCCACGGACAGTATTAGGTGGTAAGTGAAGCATATTTTTACCTAATGTGTGGCGATTAAGCTGCTGTTGTGCTCATTTAGTTCCTCTGAACACAATTGAGATGACCATGGGCATCACTGTGACCATCCTTTCCAGTAGACTGAAAACCATGGATATAGCATTGCGCCAAACTTAGGTATAGAATGAATCTAAAACCCTTTTCCAGTAATTTCACGAAAGATTAAACGTTATTTCTCTTCTTACTGGCTTCTCATCTCTGCACGGGTTATCATTTGAGCTGAAAGCGTTCCTTGGAGGCCTGACCAGGCCACGGACTACCTGGTACTCCCTCCGAAGAGTGGTGCCGCACATGTGCGAACTTACGTTGCAGGCCCCGGGTTTGACAACCTGTCCATCGACATACCAGTGTCCCAGGTCATGATGGTATGTGGTCTTAGTCTGTTGACCCATGCGGAGGCGAACGTTGGGAGCAGTGCAGTATGGCGGAGGGGGCCTCTCAACTAGCTAGCCGATGAGGAGAAGATAGATCTCGGCGAGGTGCCTAAAGTGGCGGCTCTGCTCGACCACACAAATCAAATCTGACGCCTGGCTGTACGCTGCAGCGCTGCAGGGGTGGATCTTGAGGTATTCCAGGGTCTCAAGGAGGCAAGCAACCAGCCTCAGGGCGTTATCAAGTTCGAGAAGCATATGTATATTCTCGTTGTTTTCTGGCTCAGCTGCGCAATGCATGCCTACTGTGAGCTCTGAGCGCGACAATCTTGTGGAGCCCCGCGCCGATACACAGGATGTCGTTGACCCGGTATCTCCAGGTGGTAGAACGTTGTGAGAGGCTTGAGGACGGCTTGGATGGATGGTGTGCCTGCAAGGTATGAGTAGACCTTATTCAGGATCTCAGGTGGCAGGCCCGACAGAGAGGGGCTACACGCTGGGCCGCGTCTTGACATTGTATCATTTGCTTCTCCTGTTGCCTAGGATAGACAGGCAAGATGCCATCGAGAACTTATATGTGGGCTCAAAACAAGGTGCAGCTAAGCAAAGGGTTATTTAGCCTAGAGTAGTAGACATCAAGGTAGGATCCTATAAGATAGTTAATGATGAAAATCTCTCACCGGTCAGTTTCTCGTTTCCGAGTCGTGGCTCTTGATTTCTTGATTCCTTGCCCCTTTCATAGTACTGTTGGCTGCGTATCTGGCGTTGGTCACTCGACTATTAATAGAGAAATTCGCGTGCTCGCGGCACCGACGATCAACGAATGCAATATGCAGTCCAATATGCCCATAGATCCCATAAATCCCCCCTTTAGAGCATAATACTGAACGGGGGTCTTTGCTGGGCACCGTGGCAAGCGACTGACATAAAGCATAGCACACCTGGAATCTCTAACGTTGAATTTCAACACAGTATGAAAACAATTAAGCTAGCAATAAATATAATATTGAGCTAAATAATACAGAATAATATAGAATAATTTGTTGTTATCTTATTAATGTGTTAATGAGGTCCTTGCGATATATGCCATATTTCATTTCGGCTACTTAGGGGGTACTGCCCTTTGTGGGTGGGAACCTTGGCCGGACCCTTTGTGACAAAATGAATGTGCGAATGTCCGCTCTTAATTTTTAATCAGAAGAAAACAAGTATGGTTTGTTATAGTAGAGAAGTGCCTTGCCATCAAATCAGATTTGCAAATAGCAACATAGTACACGCCAATGATCTAGGCCCTCGTTCGCTGAATCAAGTGTACTTGGGTTTTGCGTGGCTCCCTGAACTTCAAATTAGAAACCATGAATTATTGGCAAGCGGTGGGCAGAGTGAGAGATGAAAAAGTAGTCTAGATCGTAGATGTCTATCTACGTACCGAAAGATTCCTGAAACCTTCACAATACACTACCCTTTAAACCTATGGGCACACTCACAAACAGCCCGGCTGCTGAGCGGCAAGTTCACCTTATCCAAATACCATTTACAGAATCCGCAGCGGCGACAAGGCCAGAGGACCCGAGTCCGACCTGCCACCACCATCACCACTACCATCCCTTCGACGGACAGCTCCGGCACCGACCACTGTCCTGTTCCCGGGCTTGAAGACAGAGCATCCGACATCCCAAGGTCCACAATCCTCCTTGCAGATCCGTTCGCCATCGGGCACGACGCCCTGGTCGAAGAAATCCCGAATGGTTTCGTCGCGACACCGGCTGGGCGCCGAGTTGAACGCCGTGTGCCCGCTGGACTCCTGGATTAGCAACCCGGCACCGGCATGCCGCCTCTGCATGTTTCGCGCCGAGGCCAAGGGCGAGACGGGGTCCAGCCGCGTGCTGATGAAGAGCATGGGCGCCGCGGGCCGGTCCCTGGCCAGCGCGGCCGTGGCGGGGGGCGACCTGAAGGGTCCCGTGAAGCGGTTCTTGGGCCGGACGGGCCAGCTGGAGCAGGCGAACTGGATCTGGGCGACGGAGAAGCCGAACCACTTTGAGGTGGATGCCATCTTGTCCGCGTAGGCTGTCCAGTAGTCGAGGTCTTTGCCTGTGAGGTCGTCGGCGTCCAGGCAGTAGACGGCAGCGAGGGTGTCGAGCGAGTTGTCCATGGAGATGGGCGCCTTGCATTCTTGGTCGAGGGGAGGGTATTCGCCCATCTGGGCGATGGCTTCTAGGAGCAATGTGTAGTTGCCTTGCATCGCGGAGGCCAAGGTCAGGTCGAACACCTCGTAGCTGGGTACGGGGTTATATGCAATTGTGCCGAACAAAAGGCGGAAGTCATGCCCTGTGATCACAGCTCTGCGGCCGTCAGACATGACAGCTCCGATGGGTTCGCGGTCGAGGCCCTCGATGAATGACTCGGCGCGGGCTTCGATCTCGCTGGCGCACTTATCCCCCTCTTTATACAACGCACATCTGGTTTTCGCTTTGAGGCAGAGGTCGAAGAAATGATCTGCACAGTTGTCCATGTTTGCCGTTGATGTGAGCCAGCCCTATACACACATGTTAGATTTTCCACAACGGTGAATGACTTTGAGAAAGATCACTCGAGCAATTCAGGGTGGAGTACTTACAGGAGTGGCTATATAATCCTCCATATCTACCACGCCATCAACGGCAATACGTCCAACATTCCCAGGATAGCGAGAGGCAAACATCTGGCCGATGACAGTCCCATATGAGAATCCATAGAACTGCAGCCGGGCATCAGTCGTGTTGTGGGAAGTCATGTTCCCACGGCGAGGAATCTCGACGAGCTCAACCATATGCTTCAAATCATCCACCACGTCGACTGTGCCAAGGTAGGGGAGGATATCCAGACCATGGTCCATCTCCCACTTACACTTGAGGCCGATGCCCTGAAATATACCCAAGGCGTAGGCCACAGAAGTGCGACCCATATCGAGCGCATGGTAGCCGCGACTCTCGAGATTATAGGAGCTGACATCGTACGGCCTGTGGAGACACTCAACCTTGGGAACGCTGTTACCGATCCCTCGGGGGTCCCAGCTGACGATCTCGTAGTGCCTCTTCCCGGGCTTATCGACGGTCTGTTGCAGATATTCGGCGGCCGACTGGATCATCAGCGTGCCCGAGTGGCCCGGGCCGCCGGGGTTGGCGAAGATGCTGCCGCCAAACGTAGGGTCGTCCTCGGGGACGACGGCGGGGAGCTTCTGTATGGCAAGGGTCATGAATCTCTCGTCCGACTTGTCCTGCCAGTTGTACGGCACCAGAAGGCGGGCGCATTCGAACTGCGTCATGCAGCTGTGCCATACCAGCTCCTTGCTAGGTGTGATGGTGGTCCAGTTGAAAACGGCTTGGCCAGCCGCGAGGGTCGCACCAGCGACAAGCACTGCCAGGTTTGGCTTCCGTAAGAGGAACATGGTTGTGGTTTTTTGTTCTTTCGAAATTGGAATTTCGCAAAGGTAACTATCTAGAGGAAAGCAGGAAGGTAATGGGCTCAATAAATATAAATAAATGAAGCCTAAGGTCAGGAGCTGTTCGCAAGCAGACTACAAAGGATTGTCTCTGAACTCACTTGGAATAGCTGTGAGCCGCGTAACGCATTACATAGACAAGTAACAATCCGAAACAAACAAAACTGAAAAGGAACTACAATCACTGAGTGTGACCGTATACCGGAAAACTCAGCTCTTCCGTCCATAACCCCCTTGTCAAGCAGCCTGCATGCAAGTAGCCTGCAGAGCGGAGAGCCACATCATCGCCCAGACGTTGGACAAAGCCACTGAGATGTTCCAGAAACTCGGTCATGTTGCTGTTCTTCTCAAAGAGCATACCAGAACAATGGACTTGTGTTCTTTCAGGTGTTAAAAAGTCTACGCAGGGGCCTCTTGACCGCGCCTCTGCCTCATCGCGCAATCTTAGTCACAGAACAGTTTGACTCGAACAAAACGAATGTGAATCTCACTTCATTTTCTACATAATAATCTGTACCAAAAATGAAATCCTAACTTTTCTGTGGCCTCAGTCCTCTATGACTCTTGGCCATGGACACCAGTTTCCTACTCCAAAAAGACTTTCCAAACATGTTACCAACAAGCACACAAAAAAAAGAACCTTGGCAGAGCCAAACAAAAACATCCAAACAAGTAACTCATTCAAGCCCAGGGGCCAGCTCAAGCCTTCTCGCTCTTCTGACCCGGCTGCTTGCATTTGCCCACGCAATCCTTGCAAATGAATTCCGACAGGTATCTGTCCTCATCATACTTGAACACCTTGTTTTTGCAGTCTTGTTTGCTATTGCCATTGTTCGGGTCCATCTTGTATTTCTTCACCATCATCCGATCAGGGTCCTCGTTGATGAACCAGTCCATGCACATCCCCGAGATGCGATAGTACTCGATCACCTCGAGGACGTGGCCGCCCGACTCCACGTTCTCGAACTTGTCGTCTTGGATGTCGGGATTAATTTGCTTGCACTCGATGTCGTTGCACAAGCACATCTTGACCTGGAGGCGGAAAGTACACATCGTGGCCGCTGGTGAGGTATGCAGATGATGATGAGTATCAAGACCAAGTGCTCAGAGGAGCGGCGGATCAGCCTGGCTTCTTATATAAACTCTTTTTCCTTTCGATACAAGCTGATTGATTAACGTTGGAACACGGTAGGCGCGAATAGATATATGAAAAGCGAATGAGGAATGCAGTAACGACTCTCTTCAAAAGCGGACAACTTGGATTTTATACCTGGACCTTTCATAGCATGGTCGTGAATCGGTGATTAGCCGCCAGCTATTCACTGTCTCTACCAACTCCTTAGATCGCATGGTCATGAAAGCCCTCGTGTGCGTGATGAACCAGGGAGGGAGAAGATACATAGTGTATGAAAGGGGGTGTCAACGGCATGTGAGCAAGAAACCTTGGAAATGGAGACGACCATTTATTTTCACAGCCTGGCTTGTTATCATATACTTGATGACACTTCTATGAGATGAGGGTAAAGGTGGTGGAGGTAGATTTGATATAAAACAAACAATTTTGGCACTATACATACCCAGCAAGCAAGTGTCTTCAGACAGCTAGATCGAAATAGTATTTATTCAAAGTTTAGATGCGTACATGCTAGCTTCGCCGATTCGAGGCTTGAGTGATTCTTTGCTGCTGTCCTGAAACACCTGGGCAAAGATCTTGTCCAGCCGTTGGAGCACCTCGTCACCTTTTTGTGCAACCTGATAGTGTAGCACGAGCCTCCCGCCCCATAATGAGAGCCCGAATTTTTCACCCAGCTCGATGAAACGCTTGACACTGCAGCCAGCCGCGTCGATGTCAAGCCAGACCATGTTGGTCTGAGCTGGGTGAACGAGCTCACCACCATAGCTTCTCCAGAGAGACTCGACCCTCTTCGCGAACGCGTGGGTATGCTTGAGCAGCCCATCACTTCCGTCTGGTTTTGTCCCAAAGGTCTTGTCAACGGCAACCCGAGCTGCTGCAGTGATCATTCCCGGCTGCCGGAGACCGCCCCCGATGGACTTGCGAACCCAACGGGAGTGTTTTATTGCTTCTTTTGTACCCACTAAAACACTCCCGACGGGCGCCCCGAGACCCTTGGAAAAGCAAAGACTGACAGTATCAAAATGTGAACAAAACTCAGGGAGCGAGCCTGCCCCTGCCGCTACAGCTTCCCAGAGCCGGGCACCATCGCAGTGGATCTTGATACCGTTCTCTCGTGCAAACTTTGAGATGCGGCGAACCTCATCCAACGGCATTATCATGCCATTCAGAGTGTTCTCAAGACTGATAAGCCTTGTCGGACAAGCGTGAACGTCGTCACTCAACACTACATTGGCTTGAATATCCTCGAGAGTGAGGTGGATACCATTGCTGGGAACGACAGTCTTGACCAAAGCGCCGCATAATACAGCAACGCTGTGCAATTTTGAATGAATAAGTTAGCCGGGAATGAATTTAACACCATAATCATTGAGGCTAGGAGAGGGGCAATAACCGTACCCGCCTGCTTCATATTGCACAATATGCGACCGGTGATCACACAGAACCCCGTGAGGTGGCTGGGTAAGGTTCGTACGCAACGCCAACTGATTGCCCATGGTTCCCGAAAGAACAAACAATCCTGCTTCTTTACCTGCCAGTGCCGCGCAGTGGGACTCGAGATCATTAGTAGAGGCATCCTCTTGGACAACGTCATCTCGCAAGGTGCAAGACTGTACCGCCGCGAGCATAGCCGGTGTCGGCGTCGTCATGGTGTCGCCTGGATGCCAATATCCATTAGAACTTCCAACTCTTCCGAAACGGAGAGGGGTCAAGAGGGGTTTGGGACTCTTGGAGTACTTCTCAAATCAAACGCCCCGGCTCCTTTGGAGCCCAGCCAAGTGTTGCGGCTCTTATCTTCGAGAGACATGACTACTCTTGATGTTGTGAATGCTCGAGTCGCAATTGATAGTTCACCAGCCCGTGATGGTCGCCATACAAAGCGAGATATCCGAGCCCATGGCGAGGAGCGCAACGCAAGCAGGCCCACCATGACTGTTGGGAACCTGGAGAAACGTTTGTCCTTCCAAAAGGCATGTTACCTGCCATAAACACCCCGACTAGACTCGAGAGCCGACGATGGTGGAGACGACCCATGCCACCCTTTACGAGGGGGCCTCAAAGCCGATTGTGGAGAAGGCTTAAAGCATCTAGCCGGTAGTAGTATTTTGAACTTCGCTTCTGCTTGGCCATTGTTACCCTGGGCGTAGCATTGGTATCGAGTGTAGTTCGACAGTACATAATCCTAAGAAGATGGTGTGGCGCATGTGCAAATGCTATTTCTCGGCCGACCTATAATGTCGTCTTCTGGCGGCGAATATGTATAAGGAAGAAATAATAGTGATCTGCTTTCGAGGCAGTCATTTGCTCACTCAGAACGAGTCAAGTGACTCCATTTGTTTTGCTGAACCACCGATCGGCCACACCTCCCTCGCGCTTCCATTCTGGGTGGATGGGGGGACTAGTCCAGTGGTAGTTTTCGCGTGAGGAATCAAGGTTCGGAGAGCAGCAAGCCGTTCTAGGAACAAGCGAGCTGAGGTTGGCTCTGAGATGGCGAGACCCAGTTGCACTCGGCATGATCAGCATCAAACTGGAAGTGGGCATCAGTGAGGGGCAGACACAAGTTGGCGGGGGAATTAGCACATTTCAGAATCGAATCTTACCACTTCGCTCGAAATCGACCGTGCGCTGTTTTCGGACGGGGCAAAAGAATATCTAGTGTGATTCACATGAAGCCGTCTTTGGTCGACGATTCGTCAAAGTCAATCGGCCAGCGCTCCAATGAAGAGCTTGCCTCCACTCTAGGGCAAATTGGACTCGAGCCGCGCTGCCAGAAACCCACTGCTGCTTAACAGCCGGATTACATATACAAGGAAGGAGAATGAAGCACATCCAAGTGCAGCGTCTTCCTTTAATTTCCAATTGCCTTGTCTGCGGCGATCCATTCGCTTCTGATCTGCTGGCAGCAACGACTACCGACGTGTTCCTGCCTGCGCATCAATGCCCGTTCCCTCCTTCCCCTCCTTCGCAAGGTCATCCCGTTTGGACGTCACCGGCCCACCTGGCTCGGTCTGTCTGTCAATCAGCACCAGCCCATCGTCGTCAGCCTTGCCTTGCCTTGCCTTGCCTTGCCTCGCTGTACGAGTGCTGGTAGACTGAACGCTTTGGGCAGCGTCGTTCACCAGTGCTTCCTCTCATTTTTCTACCACCTGTCTGGGCTGAGCGAGATGCATGTCTGCCCTGTTCTTGTTTTGCCTAGTACCTAACACTCGCACTTGCTCCTGCCCGATAGTAGGTACCCCAGTCGTGCCTGCCACTTTGCTGGACTCGCTCCCATTTGGAGGAACCAGCTTTTCACATTGTACCGGAGCCCCTAAAATTTCTTTCTTGGACAACCGGCAATGCCGCAAATAATGCGAGAACCCGCCACAACACAACTTCGTATACAAAATTACAGTCATCACAGCACGGAATGTCAGTCTCCAGGTCCCCCGGTGACTCGCCCAGGTTTGGCCGGTGAGATAGCTTTCGGCTGGGTCGCGCCGTTCCCTGCGCAATGCGTTGGCATGCTGCAACCAAAGGCAAAAAAGGAACCACCACCCTCCCTCCCCGGCAGTCCAATTTGCTCCCCTCTTTGTTCAATTGTTTAATAGCGATCTCGCTCCCTCGGGACCAGTGGACCGACAATTTGACCAGGGAGCAATTCACAATTAGACGCCAGCTTGCTTGCTGAACTACCGTATCCATCCGCCCACCCCCCAACACCTGGTTTGCACACACATACACGCACACACACACTCTCTCTCATGTACATACACGTACAAGGACACACACGCTCACACACTGGCACAGAACTGGCGGACAAGAGTAGGTAAGAAAAAAGAGCAAAGAGCGGACAAGACACAACACCCTAGTGCGACTACATCGGACGAGTGTTCGCTACCCAACTTGCGACAAGGCAGACGAGAGTGGAGAGAAGTCCAGCCAAGGACCGCTCGGGGCCAAATGCCTGTCCGTCTACCGCTACACGTACACAGACATCACCGCTGCTAGGCTGGCTGCAGGCAATAGTTACTCCCTACAGTACGTTCCTTGACCTCTGCGGATGCGTGCGCCCAGATGAGGATTTGCCAACTCATCAAAAGTGGTCCGTGTGTCGCCCTGAAATGGGAAGTCTCGACCTCAATCCTCTTCGCCGCCCACCCCCGACTCGATCTGTTTCATTTATTTCCTCGCCTTCTGCTCTCTCAGTCTTTTCTTCTACTCATTAAATTATCTGTTTATATTTCTGTGGTCCCCTTTTCGCCCAGAACCATTTCGTGCTCCGCAGCGACTCTACCTTGTGCCAAGGGAATCCCTTCATCCTCAGCCTCCCGCTTTATCCTTCTTTTACAACTTCCCCAAATCCAGGCCAAGCCTGTCCCGTTTGGGAAAACCCCCAGCATAGAATAAATGCAAAGGGATCTTCGGTCAGCGCTCTCTGCAATATGCATAGCATCATGCCAACGGAAATCCGTCGGTGAGACGAAGATATACATCTACTCTCACCTCTCTGTTGAGTCTCATATTTGACACACATTCGCTCTCTTGTTTCTCACATGGACCCTCCTTTCTCTGGACACGATAGCGGCTATCACACAACACCAGGCCTAAATGCTGTTATACACCTCGGGGAACATGTTTATTATGCCATAAAATCAGTGGAATACATGGCTGCATGCATCATCTTACCCACGACGACCATGACCTTCTCACCCAAACCGGGCCATCTTAGTACAAATGCCGATACCTGCTATCTGAAAGGGGGTAATTTAGACCTCGAGAAACGATCGGCTATCCCTTGCACCATCATCATATGCTCTGCCTACAAACTTATCTCTCTCAGGATTCGCAAACTCCCATCCTAGCCAGGACAGTTGGCAGCATATCTATGGAAGAGCCCTTGCTGTCCGAAACACCATGGATAATCACCTAACCCCGGATTTGAGTGTCATGACATTGCGAAAGAGAACAATGTATAAAGGCATGTTGACGCCATTCCATCGCCGATGAGGCCTTGCCGCAAACCTTGCGGCCTCTTGATGTTTATTCCGAGAGGGCACAACCCCGCCACTTCTCCAGGGCATATGGAGATATAGGTCACTTCAGCCCTCATTATCTTCAAATGCTGCTGCTTCCATTACTCAACGCGTCGACGTCGAGTGGCAGCCTCATGAACACGATTTTCACACGCAGTGCCTCTGGTAATTCATCGAGTGGCATATTTCATCAGGAAAGAAATTACGGCATCGAGGTTGGTCTCCTCTTTGGCACTTATGCCATAGCAGCAGACTTCACGACCTTGTATGCTTTTGAGATCGAGCTCATCGATTAGCTCATCAACCGACAGCTTCTGCGGCAGATCCGACTTGTTCCCCAACACTAACAAGGGGATATTGGCCAGAGTGTCATTCTCCATGAGTGCGTGGAGTTCATCCTTGGCCTGTGGGATCAATTCCACGTCCGCAATATCGACGATGAAGACGATGGCATTGACTCCGCGACAATACCTCTCCCACATAGTTCGGAACCGTGGTTGGCCGCCGATATCCCAGCATTTCAGTGTAACATGCCCACGTTGTACGCGCTTCATGTTGAAACCAACCGTCGGGATCGAGCTACACAACATTCCATGTCAGCTGTCAAGCTCCACATTGGGACCGTGGTGCAATAAGTTGCAGACCACATATGAGAGGCGAGTGGATGAGCTTAGAATGCTCCTGGAGGTAAACCTACTCTACTGTGAATTCTCCGCCCTATACCGAACCAACCGGTTAGCAGGCGACCTTTCGGCTGGGAGGGCCAATCATTTCAAAGATGACGATGCGAACTTACTGCTAGAACCCGAAGAAGGGATGTCTTGCCCGCATTCTGCAGGCCAACCATGGTTACTTCCATCTCTAGTGCCCTGGGAAATAATCCAGATTAGCATCGCCGAAATGGAAGGAGCGATATTGTGCATTTATCGTTGGGTAAGTCGTGGTCAAGGCGCAGAGGTACTAACCAGAATGTCCGCATCAACCAGTCGTACACTTTGCGAAATAACCCCGCCATGATGGAGGCTGAAGGCAATCGGGCCTTCGGTATATAAAAAATCGAGGGGGGTTCGGAAAGCTGCTGGATACAGGTTTTGATTGAGGCGGCAAGCTGTATCAGTTTGCGTGCATCAACGTTGCCCGGTTCGCTTCTGCGAGATCGACCATTCGGCGGCGCCCGGTTCGCTTCGGTTTGTTCCCAGGGAGCGGATGGTCGAAGGAGGAGGGAACGGCAGCTGCAGGTTGACGTGGGCAAGCACCACTCATCAAATACAACAAAAGTATGGATACGGGCGTCGTGCGATGATGGACATTAATGTGCAGATGTTGGAGCGGCACGCGCGGCGATGGGGGAGGAACCTTGAAGTGGGAAGTTAAGGTGAGTCTGGCTGGGTTGGGCAACGAATGGCCTGGAGAAGGTGTGCGGGAGTGCGACGCCTGGAGTGAGACGGTGACCCGTAGATGTAAACGCTGAGTAACGGATGTAGGGCTAGGAATCGGAGGGAGGCTCGTAGCGCGCACTGGAGAAGGGCGTGGTCGGGTTATGCAGGTCGTAGCCAGGTCGAGGAGATAGTAGATGAAAGACGAAGCAAGAGCAAGCAAGCAGCTTTGCATGGAACAAGATCGGCAGACGAGGGGCAGTTAGTCCACCCATGGACGCACGCACCAACTCAAACCTTGCGAGCGAGCTTGTGAGGTGAGAGCCTGAAAGAAGCCCGAGGGTGGCTTTTTTTTTTTGCTGGGCACCGCAGGCTTCCTTTCAGTGGGCACCTCACTCAACATGCGCTCCACGAAGAGCTGGCTGCTTGAGGTAATAGTAGTATGGATGTACCTCCGGTCCGTTGGTAGGGGTGGGCTGACGGCAGGTACTTCAATACCTGTGTACCCGGGCATTAATTGCGATCAAAGAAGGGAAGCCTCCATGCAGTGCTGTGAGCAGCTGCGGGAATCAAATCATGGCCCCTACCCCCACCAGGCCACCTGCGAAGAGGTCGACCCGACCTCCATGAAAACCCATACGATGAGCTTGAGCGGACATGCAGCACCCGCCCGAGACAAATCTGCGGACTAGTGGCCCATACGCCCACGCCTGCGATGCATCGGAGCAGCGACCGCGGCGATTCCTTGAGAGTCCCTGGCTAGCTAATGTGTGTGTTGCTGCAATACGCAGATATCCATGATACCAGCCATCGGTAGCTCGCGGTTTGATGCTCGCTAAGGCCCAGCTAGTCGCCGCCTAGGCTGGCTCCAATGTGATCAAATCACTTTGCACTACCAGGCAGGGCCTCCACTCATCAGGACCCCCATGATTACGCTAATTAGTCGTCTGAAGACTGCCTATCAATCAGCGAAATTCAACAGACGCAGTAGCAGACCGTCCCTGTCCTCCTTGCATATACATCCTCGTCAGGCAACTAGTGAGGCATGAAGGGAAAAAGCAAAGAGGGGCATAATCAATGGGTCGGCTAGAGGGAGCGAGCCGTGCCTTGCGACATGCTACATTATGGGCTTGCCTGAAGTTGGCAGCCAGACCTTGGTGGTACTGAATGCTCATGCGCGCCTCGCATGCTGTGCCCATCAATGGGGTGTGTAGTATCCAGACCCAACGAGCGAATGGATGATGGAGCGAGCGAGCGAGTTAAGTCCACGGGAGGCCAAGTGTGTGTGTGCGAGCCGGAGGAGTGTGTGTGGGCTTGATGGGAAAGCGTCGTCGTCTCATTGATAGTCTTGCCCATCCGGATGCCTGACGGACGCAGGGTTGGACTCTTGGTGCTACCCCGAGCTAACTAACCGGTCGATGCTCCCAGCATGGGGACGGACAATGCATACTACATGATTGCGTCTGGGTGAAGCCCGTTGGCCCACGCAAACCGATGCGAGGCCGCAGGTTGCAATGATGAATTACATTCGCTGGACCAGCCACCTCTAGCGTATCCTTTGCTGCAGCGTTACACCCTGAACCGCCTAGAGCGGGTCACCAGATCTGCCGTTGTTGGAAAGGAGCGCTGCAGCAGCGTCTCATTTTCGTTGCTTTTTTGCCGATGTGATTAGACGATGCATTTGAATTAGATTAGGTGTGTTGGTACTGAAGCCTCAGCATGTACCGAGAATGCAGCCAAGGAGTAGGGGAGATACCTCCCTCCCTAACATCCTGTAGGTACTTGCTTCCTTTCCGCCCTCACCACCATGGTCGGCATGGTTTTTTTTGTATCTATCTATTTACCCATTGGCTTCCAGGTGAACACAGCAGATGCCGATCCCAAATCTGGATCCTGCGTCTGCCATGTACGATCTATAAATACTCGACCCATGGCAGGTGGCTCAAGCTGAGATCCGGTTTGGCTGCGTTAGGTAGGTGAGCTGGGAGGTAGAGGCTCCTGCTCCTCGCATGCATGTCATGTATTTCGTGTAAATGCGCATCATGTGAGTGATTATTATTCCCGTGCATGGGAATGGAGCTCAAGGATTTATTAGTGGCCCATCTCGAACCGAAAGAGGTGGAGAGGACCCATTGCACACCTGCAACTGATGCCTGATATACAGAGTATTACCGCCTGCTCACCCATCGGAGAGGCTGAGGGACGGGAGGAAAAAGATCTTTTACCACACTTTTATACCGAGAAGCCCTGTCGGCTAGACGCCAAGCATACGTAAGGTATGTACAGGGGGATAGAGATGAGACGCCTCAAATAGGCAGGCCAAGGCCTCTAAGAGACCAGCCAGCGGTAGATCACCGATACAAATCTACATCCCAAGTGCCACGAGCCCTTCGCTCATCGACCACATTTGCCTTAATCCGTCCCGTTCTTGCGATTACGCGCCCAGCTTCGTCAGGGGGACAAGGAACGCAGGGACCTCACAGGGCCCAACACGGGACGTCGCTCTCTCGTGAAGCACTGCCGGGGCAGGGAGGTAACCACCGCATGTGACTGTTTCGATGTTTCGTCCACGGATGGCCCCTCCCCAGAGTTGCAGCCAACCAGGGAAAGAGATCGAGAGACCATAGCCGCAACCAAGCCCGAGGGGAGGGGGCCTGTCGCCTTCGGTGAGAGTCTGGCTGTCTATTGTCTCGTTGGGCAAGCCACCCCAAGCAGCCAAGACGGACTTGGGGGGTGGCAGAGACGAGAATTGGTCTGCAGCCGGTCGTCCATTTTCCCTCTCAAACCTTGCTTTTTTCCCTGGTGCGCGCCTCGGCAGCAGCCTCAACGCGGATTACCACCACCACCCATCCTGACCGCTTCCTCGTAGAGACGGAACTTATGCCGAAGCAGAGGAAGCGGGAGGGGGCATGCAGTCCGTCGCAGCGATTTGTTGGTGTAGGAACTCGTGGCGTGGTTGCACAGCCGTTGGTGGCCAGTTAGGTAGATGGCTGATGTAGGTGGGGAGATAGGTAGGTACCTACATATGTAAGACAAGAGCAAGAGGGACATCTGCCATGCACATGGTGTTTAGGCAACCAGTGCATGGGTCATTGCAAATAGTATGGACATGTACTATCCCATGGGCATCTTCGGCTATGCTGGACGAGTACGAGGAGGCAAGCAAGGGTTTCTTTTCTTTTGGGAGAAGCATGGTCCCCCTCCCGGTCAGATCGGGCATCCAAGTGCCAGGATGGAATTCATCGGCCTTGGTGCTCGAGTCGGGATGATCAATTGCTTTCTCGGTGGAATTGTGAAGACGGTCCTCCCAGAATGACGCACTCTGCCTCTCATGATCCGGACGGAAAGGTGGTGTGGCCAGACCAATGAGGAGAGGTAGAGGGCACCCATCCCATCCAGCTGACTGCCTGCTGGGTACTTTTTTACTTGAGGGAGATACCTGGGGGAGAAGACATCAAGAGCGAAGGTTACGTACTCCGATCGCAAGGAGCAATCGAGAGAGATGTTATGAAATGAACTATTGTATTCGCCTCTAGGGGCGGAACTAGGCACCGAGACATAACGATTTACTGTATTTGACTCTTATCTGCAACGGGGAATTCTTTTGAGTTTGCCTCGCCGTTTCTAATAGACGATAGATCGGCAAGTTTCCGCCGTGAAGCTTGTCAGTTAGAACGAAAGAAGGCGGGGAGGAAGCTTGCGAAGCCCCGCCTTTCTTTATCGATAAGAAGGCCCACTTTACATGATAAGCCGATTGACAACTTTTTTTTCTTCGCCGGATCCGCCATTCCGCTGGGAAAATATCATAGGTGCCGGGCTTCACCAAGCGAATCGCATATGTGTCTTATCTAATTAGACCCTTGCCTCTTGCCCAATTACAAGACCAGTAAGAAGCGTTGTGTACCGGGACTAGGAATTGGCACCGCTAACGTCTCCTGCCGCTTCCAGGTTCTCTGCTGCGCAACCTATAAAGCGAAGCCTGGTCAAACTTCTTCAGCAAGATGGCGCCGACGGCCACAAGCACGGAGTGGGATCACGAATACCACACTCTCCGTCGTGAGAACCTGTTCCGAAACCCTCCCAAGGACCACACGGCATACCCGGCTCTTCAGGCTGCCGTCGACCCACACATTGAGTCGTTCGACCGCCTTTTTCGCGACGATGGCAAGCCCGGGTTGTTGGCGCACGGTCTGGCAGACATTGGCACAAAGATCTACCTCGACGGCGACGAGAGGGCCGGCCCCGAGGGGAAGAACCGCATTGGCATCAGGTTCAAGGATGTGAACCTCCAGCGCGCGCAAGTCCCTCCCTCAAACAAGCAAGCCAAGAACCGCGAAATCTTCCCTGCGGAGTGCAGAGAACGCCATGTCACATATAGAGGCAAGCTGTCTGCCACCTTCGAGTATCGTCTCAATGGTGGCGACCCGGTCGAGTTTACTCGAGAGCTTGGCCAGGTTCCAATTATGCTCAAGGTAGGTTGGGGAAGAAGCCGTCAATCGCACCAGCGAAGCAGCTAACAATACCTCTAGTCAAACAGATGCCACCTGCAAAACAATTCCCCTGACCTGCTGGTCAAGCGCAAAGAAGAATCCGAGGAGCTGGGTGGGTATTTTGTTGTCAATGGTATTGAGAAGATTATCCGACTCTTGCAGCTCAACAAGCGAAATTTCCCCATGGCCATCAACCGTCCCAGTTTCCAGAACCGTGGCCCAGGTTATACGCCTTATGGTATCATTCTTCGATCCGTACGGCCAGACGAGACATCCCAGACCAACGTCCTCCACTACTTGAACGATGGAAACATGACCTTCCGATTCTCCTGGCGCAAGAACGAGTACTTGATCCCCGTCATGATGATCCTGAAGGCTCTTATTGAGACCAACGATCGCGAAATTTTCGAGGGACTGGTCGGTCCCGCTGGCTCCAAATCAGCCGAGAACACCTTCTTGACAGATCGAATTGAGCTCCTTCTGCGCACATACAAGTCTTACGGGCTCTATACGAAACATGAAACTCGTGCCTATCTTGGCGAGAAGTTCCGAATCGTTCTCGGTGTTCCGGAGACAATGTCCAACTATGAAGTCGGAACCGAATTCCTTCGCCGCATCGTCTTGGTCCACCTGGGCAACATCGACGTCACGCCTGCCCAGGATGCCGACAAGTACAAGCTGATTCTCTTCATGATCCGCAAGCTCTATGCCCTTGTGGCAGGCGAGTGCGCTGTGGACAATCCTGATGCCGTTCAGCATCAGGAGGTTCTCCTGGGTGGGTTCCTGTATGGACAGATCCTCAAGGAGAGGCTGGACGAATTCTTGGGTGTTAGCGTGCGGGCCTCGGTTCGTGACTGGGTTCGAAGACATCCTGGAGTTCCGTTTACGTCGGATGACTTCCGAAAGGATTTCCCTGGAAACATCTTCCGCAAAGCCAACGAGAATATCGGCCACTCCCTGGAATACTTCCTGTCCACTGGTAACCTGCAGAGTCCGTCCGGTCTCGATCTGCAGCAGACTGCTGGTTTCACTGTTGTTGCCGAAAAGCTCAACTTCCTCCGTTTCATCAGTCACTTCCGAATGATCCATCGTGGTGCCTTCTTCGCCCAGCTCAAGACGACTACAGTTCGAAAGCTTTTGCCTGAATCATGGGGATTCCTGTGCCCTGTCCATACTCCTGATGGTGCCCCTTGCGGTCTTCTGAATCACATGGCTCACAAGTGCAAGATCATGACGGACTCTATTGATGTATCGGCGATCCCTGCCCTGGCAGCCGAGCTCGGCGTGTCCGAGGTCTCTTGCGCCTCCACAGAGGACAGTGTTGCGGTTGTCCTGGATGGCAAAGTCCTCGGTTTCTGCTCGCCAAAGGAATCGCTGAGAATCGCTGATTGCTTCCGCTACTGGAAGGTCGAGGGAACCCACGGCGTCCCTCTGCAGCTTGAAATCGGCTACGTGCCACCGTCTCGCGGAGGTTCCTATCCTGGTATTTACCTGACCTCGACTCCTGCTAGATTTGTCCGACCAGTGAAATATCTGCCACTCCAGAAGGAAGATTATGTGGGCCCTTATGAGCAGCCATACATGTCTATTGCTGTCGTCCCTGAAGAGATCGAATCCGGCCGCTCGACGCACGTCGAATTCGACCCAACTGATATGCTGTCTATCCTCGCCAATATGACCCCTTTCTCCAACTTTAACCAGTCGCCTCGTAACATGTACCAATGTCAGATGGGTAAACAAACGATGGGTACACCTGGAGCAGCCATCCGACACCGAACCGACAACAAATCCTACCGGTTACAAACTGGACAAACACCTATTGTGCGAGCGCCATTACACAACACCTACGGATTCGACAACTTCCCCAACGGCTTCAACGCCGTCGTTGCCGTTATTTCCTACACTGGCTACGACATGGACGACGCCATGATTCTGAACAAGTCCGCCCACGAGCGCGGTTTCGGTCATGGCACAATCTACAAGACAAAGAAGGTCTCTCTCAAGGACGACTCGAGGACCAAGGCCAGCAAGAGTGTGACCAAGGCGTTCGGGTTTGCCCCTCACAGCTTCGTCAGCGCCTCCTACCAGGGAATGCTGGATGACGACGGCCTTCCACACATCGGCCGCATGGTCCAGGAAGGCGACGTGATCTGTGCTTGGCACACCGTGACACCTGACTACAATGGAAATCTGGTGAACCTCGATGGCATCACTCACTACGAGAAGTACAAGGATGGAGAGACGGGCTTCGTCGAGGAGGTTCGCTTGATCGGCGCGGAGACCGGCAATGAGCCCCTGCAGACCATCTCCATGAAGCTCCGTATCCCTCGATCGCCCATCATTGGTGACAAGTTCTCGTCTCGTCACGGACAGAAGGGTGTTTGCTCGCAAAAGTGGCCCGCGATTGATATGCCCTTTTCCGAGTCCGGCATGCAGCCCGACATCATCATCAACCCTCACGCTTTCCCCTCCCGAATGACAATCGGCATGTTTGTCGAGTCGCTGGCTGGTAAGGCTGGTGCCCTGCACGGCCTCGCCCAGGACTCGACCCCCTTCAAGTTCACCGAGGAGAACACGGCCGCGGAGTACTTTGGACACCAGCTCATGAAGGCCGGATACAACTACCACGGTAACGAGCCCATGTACTCTGGTGTCACCGGCGAGGAGTTGGGCGCAGACATCTACATTGGACTGGTCTACTACCAACGTCTGAGACACATGGTCAACGACAAGTACCAGGTCAGAACGACGGGACCCATCGTCCCCACGACCGGCCAGCCCATCAAGGGAAGAAAGCGAGGTGGCGGTATCCGTGTGGGAGAGATGGAGCGCGACGCCCTCCTCGCCCACGGGACAGCGTTCCTGCTCCAGGACAGGCTGCTCAACTGCTCAGACTACGCCAAGTCGTGGATCTGCCGCAGGTGCGGGTCCTTCCTGTCCGTGCAGCCGACCGTGTCCCAGTTCGCCCCCGGGAAGAAGAAGGCGCCCAGCATCGTGCGCTGCCGCAACTGCGCCGTCAGGCTCGACGACAGCGAGGGGATCGACCTCACCGAGGTGCAGGGCGAGATCTGGGAGGACGGCCAGGGCAACTCGTGGGTCGGCGGCGACCAGACCACGCAGGTGGTGGTACCCGGTGCGCTCAAGTACCTGGACGTCGAGCTGGCCGCCATGGGGGTGAAGCTCAAGTACCGCGTGGACCGGGGAGACGAGCCTCGAAAGGGCCCGATGCGACCTGCCTCGGCGCCAGCTATCCCAGTGGCGTAATGGATATCGTGGCAGGATGGGAGAAAAATCGGTTAGGGCGAGCTTTTATCCCTTGTTTTTTTTTTTTTTTTTTTTTTTTTGCTTAGATTCTTGTGGAATGGGGAGTTGAATGTGTATATTTGTGAAAATTAGTACTGCTTGTAGTTGATACCATTTATATGATCTATGATATTGGAAGACTGTTCTCTCATTCTAAGACGCACGAAGTGATTCCAGGCACAATTCAAGCCAGGTTTTCTTCGGCTCAGCGTGCCAGGCGTGTAATCAACGGTCGCCTCGGGAAGCCAATGGTTTTCGTCTGAACTGCTGGGTGGCACTCGCAAGGCGAGCCGGTTCCAGTTTGGAGACCCAGTGCTCGATAATGAAGCCACCCAGTAGCACGAGTGAAACCCACCCAACATGCTCGCTATGTCGGCGAGCTGGGGGCGTTTAGATACGACCCTCCTTGAAAGCTCAAGATCCGAGATGCTGCTGCTGGATAAGGATGATGACGCAATTATTTCCTGATACTTACCAAGAGAAGGGGCGTTATCAATAGATGTGGGCAGGCAGGTGCGTGGCCTGCGGGAAGGAGCAGGTCTCGAGTTGGCTGCTCCTTCACCATCGGCACAAGCATAATCGATAGCCGAAATCCGTGACGACACTCGTAAGGCGAAGGAATAAACTGCTACATTCACTTACCTCACCTCACCTGCTACCTACTTGCACAAGGGAAGGCGAAGTGACTGGGCCGAGTGTCCTCCGAGCAGCAGGCAGATCGACTCAAATACTGCCCAGGTTCTTGCCGAGCATCACTCGCCTCAGCTTTCCATCACCCACACTTCGCCTGCTAGGTGTTTCTTGATCTTCAAACTTGGCCTCTTGGATTCCTTTTCCTCTCTTCTGCCTACTTTCGCTCTGCCATAGGCTCCTGATCTTGGTTTTTTCCCTCTTGGCCAACCTGATTCTCCCACGGCTTTCTTCATCTTCTGCCTTGAGACATCAAGGGCGCTGCGATATTCAACCTCCTCATTGGAAAAAGACTGTCCTTCCGCTTTCCGTGAAATTCTTTTGGTTGGCTCTTGTGGGTTTACCTTGACTATCAATGACAGAATAATCAAGTACCAATTCACTTTATCCAGCTTCGACAGGCCTCCCGAATTGGCTGGAATACCACACCTCGACATCGCCGTTCCGAATCGATCGATTCCGAAATCACACAGGTCCGGTGGAACCTAATACGACATCCAAATATCTCCTTCCTGAAAGTCGCCAACCATGCACATCCCTAGTTTCCTTGGGGCCATCCTGCTCGCCTCCGTACTTGCTCTGGGTCGACCCTATGACTTTGGTGTGGATGTCGAAAGTCTGACCCGACGCCAGGAAGACCGGATCTTGGTTGGCCGGCTTCCAGTTGCTTCTAATGGAAGCGTTCCACATCGTCTCGAAATACGCCAAATGAGAGCCGATCCATATAAATGGGACTTGTTCATCCTGGCTCTGAGTATGTTTCAGTCAGTCAGTCAGAGCGATCCCCTTTCATGGTACCAGGTCGCAGGTATGTGAGACTATTCTGCTTTTCCCCGGTAATCACACTCTTTCTCATCATGAAATATATGACCAGGAATCCACGGCGTGCCATTTCGGAGTTGGAATGGGGTTGAGCCAGTCCCGGGCGCCAACATGTCGGGCTACTGCACGCACAGTTCGGTTTTATTTCCAATTTGGCACAGGCCGTACTTGGCGCTGGTCGAGGTGAGAGATCTCACAGTCTTTGGTAACATGCGGGTCTAACAATACATGAAGCAAGAGGTCTTCAGACTGGCAAACTTCATTGCCAGCATGTTTACAAACACGACCGAGCGGGAGATCTACCAGCGAGCAGCATCGGACATTCGATTCCCTTACTGGGATTGGTCTCTTCCTGCGCCACCCGGACAGACTCACCTCCCGGATGTATTCTGGCATCCTACAGTCACGCAATATGGCCCCATGGGACTTCAAACCATCAGAAACCCCCTTTATTCCTACATTTTTAACCCTGTCGAGGAGGACGCATTTATATGGAGCCCAGTAAGCTTCACGGAATTCAGCTGGTGACAGATTTTAGGCTAACGGAAATAGCTCAACTCCTGGCAAGAAACCAAGAGAGCGCCGGCGACCGATATCAGTCTTGCGTCTCCTCCATCAATGAACAAGGATGTGAGTGAAGCACTGCTAGGGAAGCTTTCTGAAATCCAACAGAGGCTGTATATCATATTTTCGAACTACAAAGACTTCAACTCCTTTGGCAACAAGGCTTGGGCCGTATCACAAAACTTATCGTCCTGGGACTCGATCGAAGCAATCCACGATATCATCCACATCTATGGCGGCCTTAGGGGTCATATGACATACGTTCCGCTGTCTGCTTTTGATCCTCTGTTTTTTATTCATCATGTGTCTATGGATCGCCTCATAGCCATGTGGCAGGTTCTCAACCCCAACGCGTGGATGCTCCCGATGGCGACTGGAGAGACAAGCTACAACAGTTTAAAGGGAATGGTCCAAAATTCCAAAACGCCCCTGACTCCCTTTTACATATCATCAGACGGAACTTTCTGGGACTCAGACATGGCTCGATACACTCATACATTTGGCTATACCTACGCTGATGTGGACCCTACCCTGGCTGGCAATGAAGGATTGCGTGAAAGCCTGATCAGAAAGATAAATATTTGGTATGGAAGCTCTAGCCCGATCAGCTTGCGTTTCATGGCAAAGGGGCACGGCAACTTCGTCAATCACCACGGGAGCACTATTCACAAACCTATAGGGACCAAGGGCGCGAAATCAGAAGCAACTGATCACTTGAAACGCGGAAATACTTTGTCTAGTGCTTTGATCAAAGGAGACCGCTACAATGAGTGGATCGTGAACGTTCATGCGAATATGGAGGCTCTCCATGGCTCCTACGCGGTTCACCTCTACCTCAACGACAAGCCTCATTTGAATTGTCGTACGATAATAGAAAACAAGGTTGGAACTGTCGACATTTTTACAATGAGGAAAATGACTGGCTCGAATACCAAAATCTCGGGGGCGGTTCCTCTAACGAGCTCACTGCTGGGAAAGGTAGCAAGCGGTGACATCCCCCACCTCGGTGCGAGTGCAGTGGTCCCGTTTCTCCAGAAAAAGCTGAGATTTCAAGTGCGCAATGGCGATGGCAACGTGGTCGATCCAAACCTTGTGGAAGGACTTTACGTTGGGGTCAGCAGCACCGAGGTGAAAATCCCAGCTGTAGATACCGAGCTTCCCAGATGGGGGCGGTCAGTGGCAAGGCTCAATCTGTGGTCTTGAAAAGGGCGCGGTAGGATTGCCGGAGCCTAAGTATTCTATTTAATTTTAAGGTTTCTTTTTTGGGAGCATCTTATTTTCCAATATCCAAGGGGGAGAAGTAAGTAATGTGGAAGGGGGATTCTGGGTGAGATTTTCGATGATACTGAATAAACATAGACACATCATTTATAATTACGGCAATAGACATTTCATTATCCGGATTCCATATCTTTCCAAATGTTAGATATTCTTTTTTCCCACGAAAATACCTAAGAGCCTCAATGCTTGGTGTCTTCAAAGGGATGTTCTTGCTTCTACTCGAAACTTTGAATGGTTGATGCTCTCTCCTGTTTTACCTTATATTCGCAGGACTATGGCCAATGACCTCAGACTGAGACCTAAATACGGGCGACAAAGATCAGTATATATATACGTGTCCGTCAGTGTGCGGATAGTATTACTTGACTGCGTGAGTTATCGCAGGAGTCGAAAGACGAGACAAGTTTAAGCAGCTTTGATGACCAGAAAATAAGTAATTGATACATCCTGATGTTTTTATAAATACAGAGAGAAAGGAAGTAACGAATGATCCAAATTATTCCCCAACATATCCAGCACCTTCTTCCCTTCAAGACGAGGAGAAGATCCTCCACCACGGAAGAGATCGAGAGGTAGGCGGTACAAATCAGTAAGCCAACTTATCGTCAGTCTCTTCCTCTCGTGTTCTCGGCTGTAAGACGTTCGTCATACTAGTGTCTCTTGCCTCCTTTTCCTCCGTGCGGGCTGGGTGGCTTTGGTCGAGGAGAGCCTCCACCTCCATGAGGACCGATGGGCCTGGCGCCCCTGACCTCGAGATCATCGATATAACGCTTGCCTTTTCCTCCGTGCGGCTTGGGTGGCTTTGGTCGACCACCACCTCCATGAGGACCGATGGGCCTGGCGCCCCTGACCTCGAGATCATCGATATAACGCTTGCCTTTTCCTCCGTGCGGGCGGGGGGGCTTTGGTCGACCACCACCACCGCCAGGACCACCAGGTCTGATGGCGCTCCTGACCTCGAGGTCGAAGTCATCGATATCACGTCGGCCTCTGCCTCCGCGACCTCCACCGCCTGGCCTTGGTGCAGGACCACCACCGCCACCACCAGGTCTGATGAGCCTCCTCACCTCGAGGTCGAAGTCATCGAAATCACGCTTGCCTTTTCCTCCGTGAGGTTTGGGTGGCTTTGGTCGAGGACCACCACCCCCGTGAGGACCACCAGGTCTGATGGCGCTCCTGACCTCGAGATCGAAGTCATCGACATCACGCTTGCCTTTTCCTCCGTGCGGTTTGGGTGGCTTTGGTCGACCACCACCTCCATGAGGACCACCAGGTCTGATGGCGCTCCTGACCTCGAGATCATCGACATCACGTCGGCCTCGGCCTTTGCCTCCGTGGTGGCCACCGCCGCCGCCGGGCTTCGGGTGATCGTCGAGGTTTCTCTCGTCGATGAATTGTTCGGCGTCGTCTCTCTCCTCGAGCTCTTCGGCGTCGCGGAGAGCCAGGGAAGGGGCGGACTCCTCGGTGCTGGCGACGGCGAGGGTCGCCGCCGCAGCGATGAGGACGGTCGAGAAACGCATGTTAGAGATGCGAAGATTGAGTGAGTGTTTGTTATAATGTGAGATTGGAATGTATGGGGGATGGTTCAACAAAGGAATGAGGACTTGGGCTCTGGATGTATCCCAGAAATGATAAAAGGAGAATGAGAAAAGGAAAAGTTGTTTGGATGTCTGGTGAAAGTGTCTGATAGTTTTCTTCCTCAAGCTCAGAGATCCAGACATCTCTTTATACTTGAATAGTGGCAATTGTCAAGCTATTATTAGCATATCATCCCATAGTCCACGGCCTCATTTCGAGCCGTATTGCCATCATTGGCTAAGATTCCGAGTCGTCTGGTGTTAGTTTCATTCTCGAAAGGCTAGTGGAAGCATAAGAGAGGCACGGTGAGTAGGAACTTCAGCATCCGGGTTCCTGGATCTCACCGAAGGCGCAATATGCCGGCAGTTTCAGGGGAAGGGTTACCACATCCGGCTGAATCTTTCTAAATAGCAGCTTTGCTGACCATGGTCATACCTTTCACCAGAGAAGGATCAAGCTAGCTTGTGGACAAATAGTACCCGCCCTTGGGGGGGTACAAAGCCATCGATTTGTCACTATCAATGAGGACTAGGCTTTATACCAAGAGCCCATGGGCGTACTCTGATCAAATGCATCCCGAAGATGAAGTTTTAGCAGAAATTCATCGTCAATAAGGCAGCATGAGATCATGGCATCTGCACTCGTCCTCAGTACCATGTTTAGGAATCATGTTCTCATGGGTGCTTGTCAAAATGTTGTGAGTAACTGTTGACTAACCAACTTGAGATGAAGCGGCCCCTCCCATTCGGTAAGGCATCAGGACCGTTCGGTAAAATATCAGGATCTGCAATATAATCATGCATATTGGGTGTTATTCCTCGTGTTAAGCGCGTATAGTGTAGTTGATTTTCTGCTTTCATCAATCCTTGCCGCAATATGCACCTGCATATGCATACGCCACACCTTCACGGGACTGAAAGCAACCGTCTCATTTGCGTGAGAGAATGCACCATGATCCTTTGTCAAGTTTCAACAAACATAGAAATCTCGCAGCTACATCAAAGCCGTAGATGACCCAATATCCAAAGGTAACTGGGTGAAAGCTCGGCCTCAGGTGCCCAAATATCTTCAACATCCATCGAACCGCACTGCTAGAAAGTAAGAGTCTGTAAGGCAGGCCGCCGGGTGTCCAAGGATTCAGCCCAACCTGTTCAGGAAACACTCGGTTAGAAGAAGGCTGATATCCTTACGGGCGCAGGGCCCAAAAACCAATAGTGTGGGTGAATCCTCTCCCCAGGATTTGATGCAACCCTCCACGGCCCACATATTATGGCGGAATCTCGCATTTCGCTCGGACTAACAATCTCAAAGCCTTAAGGATAAGCCTTTACTAAAGTTTCAAGACGCTGGTTTAGGCCCGGGGCATGGATGGTGACATCTTGTCAGCACTACCACGACCAAACCCGCGCGCGTAGGGGCCACACCAGGGATTCCTACCAGGAGATGAATTAAGTTAGCCAGGTAGATACAACACTTTACGGTAAGTGGCGGACCCGCAAAATACCGAAGTTCAAATGACTGCCAGACTGCGTAGGTGGGATGGGCTGTATTTAGACATCTTCAGGGGCCAAAAAGATGGTCATGCGCGTATAGCTGGACAAAACAAGATGGATCGGTTCCCTCCCAAAGAAGGATCTTGATAACATTGATCTGGTTCCACGTGATTGCATGAAGAAGTGGCGTGCATCCCCCGGGACATGGAGCCTCGATATCTGCGCAGTAGTAGTTGAAGGGGTTCAGGTGTCCCCTATATGCCGCACAACGCATGGGCAAAGAGCCATCGAGAGATTGGATATTTAGATCAGCACCATTGTCAAGAAGCCCTTGAACCGCCTTCACAAGCCTATACTTGTTGGCGACCTCCTGTAGAAGTTATTGAATCTCGCGTGGATCATTGACTTCGACGCCGAGTTTGAGGAGCAATGATATGATCTCCGCATCACCTCTACGGGCCGCAAGATAAATCTTTCTTGCTCCAGTGCATCAACACACTTATTCTGTTCTCGAGTAAGGATTCTGCAGTGTCAGAGCAGTCAAGTGCGCAACTCGCCCAAAGCGGGCTAAATCCATCCATACTTTCCCATCCGCGTTAATATGCTCTCTTGCCAATGATCCTGACGGTCCGTCCAAAGCCGCAAGGTGGAGTGGATGTGGTGGCTTCTCCATAAGAGGTCATCATACAGCGAGCTTGCGACGAAAAGCAAGTCGAAAATTCATCCCAAACTTCTAGTGGACTGTCAAAGGAGCTGCGCACCGCTTCCCACAACTGTAAATTTAGTTCGTCTCCCAGCCGAACATGATGCCACGATGATATTTGCTCGTAATCTCGAACGCAAGTATCGAACTCATGGCCAGTAATTTCAATTGTAATCCAAGTTTGGGGGACGAGATGTACTGGATGCACTTCCTAGCAGTAGGGTAGGCTGTGATTCTAATGAGAAGAGTTCAGGCCCATGTTTCCCCTCAAGGATCGGCCAGGCTAAGAATTGCATTACTGAAAAATGGGTGACATGGACTTTCATCACTTTCATGTCCTTGTCGCTTGGTTCGTTTTTGTTGATGGACGAAGTCTCGTCTCCATCAATACCGGTGCCCTCCTCTCTATCAATGAACACCAGAGGCCCAAGATTTCAGACTCAACATGGGATTCGTCCCCTCATCGTGTCTCGTGGCTTGGCTGATCCAGCAACGGAGCGCCGCCAAGGGGCTCATGTGGCTCTCGATATCAAATGAATAAAAGAAATGGAAGTGCTTTCGGCGAGTTGCATTATAGACACCAAAGAGTGACACAGCCACAAAGCGTGGATCATGTTCAAGTTTCATGATGGAGTCAAGTTCGTTCTTACACGGCAGGCACGATGAAGTAGGGCAGACCCGCTTTTTTGTATCTCCATCGGCAGCTGTTCAAGCGCCGGCAGTTTCCGGTAGAGCTCCACCCATCCCCTAAGCTCCAGCTAGCAGCAGCCCAAGCTAGCACCACGCTGGCAGATCAGGCGCTTGTGCCAGCAGTGTGGTCACTGAGAGAATTGCCCCGCCCCCGCAGCAGTTGCCAGCCACCAGCCAACTGGCCTCGGACTGTACATGGTACACCTCCTGACCTCAGTTGGAGATATCTCCTCTCCCTTCTCTAATCAACCCTTGAGCGCTTCTACCTCTGCATGCCGCCAGGCCTCCGTATCCAGCATTGCCCTACCTCGTCATAGCACCTACTGTTCACCTGCGCAACATTCTGTATTTTCCTCTCGACCCTTCTATATCGCTACCTCCGCCGATGAACCCTTAATTGAGTGTTCCCCTCCTTACCTGACCGACGACACCCGCCACCACAACCGCCATTCACCCATCGCCTGAACCACCATGGCGACTCTCACCGACGATCCCGCCCTCTACATCTTCACCTCCCTCACCGCAGGGTCCTCCCACATCGTCACCGCCACTTCCCGCCTGGAGACGATCCTGCGTGCCAACCGCGTGCCCTTCAAGGCCATCGACATTGCCACCGACCAGAAGGCCCGCATGCTATGGGGCCGCCGCGCCGGCAAAGATGGAAACGGCCGAGTGCGCAAGCTGCCCGGCCTGGTGCAGGAGGGCATGGTCCTAGGGGTAAACTGCCGTCCCATCTCCCCGCGAGTGAACACCTGTTCAGGACTGCGGCAGCACGATATACTTGGAGGCTGACCAGGGCGACTTTCTCACAGGACATTGTCGAGATCGAGGAGTGGAACGAGTACCACGAGCTCAAGCAACACCTAAAGATCTACTACGATGAGAACACGATACCCAACATCAACAACAAGTACCCCCCGCCCAAGATGCGACGGCCGTACGGGGTGGGGGCTCCCGTCAAGAAACCTGCCGGCTCCGCGGCTGCTGCTGCCGGTGCTGCTGCTGCGGCGGCGGCGGCATCTGCTGCCTCGTCCTCCTCCACCACGCCAGCTGCATCGGCGGGCACTCCAGCGCCGCCACCCCCTGGACCAGCACCCGCACCTAAGAAGACGGATCCTGTTGTCCTGAAAGCCTCGGAAGGCAAGCAGGAGACTCTCCCCGTTCGATCTGTCGCCGACGAAGCAGCAGCGAAGGCTAAGGAAATGCGCCTGAGGAGTCTGCGAGAGAAGGTTCATGGGAAGAAGGCTGCCGAGCCATCTACAGAGTCCAAGGAAAAGAAGGAGGACAAGGAAGTCAAGGACGATAAGGATGAGAAGAAGGCTGAAGATGAGAAAGAGAAGGAGAAGGACGAAGATACAGAGGATGAGAAGGAAGACGAAACAACAGAGGACCACAAGAACATCGGGCTCCAGTCGCCTACGAGCGGCAAGTGGAAGTCTGATGATTCGGCGTCGGCCAAGACTGGCGATGTGCAAAGCCCGGAGAGCACACGGTGGAAGAACGCCAAGGTGGTAGATGCGTCGCCGATAGCCATCAAGGAGTCCGAGGCTAAGCAGGCTACAAAGGAAGAGGATGACGACGACGACGAAGATGAAGATACTGAGGACAGCGAGGAGGAAGATGAGGATACAGAAGATGAGGATGGGGAAGAGGAAGAGGAAGACGAGGAAGAAGGCGAGAAGAAGGATGCGGCAGTGAAGGATACCCCGGCCGAGGCCGCCAAAGCAGACGAGAAGGCGGAAGAGAAAGCAAAGAAGGAGGACGACAAGAAGGAGGATAAGAAGGATAAAAAGAAGGACAAGAAGAGTCACGACAAGAAGGATAAGAAGCACCACCACGACAAGAAAGACAAGAAGGAGAAGAAGGATAAAGACAAAGACAAGGAGAAGGAGAAGGACAAGAAATCTCACGACAAGAAGAGCCACAGCAAGGGTCACGACAAGAGCCATGACAAGAAGAGCCACAGCAAGACCCATGATAAGAGTCACGACAAGAAGACCCACGACAAGACCCACGATAAGAAGGGCCATGACAAGAAGGACAAGGAAGAAAGCAAGCACCCCAAGACCGAGGAAGCGGCAGAGTCCTCGTCGAAATGAACCCAGCGAGGAGTGTTTGATATTAGTACTGCTCTACATATGTACCACTTTAGACCTGTTTACCCTTCAATGAAATCTGAAAAAATGACAGTATGTATATGCCGAAAATGTCTCCCTTTTCCCTCTCACCCGGTTTATATAGGCAAAACCCATCCATAGTAGTACAGTGGGATGAAAAGTATATAGTGTATAGATCGTGACACTCCTCTAGTACAGCCCCTCGTCGTCGCTCGCCGTCCCCTCCTGGAACCCAGCGGCGGCAGCCCTCCCCTTCCCCTTGTCCCTCCGCAGCGTCCACCCATCATCGTCGCCATCCTCCGCCACGGCCTTGCCCTTGCCCTTGGCAGCAGATGACGAAGATGACGACTTCTTCTGCGCGTCGCTACCCTCGAACGTGGCCCTCACCCTCTCGTAGTGCTGCAGCTCGCCCTGGCTGACGCTGGGCACGAGCTCCTCCTGGGCGGCGGAGAAGTCGGGCTCGGTGACGACGACGGCGAGATCGGCGGGGCTGGCGTGGTGGTCGAAGAAGTAGGCGGTGGACATGTCGCCGCCGAGCTGGCGGATCTTGGAGTCGACCTGGTTGGCCTGGCGGGTGACGGCCTTGAGCATGGCGTCGCTGCAGAGGGCGTAGAAGTCGGCGCCCGTGTACGTGAGGGGGAGGCGATCCGCGACGGATTTGAGGGACAGGGCTGGGTCGAGGGCGAATCTGTTTTTAACGTGTTAGTAAAGATGGACATTATGTATCTGAGGGTAAGAGGGGGGATACGTACTTGCGTGTGAGCGCCTGCAAGATGGTGAGCTGCTTCTCGTGGGTGTCGGAGACGCCCAGGTAGAGCATCTTGTCGAACCTTCCCGGCCGCAGCAGCGCCGGGTCGAGCAGGTCAGGCCGGTTGGTCGCACCGATGACGAAGACGCCGCCGCTGTCGCCGTCGCCGCCCGACATGCCGTCGAGCTCCGCCAGCAGCTGGGACACGATCCGGTCCATGACGCCGCCGCTGTCCCCCTGGTTGCCGCGCTTGGGGGCCACCGAGTCCAGCTCGTCGAAGAAGACGACGCAGGGCCTCGCGTCGCGGGCGCGCTGGAAGACGCGGCGCACGTTGGCCTCGGACTCGCCGATGTACATGTTGAGGAGCTCGGGGCCCTTGACGCTGAAGAAGTTGAGGCTGTACTCGGTGGCGATGGCCTTGGCGAGTAGGGTCTTTCCGGTGCCGGGGGGGCCGTAGAACAGAATGCCGGATCGCTTCTTCATGCCGCGGGCGAAGAGCTCGGGGCGCTCGAGGGGAAGCTGGATGGTCTCTGTGATGGCATCCTTGACGTTGGAGAGACCACCGACGTCGTCCCATGTGACGTTGGGGATCTTGGGCGCGCCGATCGAGTCTGAGAAGTTCTTGCGGGCCGCTTCGACCGCGGCGTCGAGGTCGCCCTTGGTGAGGCAGAGTGCCGCAGGTCCGCCGGCGACTTGGACATCTCGGACGGTCACAGCAGGCTCGTCGGGAGACAACTCTGAGGCGGAGGTGGCCAAGGCTTCGAGACGAGATTGCTGAGCAGCCGAGGCCCGGTCTACTACATCTACCAAATCACCAGCCACGAGGGCAGCAGTCTTGAGAGCAATCGCATTCAGATCGATGCTTGGCTCGAGGCTCAGCCCCCTGTTCTCCAGAATGTTGCGCAGTATAGCCTCACGCTCGCCCTCGTCGGGGGCGTTCATCTCCAGCTCATGCGTGAAGAGTCCTCGCACACCGTCGGGAACCTTGTCGACCTCGTTCGTTGTTGCAATAAGGACTCTTGTGTCGTTGAGCACCTCCTTCATAGTCGCCTCGATCCGGTCTGCGGTCAATGCCTCAATGTGCTGGATAAGCAAGCCGCAGCAGTCCGGGCCGCAGCTCATAGCCCGCTCAGCGCGGGTGCGAAGGAAGCCTTCCGTCTTCACATCGCTTCCGCTGCCACCACCCTCACTCAAGATATCGTAAGCGTCGATGGTGAATGTGTGAAGACCGATGTCTGAGCATGCCGCAGCCGCCAGCGTCGCCTTTCCAATGTGTCTATGGGTGGAAGTCAGGAGGATAGCGACAGGAGGCATCTTGAGATGAATCGCCCTCCGGCTTGTTGCTGCAGCCAACAGCTGCCGTAGCTGGTGTCTGAGAGGAGACACGTGGCTTTGCTCCTCCTGCACTGAGGGTAGCGGAATCGCCGGTCCATCAGCATCCCGTCTAGGAGTCTTCTTTAGACCGAGGTAATAAGGCCAGGTGCTCCCCTTGGTACCAGGAATGCGACTCGTCTGAAAGCCAGATCCGTGCATGCCCACAGACGAGCTGTCAATGCAAGCAACCGAGCCCCAGAGACTCTCGGCCGTCCCATCTTCATCCTCGTCAGCCTTGTTGATCTGGATACTGCCAACCTTGAACCACGCCACATTGTCAAAGCTTGACGGCTCCTGGCTACCAGGCTTGCCCGTCAGAGCAACGACATCATCCACTTCAGAGCCTCCTCCGATCGTTTCCTGCAAAGCCCGGCCAAGCTGAGCATCCACAGGCACTCCGATGAGATCACCAGACCGTACCAGCCTGGTCTTGGAAGCAAAGAAATGCTTCAATCCGCCCAAAACTGCCGTCTGGTACGCCCTCTCTGCAGAGACTGGCGTCCGTACGTGGTGGATGGTAATCTCCCGGGCATAGGGGGGGCGGGAGGCACTCGTGAACCTCGGCAGCGTCCCCTTACCCAGGTAAGATGACTTCTTCCGCAGCGGCGCAATCCGGAGGTACTTGGCCTCGTCCAGATTGGCCAGCAGGATGGGCGACGCGTACGCCGTCGGGCTCGGCGTCGGCTGCACCTGGGAGTCGAAGAACGAGAGCCTCCTCTCCCCCATCTTCGAGCTCGGTATCCTCGTCATCGGGCGCTGCGCGTAGCTTTCCGGGAGGCCGTAGACACGAACCGGCCGCCAGTTCCCAGGGGCCTCCGAGTTCAGCTGGCCAAAGCTGCCCAACCCGAACGCTCCAAAGCCGTTGACGGGGGGCTCCTCGGCAGCTTCGATACGAACCCAATCACCTGAAAAGCAGCCGATTTTAGACAGTGAAGATACATGGACGTAGACGCGAGCCTCGTCGTCGTCCTCTGGCGCAGGCTTGGGATGTAAAGAGTCTGCCGGCATAGGCCCAAGTAGTCCCTGCGCCTTGAACAGTCGCCCCCTAGGCCTATCAGGCCGTGCCGTAGTCGCCGTCATGTTGGAGAAGACGGAGCCCGGTGTCGACACACCATTAGTCTTGCGTCCCCTAAGCGTGCCTACAGTCATCGGCGTGCCAGCCTGGAGTGTGGAAACACCACTGGCAGCAGAGGTGGGTAGCGTAGGCGCCTGCAGAGATATCATGTCGTCCATGGAATCGTCCGAGAGGTTGTCGTCGTCCTCATCCCGGTCGTCGTCTGACAGGTCCGTCTCCGTCTCGGTGCCAGTCTCCGTCTCCTCCCCGCCAGGCGCATCAGACCGATCACGCTCCTCGGCCGCAGAGAAGAACTGGTCCGTGTTCCCGCCGTCGTCGTCCTCGCTCGTCTGGCGGCTGACGGTGATGGAGGGCGTCGAGATCCTCGCGCGCTTCCCCTGGCCGCGTCCCCGCATGAGAATGATCTTGGTGGTGTCGGCTAAGACACCCTGCGCCACAGGCTCGCACAGCATGATCCGCCCGGGGCTCGGAGGCACATGGGTGACGGGGTGCGGAGGCAGCGGTAGGGGGAACAGGTCCTCCGCGTGGACGATCTTGAGGCTGCTCAACGCATACCTCAGCGCCGAGGCCAGCTTCTCGTCCGCCGTGGCCGAGCCCTTGCCCCGCCCCGCGGCCGTGGGATGGTCCCGGTAGAAGGTGCCCTCCCCAGCCTCCAGCCGCCGCGTCAGGTCGCTCTCGATGTTGACGTACACGGTGTCGAGGCGGATGGGGGCTGCGTCCAGGACCAGCACGTCGAGGCCGCTCCGATGACCGGCCAGCTTCGAGGGGGCGAGACGCTGCAGGGAAACGGCGAATCGCTGCAGGCACGACGACGAGGGGGAGAAGTATACAGTCGATGTCGCGCCCAGGGTCGTGGAGCGAGTCACGGGGACGAGGGACCAAGGAGCGCCGGTCGCTGAGGCTTGCGGAGTCCATGGCGCGAGGGCAATATGGGCTACATCGGTGCTCGAGTCTGCGTCTGTTGCTGCTGCTACGCGGCCAAAGGTCAGCTACCACGAGGTGACAAAAGGGGCATCGAAATCGAAAATAATTGTCCCTTACCTTGGTTGGGAAACAGCTCGCGGAACAGGTCGTCTGAGAGGAGACCTACGTCTCCCCGGATCTGGTCGTCGAGGACCAGCCGTGCTGCGACTGGTGGTTTGTCGATGCGACGACGGCGCCGTCGCCTCCGGCTAAGTGCTGCGCTGGCCATTGCCAGTGATCAATGAGGCTGCTATACGCCCCTCCGGTCGAGTGAGTGCTGGTGGTTTGCAGAGTCTTTGCGAGGGGAGAGCGGACGGCTTGTGAGAAAAGAGCTTGGGCCCTTTTGGTGGTGCGAACCCTCGGCCAAGTCTCTGGGCGGATCGGTAGACGCTCCGAACCAGCAGCTGAGGAGCCAATGCCGGTCACCAAGGGGCTGGCTGTCTTGTGTGTCTGCCCGCGATGCCGGACAGCCTTTCACATTGCCGAATTAGAAGGAATATGGGGAAGCAGCGCAGAAATGAGTTGGAGAAGTGACAAAGACGGACTGGTTCACATGGGCCAGTGACATGCAGCACGGTGCTAAACCTGATGGTTGGCATCGGGGGTTGGAGCTCTGCTGCTTGGGGGAAATCTGGGGCTCGGCTCGGACCCCTGCACAAGCCTCGGCAAGCAGAATAAGCATGGACCCCAACTGAAGCATCGCAGAGTCCGCCGGGTAGGATTTGCCTGCCTGGGCGACGGATTTTGTTTCCGGGTTTGGACTCGGTATACATCACTTTACTTGTTCGCGGTCCTCTCATCCATCCATTTGGTAATATCGGAGCTGACAGCAGTGGCGGAATGTCTCATGATTCCTAGCGAGATATCTCTCTATAGGGTATGTCAAAGCTATTGCACCCAAAAGCACAATGGAATGGAATGGAACTGGCAACTAGCGCAACACTTATTATGGTTGGAATGTGGAAAAGGTGGCAGCTGGTATGGTCAGAAATAGCTCTTTGTATTTTTAAATCGGAAAAGCATTGGTCATTAAATTGCTTCGTGAGCCCCTTCTTCTTCGTCCCCTCTTCCCTTGTTGTTCTCCTCTTCAAACAGCCAACAGTCTATATTGTCGCCAAATATGTCCAAAAAAAATCATCGCCAACAGTCATGCAAACTAGAAAGCGTACATCGTATGTCTATACATTGACATTTCCAACAGCCAGATTTCAACCAGTCTTGCAACTCCGGGACGCCGTTATGGGGGAAACGATCCAGCATCTGACAGGAATAAAAAAAAATGTGTTCCTCCTCTCCTCTGTCCCTCATTATTCAAACATGTCCGCACCCGACGGCCGGCTGCTGCTGCCTCTCCGTCTCTCCATCCGTCGTCGTTGTCGTCTCGTGTCCGCCGCAGAGCCTACTGTCGGCGCCCTCCCGGGGTTCGTCTGGGAACCGCTCATCTGACTCCATGTCCCGTGGCTCTCCTGGCTGCCGAGACTGGACACGGTTTGTCCTGCCGCGATCGAAGTGCCCGCTGGCCCCGGCTGCCCAGCAGCGCCGCCGGAATAATATGCTGAATCCTTACCTGCGTTCCGGCGGCCCTTGGCAAAGGCAGGGTTGGGAGGCGACAGAGGTCCCAGATCGCTAACCTCCGGCTCTGTTGCTGCTGCCTCCGTGCGGCGTTCAACTTCCGACTCCGCCCTCCGCTGGCTGGAGTCGCGTCGGTATCGAGTGCGGGTGTAGCCTGGCGGGTCGATCCCGGACAAGTCACTCTCGGAATCTGCGCGACTCCTACTCCTGTTGCCTCGGGCGGTTCTGGCCTCCTCCTCTGTTAGTCGGCGAAGCGTCACGTTCCTGTCCTTGTCATCATGCACTTTGAGCTTCAAGCTGACAGACTGGCTGTGGGGTGACCCGTAGCGTTGTCTGTCACGGTCCTGCTCGGCCGCGAGGCTTGCGGCTCTCGCCTGAGCAGCTTTCCCAGCCTTGTCTCCATGCGACCGTCTTCGCGAGGAGTCTCGTCGCTTGGGGCGAGGATCCGAGAGGATCGAGCTCTCTACCTCGGGGCGGGGAATCAATGGAGGCTCCGGCGGCGAGATCGGCGAGAGGGGCTCGGTATCGTGTCGCGAGCTCGACCTAGCCCGCGGCAACTTACCTGTACCTGAAACGACTGGAACGGGGTGTTTAGCATCACTGGCTTGAGGCGGCCTGCTGTCATCATCGAATGACGATTCCGTCATCTCTGTTGCAGTTACTTGAGATGGCATGCCCGTCTGTCGTCTAGGCAGTGGTCGCCTCGATGATTTTCTGGTCGGTGATACGTAACCATCCCCAGTGTATCGAGGTTCTGTCAGGCCGGATCTCATATCATCTTCCTCTTGGATTCGCTTATCCTCCTCCTTCTTGGCTCGCTTATCTGCCAGTTTTTTACCGAACCAACCTAGCCCTAAGCCAGCAAAGAGACCCTTGGCAGCACCACCAGCGCGACTTGACTCAGGCGGCGGCGCACGGCGCGAGGGGCTTACATATGATGAGTATTCGGAATCCTCGAGACTGCTCCTGCGGCCAGGACGTCGCCCAGCACCGCCCGATGCGCGCGGGGGGCTGTCATTTCGTCGTGATCCCAATCTAGAGTCGGCGGCACTAAGTGCACCAGCCATCATTGGTGGTGGCGGAGGTCCGGGCGCAGGTCCAGGTGTAGGTGACATCAGGGAAGTTTCGGTAGGGGCTGGACGGGTATCTTCGGTGTACACGCTGCTGAGTTCGCTCTGGAATCGGCCTGGACGTTGGCGGCGAGGAGTCTCGGTGGACACGGCTGAGTACTCGTCACTTCGATTTTGTTTGTCCTTGCGGTTCATCAGGCCAGAGACCAGTTTTCCTGCACCGAGGGCTGCGGCGGCGCCTCCGAATATCTTCATGAAGCCACCTCCGCCCTCCTTACGGGGAGGAGGAAGCTCGGAGTAACTTTTCTCGCTGAAATAGCTGGCGGGAGCACCAGGTCGGGATGCCGTAGTTTGCGGGCCATGGCTTCGGTACGAGGGCGAGTGACTCCTGCTCCTGCTCCGACTCCTACTTCTGCTGCGACTGCGTCCGCGATCCTTGTTCTTCTTTCTATTCAGGAAAGCAAAGGCCGCACCGCCAGCAGCAAGAGGGCCGAGCCACTTCAGTTTACTGCTGTGGTCTTTGCCTACTTCGGTATGAGGTGCCTCGGAAGCAAAGTATTCGGTGTCCGTGATTCCGGTTACTCGAGTTCTACCGGCCTCGGACGGCGCTCCTCCCGACATGATGTACTCGCGCCGGCTGGCGGACCTGAAATTCAGGATGAAGTACAGCACGAAGAGGAGGGCCATCCATACAGCGAATAGGATGAAGGTATACTGGGGAGAACCATACAGGGTAAGCCCAAGCGGAACTTGTGCAATCCCCAGCAAGGCCATGCCCCTTCCAATCCATTGATGCAAGGTCACCCGAAGAGACCGAAGCTTCTTGATACCCCTGATGAAGATTCCAGCCAGGAACTGGACGCAAAACAGCACATACAGAACCAGGCCAATGACGTGATGCGGGTTCGAAAGGGAACGCTTCGGGCCAACGGCAATGTTTCCAAGGATGAAGACAATCGTGAGAAGAAGAGCGGAGAGGATGTGCAGCTGGACGTGGTATCTGACAGCCGCCCCAGGCCGACGGTCGTAAAAGCGCATCAACATCAGGGCCGACGGGATGAGGAGCAGAAACACGAGCGCGCCGAGAACGCCGTGAGCGATGATTATCGTATGGTATTGTGTTAAGGTTGCGAATCGATTTCCCATGCCTAAGAAAAAATTGACAGCGCTGGTTAGTGGCAATCCCCAAGTACACAACACACAGATGCCAGGACAGATTGGCTCTCACCATTGTATCGCATGGTCTCGAAGTTGGGTGCTACCAGGTTGGGCAGCAGGTAGGTATTCTTGGTGAAGTCCCAGGTTCCATCGCCTACTGACATAGTGTCCGAGTCGTAGGTGACAGAACCTGGGTCTGAAAACTCCTCTGGAGTCGGCGCCATGATGGCGGCGACTATGACGAACTCGAGGTCAAGCCAGAAGGGGTCCTCGTTGGTGGGAGCTAAAGCGGTTCGCCAACTGGTGGTGGGTGGTGGTGAACAATGGACTCGGGATGTAGCGAGGAATTTCGATGTCGCAGATGGAGGTTAGAATGGAGACTGTCACTGTCTGAGCCTTGAGCAGAGACGGGCGGACGTTGGTGGGAACGGCAACGGGGTCCAAATATTTGCTGGTTGGCGGGGTGAGCTAAAGTGGTTGCGGCGCCTTGACCATGCTGAAGATTCGCCTTGTTGGACTACCGACCACCATTCGCCAGCAATGATGATACGGAAGATAAAAAGTTAGATGGGATGAGAGTTGCAGTAGAATGGCAGTGCGAAAAAAGAAATATGGACATCAGTCAACAGCGTTCGCTGGCAGATGGGGTCTGGAACGGCTCAACAGCTTGTTCGCACAAGCTCTGCTGATCCGCTGGTTGCGGGGTGACGGCGAGAACCCCTGCACAGCTGTCTGGAGCTAAGCCACAGGACGGACAGGCGTGGCTGCAACTCGTTGGCTGTGGCTAGAGCCCGGCCCCACTCGCGTGCTTCCCGTCCTCATGTGGTCTCACCGTCTTCTCCAGTGACTCGCCTTCGGTGTAGGTACAAGATGTTTATTTCCCATCCTCTCCTGGCGGTAGTATGATCCGTCGGGCACGGGAGATCTGCTTCTGGGTCCTACAATGCCCTTCAGCCGCGCCGATACATATAGCGACCACGGTCCACCTCACACCCGCACTGATTGTCGGGTTGCTTGTGGAGAAGTGTTGCACCGAGCTGCAATGATGTCGGCCGTATATGTGCTTACCCATTCGGCTCTCAAGTTACGGGGCGTAGTTTCCCGGTTTTTGGTAGGTTATGTAACGTTAATTCGTGCGGGTTCTTCACGTGAAGGCCGAGTCAAACTGCTGCTCCAACTGATTACCAAGTTTTGTCCTTTCACTCAATGCAGGGACAGGAGATCGACTACATAAAGCGTATTCAGTATCAATAGTTTGAGTACCTACGGTATCAACTAGTCAATCCTCCTGCGCCGCGTTGATGACCAGGCAGTTCTAGGCTCCACCTTGGAAAACAGATGCGAGGTCAGCATTGTGCAGTAAACTTGAAATAGCCACAGAACTCTCAGAGTCTTTTTCCACGCTTTCATGCAAAGAAATGCATCAGCTTCTCGTCAATTTTCAACCTACACTGCCGAGAATGAGTTGTAAGGAACAGGTTGAGATGAATCTAAGTCATTGTCTCTCACATGTGATTGTCATTGGTTGGTACTCTCAATCCCAAGTTAAGGGATCACCTTTCACTCCCACCCTGAGTTTCCAAGTATCAAAACGTAACTTGTGTTTTGCAGCCGGCATGTCGTGCGCTAAAGAAATTCCCCCTTCCTCAGTCTTCTTCACCACGTTGACCTGCACTCATCGCGGATCTCCACAGTGGCCTCATTCACGATGTTGCCACTCTTCCACGAACTAGAGAAATCTCTACCTTCTTGGATTATATTCTCGCTCGCCAAGCGGCCTTATCGGAACGCGTCATTTGTCCTTTTACTCGTGTTGGCATCGATCTTTTGGGTGTATCATGCCATCGCAGCAGAGAGTTTCATCACTCTGTTGAACAGCGGGTTGAGCAGTCAGGTATTTGGACCCGGAGGAGGACGGCATAATGGATCCGCTGCTGGTTTACACAAACATGTCGGTATACCTATGAAGATCTGGCAAATCATGCTACCCAAGCCGCGCGATGATGGTCCGCCTCATCCACCCGACCCGGCACAACTTCAAGATACTCCATCCTGGTTGATCTTGAACCCCGATTACAAGTAGTATGTAATCCCCACTCACAACATCTTGGGTTCTGTTGCATATTTATTCCCCCCTTGCGGACTTGTTTCCAAACATGACGAATATCTGTCGTTGCTTCTCGGCTTTTACCTTCTTCCTTCCCTTGCTGCCATATGGACGATGAGACTTCGTTTGACTAACGCTCGGACTCTAAAATAGCACGCTTGTGGGCGAAAGAGGGGGGATAGAATTTGTTGACAACAACTTCGCCGACCAACCAGCCATCATCGACACATATAAGCGTCTCCAGAACATGGGGATGAAGTCGGACCTCCTACGCTACCTCCTCTTATACATCGAGGGAGGTGTTTACACAGATACCGATACAGTCGCCATCAAAGGCGTCGACGAATGGGTCCCCGGCTTCATCAAGAGCGAGGTAAACTTGGTAGTTGGAATCGAATTCGACAGGCGGGACGGCGCAGCTTGGGCCGAAATTCCTCACTGGCTTCAGTTCTGCCAGTGGACGATTGCAGCGAAACCCAAACACCCTGTGTTCCAAATGATGGTCCAGCGTGCCTTATACTCCATCGATTTGCTCTCGACGGAAGTGTACGACTCGCCTCTTGACAGTATCTCACCCACTAGCTTTGAGGTGATGAACTCCACGGGCCCGGCGGCTTGGACGGACGTTGTCTTCGAGTATCTGCAGCAGCTCGACCCCTCGTTGGAGGACACCAAGGATCTATCATTCATGACGGGGCCAAGATTGATCGGGGATGTCTTGGTTCTCAATATTGATGGGTTCGGGATGGGGCAACAGCATTCAAAAAGTACGAATGACGGGACTATTCCTTCACAGGCACTTGTGAAACATCTCTTCCGGGGCTCTTGGAGAACGAGTTAAGCATCAAAAGGGTGTACAGCTTTTGTTTGCAGCCATTGTTATTTAATTTGCGATATTGATAATCTGAATAAGGTATCCATGAATGAAATACATTATGACTTGTTGTCAATTGAAACGCTGTTGTTGAACTATATAATCTCGACACTCATCCAACCAAATGGGTCAGTATAGGGTATCGAAGTCGCACATTGACGACTCCAGGTCAGCAATTTCCCATTACAACGCTTAAGTTCGAGACTTTGGATCACAGCGGTCATGAATGACACGAGAACTACCTCCAGCAGATATCATTCGACGGAATTTAGCTCGTGGCACTGATTTCGACTCCATGAATGAACCTCGCTGGCTCAGCATTCATGTTGCCAGCCTGGGCCTGCAAGGTTAGGCGGAGTAAAGCGACGACACAAACTAATCCTCTCTTCCTTTGAATTCTTCCTAACAACTCACTGTCAACGGCTCTCTCTTGGCTCGAACATAAAGAGCTGGCGATGCTCTGACGTCTATTTGGAAAAGTACTAGGAGCCACTCCATCCAAGATACGAGATCACTCATCCCTCGAATCTTTGAGATCGAGTTATCAGGTTTCAAGCCAGTGTGTACTCTCAGTCGGAACTGACTTTCGGGTCATATTCTGTGGCGGCAGCTCCCAAGAGTCAGTGTAACACCGTATAGCAAGCCCAACGAATTTCCCAACGAAAACCTGAGTTTGATTACACAGGAGCTCCAGGTTGGGCTCATGCCTAAGCAGCCCAGGTCCCTTTCCTCCATGCCGGAAAGAAAGGACTCCCTTAACTCCCAGTCTCAGCCGCTGATACCATTATGGCGAAAACCCTAGGCCGAAATGAAAAGACCTGCCAGGCAGGCAATAAGTCCTGCCAGAGCAGCAGGGTAGACAAAGGGTCTAATAGGGAAATAACTTTGGGCTGCGGGTGTACTGCCAAGAATGGCCAAGACAGCTTCCCGACGGTCGCCCTCCGCCCCCGGAATTGCTTGTTCTCCGAGACAGACAGGCCTCCGATCCCGGGACGGTATATTGCTCAATAATATCGTCAAACCTCCTATTCGCTACATAGTGTAACAGCCCCATCAGACGGTCCAGATATTCTTTCCCCGAGGGATTGGGCTTGCAGATTGGGTCACACCGCGGAGACAGGGGACGCGAGCACTACAGACGATCGTGGCCAGGCTAGAAAGGGGCGAAGGTGAGTTCCACGCGAGTGTGCCTGCGAAGGGGCGACGAAGAGGACCCTGCCTCGCTGCGTTAAGGAGACCCAGGCCGATCCATGGCCACTGGGACGTTAAGCTAGGGCGGGGAGGTGATGTAAAATTGCATGCGAACTACCGACTGCAACGTCGCGAGAGATATACAATTCAGATCAGATGGGCTCTTGGGGCAAAATCTCATGTACGATAAGCAGCCCACGCGACGTCTGTCTGCCCAGTGCTCCATGTTTGTTAAGATTTGGAAACGTAGTTCGGTGTGATGTGTTGTACCATTAGGCACCAATAGATCCAAGTCTTCCTGAGCGGTGAAGTCACGGGGTTCATGCCAGAGAAGCTATCTTCGTTGGCGGTCTATCTGCGCGAGGCCGTTCGTGGATCGTGGAGCCAGTTGTTAAACAGAATCGCGGCGGTGGCGGTCTAGGAGATTGCCAATTACTGTAATCTGTTTAGCTACTAACATGGATGCTCATCAGATAGATGGGTCAGAGATAGTAGCACAACTGCCTTCTGAGCATCCTAGGTAGCCAATGATGTCTGTCGGGGCAGCCAGCCGGGCCTTGCAGTTTTAGGCAAGGTGGCAAATCAGTGGGTAGGTAAGTTGTGTCCACTGGGGCACTGAGCGATGGCCATCTCGCCGCCTTGTCAAAGCTCACATGAAGGGACCGAGCGAGTTCTTTATTATTGGCAACCTACATAGTACACACGGAAGGGCGACACGGAGATGATGTGGGCACACCGAAATTGAGATGGCGACGCAATCACCTTAGCTAATTGCTCTTCAACGGCACTTAATTGCACATATGGCATTCAACCTAGAAGCTTGCGAGGTGTTCCTGTGTTGTTCTTCCACTAATCACTCAGCGACCCTGGGCAGGGCCTCATTAAGCCGTGCGCGGTGGAGAGCCTAATTTAAATCTGAAACGAAGCGACGGTCTGCCCTGGGTGGCTTGTGGCGCCGCTAAGTCATCACGTCTCCTGTAGCCACAAGAGCTGTAAATGCCATAAGGTTGCCCCAAATAGCAACAAGGATCTGCCCGGCTTACTGCATAGCTTAGATGTCCCGCTGCGCTCCAAGACGGCTGCACTCACATTCGGTGCCGTAGGTATGTTGCGAGGCTCTGTCCGTAATATCGATTTTAGGGCCGTCGCCAAGGCAAAGAGGCTAAAATAAGGTCAGGCTGTTCTAAAAATCCATTTGTCGATGCACATTGCCAACAACCGAAGGAACGGATGCACCAACAGATGCGATCGACAACGGACAGGAAAGAAAAGACGCGGTGGTTCTTTAGCCTTTCGCCGTGGCCCACATCAGCAGGCCTAGCAGCTACTCGCTCTCTGTCAATCGCAATTTGTGTGCCAACCTTGCATGAAGACCCCAAGCATCTCTGTCTGCAGAAGAGAGTTTTTATGCAACGGTTTGTGCAGCCAACCAGATGCCAGATGACGACGTTTGCTCTTCGGGCCAATTACCATGCCTGACTCATTTGGCTCTTAACCGCCGAGCGGCCCCCAACGCCAATCACGGCTGCTATTCGACGAGTGCAATTGCACAGCTTGCTGTCGTGAGATGAACTTTTGGTCACCACATGAAAATCGCAGCCCAATCCAACACAGCGCACACCCGGTCTGCTGTGCGTGCTTGGCTGTTGTGCTGGCATCTCTCCGGCGCCGCACCTGACCTTCCACCCGGTTCTGTTCTCTCAGTCCAGCAGCGGCCAGGATGCGTTGTCAGGGCAGGCCTCCGCTCGCTGTAAATTGTGTAGGTCCCTCCGCCTAGGCTCTGTTGGTGCTAAGGGCAGTTGCCACTGGCAGTGCTAGGCCAATCTGAGCTGCTGATGTGATTTGACTGGGGACGTGGCATGACGTGAAGGAATCCCTGGATGATGGATCCTCCACCGAGAGCAATTTCCAGCGGATGGATCTAAAATAGAGAGCCGTCCAACCATCCTTGGCCAGCACCCCTGCCGCCGTGTGCCTGAGCAGTCGTGGACTGTGCCGACAGTTCTCCAGTCCACCCTGCAAGGGACCGCAGTACATGCAGCCAGCCAGTAACGCGGCCTCCGGGACTCACTGTGCTGCACCCGCAGACTTTTCCAAACAGCCAATTTCCGTGCCCAAATTGGCGAGGTATACTTAATGGCACCGCTTCCCCCTCTCACCAGCCGCTTCTGCCTCTCCACCCCATCCACACTCACTCGTCTCGACGACAGCAAATACACTCTTTTTGAAAGACCTTTTCGCGTGCTATTTTCTATACACCAACTCGCAGCTTCTGCCGCCGGTCGCCATTCAATCTCTTGCTCACGTTTCTTGTTGACGAATTCTTCACACGTTTCACGACACACCAATCAAAATGCGTTTCTCCGTCGGTATCGTCGCTGTCTCGGCTGCTCTCGCCAGCGCCAGCATTGCCCCCTCTGGCAACCCCGTTGGATCGGATGAGACCACCACTCTCACCTCCACCACCTACAAGACCACCACTGTCACTGAGTGCGCTGCTACCGTGACCAACTGCCCTCTCAAGAGCAGCACCCAGGTCCCTGTTGTCACCATTCCCACCACAACCCCCGTGGTGACTCCCTCCAGCAGCAAGGTCACTCCTTCGTCCTCGAAGGTCACCCCCTCTTCCTCCGCTGTCAGCTCCAACTCTCCCCACTGGTCTGTCAACACCACCACCACTGTTCGCCCTACTGGCGGTGTTCCCACCACTATACTCCCTACCACCTCTGCTGCTGCCACCACCGGCAACAACAGCCCCAACCAGCCCGGTACCAGCGCTGTCCCTACTGCTGGTGCCTCTGGCCTCGCCGCTTCTGGTCTCCTGGCCATCGCCGCCTTCGTCGCCCTTCTCTAAGCGACGCAGCCTTTGGAGTGAAATTTCTGGCTTAGGGCGTCACTGTGGCGATCGTTTTTCTATTTAGGCACAAACAATGAACCACCCCCAGTTGTTGGACAAATGATATCCCTTGAGTTCTGGTTTTATTCTTGATTACAATGTTGTTGTGCGCGTTGGCATAGGCGGCCGACATCTTCGCTTCTATGGGGACAGGTGCTTGTTGAGAAGTATTTCGCTTCGCTTATATTTTAAAACCTAACATTCTTCTGTGTATATTTTCTGGATATCGAGATTTGCAGAGCGAACTAGATTTCTCTGGTAATGGTTGTAAACCATATTGAACTCAATTTTATGACATGAAACATGATAACTCTTCTATCTCTCCACATCATTGACAAGTGATGCCTGTCTAACTTAATATTCGATATCAAACTTCTGGAACATAGGCCCTCCTTTTCCCCATTGTGCTTGACTCGCGGCAGCTCCTTTGATTTCCCCATGCTTTCCGAAATTAAAGTCTGGAACCGGACATGGTCGAGTCCACTGGGGTCCGTCGCTCGGTAGCTCTGGAAACCATGGGCGCTGGCGCCATGCGGCCTGAGGCTAAGTCAGGTACGCGCATGGCACTTTTTTGGCCGCCACCCCGTTGTGGTAATTAGCGCTCCCGGGACCACCAGAAAGCTTTCTCCCTCGGCGAAGTAATTCCCCTGTCGATCAGTCATCAGCCTCAAGTGTTCCTTATTAGCCACCCGAGCTAGTGTCACTGTGGCTTGCCACCAGACCTCAAACCCGAGATCTTCGAGTGAGATTTGCGGCGCATCAATTAGCCGTGTCCTCTCTTCTATAATGGCAATATTTGACCATGTTCTTTACTCTGCCCTGGCAACATGGGACACATGTGCCCAGACTGCCTGCGCTCAGTTGTACGATTGATGGGCGGATATGGACCGCCACACTTGTTAACCTGCCGGTACAATGGGGTACCTGTGTTCAACGGTCGGTACATCCGCTTACAATACGCGCACCTCAGCAACTGGAATATGGTTATCCAAGACAGTTCGATCATCGTGGCCTAGCCACATTAACAGCATAATCGTAGACGTAGTTTTAGACAATCAAAATATGGTTCTCACCCGAGTCCCCTCCCTTTTTAAGACAACAATACACCCGACCTCCATGGTGCCTCCACTACCTACAGTGGTCTTGAGTTAGGTACTTGCACTCAGTGAACGCTATCTGGGCGCCACAGTTCCAGGGCTCAACGGTCTAGGGTATTCTCCTCGGCCTTTTCTCAACGACACATTCTTCCCCCACACCTGCACAATTTGTGACCCTTTCGCACCAGGAACTACTTTCAGTCATCGCCTCTATTCTTACTCGGCGGCTCGTCTGCATTCTTTGTAGTAATCATATATCTCAGCTAGCTCCTTTCCGCGTTACAAACTACCCTTTGCCGCCTCTTTTGCCAGTTGATCAGCCAGACTGAGCCTCCATATCTGACTCAAATCCTCATCCCGCATAGGCAAGGTCTGAACTGACAACAGATATCTAACCAAAAGAGAAACCCTCCGGTGTACTGTCTCTGGCAGGAATGACGGGATGAAATCACCGACAAGGTGAACACGTAGACCGAGTACACTACTTATCATATATGCATGTTTCAGTCTCCCTGAGAGGTCCCCATCAACTAATTCCCACGTTTCTCTCGCCGAAACGTCTCCTGCCAAAACCTTGCCAGGGCATGCCCCCCTTTCCTTCGTTGCCTTCCGCGTTCCCCAGCGAGAGTCCGAGACAGTTCGTGGGTCGGGGGTTGCCCAATCACCGGCCCATCCTTTGCCTCGGCGCCCATAGCGTACATAGTAAGGCCTGTCGATCGAACGCCACCGCGAAATCGTTCAAGACATGATCTGCCGGGGTAGGACTAACCATTGCTTCCAAGTCACTGAGGGGCCGCTCGAGCGTTTTTCGGTTTGCTTTTTTAAATCACTGTTCTATTGATTCTGTCACTGGGGATCTAAATCTGAAGTTGAAGGTGGGCGCGCAGTTGCCGGCGCCTGTCTCTTATCTAACATTGTCCAAAACATTCCAGAAAGATTCCATTTGCGCCGTGTCTCAGACCTATCCTCGGAGCCTCCGACCTGAGCCATTGACTTTCCACCTCCGATCGAGTTGTTGGTGCGGTGCTCTGGTACTCTCGAGAATGAAACTCTATGCAAAGACAAAAAGGAAAGAAAGACGTAGGAACGAAAATGGACAAGAAACATGTGAATAATAATTCTGTGGCATTTTTATGTATAAAAGCAAGAAAATGAGAAAAACGAGACAAGAAAAGACACAAAAACAGAAGACATGAAAGGAATGACAAGAGAGGGAAGCTCAGAAGAGCCACTTCACCCCATACAAAATATCCAACACACGAACTAATAGCAAAACAAGAAGAATGTGCAAAACAAGGTGAGTGGGCGGAAGAACGAATCCACCTATAGGGGATAGACAAGTAAGAAACAGATGAATCGTTCCCAGAAGGAAAAGGGTATAGATGATCCGACCCCAAGCTGCCCTGCTTGACAGGTCACATATCGGAAAAGGAAGAAAGAAAAACCAAAAGAACCTGGTGGGGAATGAGCGCCAGGAGGAAACTGATCTGCGGTACACTTGGCTTGCGCCGGGATGTCTATAATTTTTTCTTTTCGTTCATTCTGGAAGGCTTCTATAGAATTCCAGAAGGCTTCTAGCGCACAGGGCCGAAGTGGTGAGGTATTGATCCTCGCTTAGGAGCATGGCTGGCCGCTTGCGTTGGCGGCGGCGCATGGCGCGCAGAGGCCCGTGTTGGAGTCGGCGAGGTTCTGGCAGTAGTGAGTGCTGTTGTGGGCGCAGAGCTTGTTGGCGTATGAGTTCAAGCCGGGGACGTTTGGCTGGTGAGAGAATGGAGCCTCGACACAGCAGAAGTGACCCAAGTGCATGTGTGGCGGGAGCGGCATCGCCGGCGTCTCATCCCCGTGATGGTGGACCGGAACACGCCGTGCTACCTCCGGGAACACGGAGGCCGGCTTGGGGATGGTGGTGACGTCGGCCAACGGAGAGAAAACGAAGAAGACAGCCATGGTGATCTGTTTTTCGTCCTGGTGTTTGGAAATGCTTGAAGATTGATGGTGGTGGATGAGTTGAGAACGTAGGAGTGTAAGTGGGCAGGCGGTCTGCTTTTATAACAAGGCTGTCAATGCTGTTGTTTGTTGAGTGAAGAATGTGACTTGTTTTGCTTGTGGAACGGTAATAACTGTCGATGGGATGCCTGTGCCTTTATATGTTGGAATGAATCATCCCAACTTATAAATTGTGTAGTTTGGATGGTACCTCGTCGAGGCACACCCTTCCACCCACATCAGGGAGGGTAGGGCACGGGTTGTCCTCATGGCAAGCAGGTATCCCCTGCCATTGACAAAGCGTCCTTTTGGAGCCGAGCTCGTGAGCGACAGGTCAGCTTCAAGTCACTAGAGCTCGTCTGTGTGTAGCCTATTCATCGGATGTCGTGGGGTGTCTGCTGATGGTGGACCCGAGGCCAGGCAAATGGTTATAAATGATCCTCTCGGGGGTGTTCACTCACTTACGACCAGACCAAACAATGGAGCAGGGACCGGCTGCTAGTCAGTGCCCCAGGTAAGGCCAGCCAAGCTCCCGGAGGCTCGGGAGTCAGATAGCTCTGGAGCCATGTACCACTGCACGAAAGTACACATGGGCTCGCACACCCACACACCCACCGGCATCTGGCACCCCAAGGGCAGAGCAGACTCCATGTCTTGGATCACGGTCTTCTAGAACGGATGGGCTCTCTTAGCCACCCATCTTCTGGTGCTCGCTGGAATGCCAGCGTTGCAATTGCGCACCCCCCTTCCCGGTCGCAAAAGCAGACTATCCAGTCCTCCCCCCAGGGCTGGCTGTCAGCGATTTAGGGCGTGTAGATCGAGGCGATGGGATCAATGGGTCGGCCCAGCCGTTGTCGTGCCTTCTCCACACTAGGTATTTTTTTCGCCCTCATGCCCTGCCAAGCCGAGCATGCAGGCAGGGAACAGCCGCTCCGCCATGCATTCAACTTGCTTCTCTGAAATGAATGTTGCACAAGACCTGCCGGCTGAACTGATAAGATTAATAATATGCACCACGCATAGAGACAGTCGTAATTGCAATTCAGAAGACGTCCGATGGTAATAATAGCCATGCTATTGGATTGGACAGCACCCATCCCCTCATTGTCCGAGAGCGAGAGGGGAGGGGAGGGAGAGAGGGCAGTCCTCGCCGCGCACTGGCTGTCATTGGTGATTAGCGGCTGGGCAGCTGGGAGATATGACCTGCCTCTGCCCAGTGAACAGGCATCACAATGGGTGAAAAATGACTGGTGTGTTGTCCGAGTCTGGCTCTGCCCTTTCCTACTGGTGCGTGCGCCACTGGTTCTGAAGTGTGGCTGACACGGAACAACCCCTGACCCCGGTCGACTGTGGCTCCCGCTTAGGAGGGACAGGCCCTACTCGCAACGCACCACGAGGCACAAAACGAGAACTTGGGCCAACGAGAGTCCTGTCCTGGAGTTGCTTATTGAGAGCAGCCCCCAAAGCCCCGCGGCCTACCATGTCGAGATCCAATAACGCTTTGGGAAACCGCCCTGCCGCCCGTTGACTATTCCTGCACACGAACTCTTGGCCATCTTAATTGCGTTCCCTGTCCTTGTCCGGCAGCGGAGCGGCCCACACCAGCAGGATGGATCACATCTAACCTTCGTGACCGGATCGTCGAATAATCGACGGGCAAGACTGTCTGGCCGCACGGCTCAATTAAATCGGCGAAGCACTTAGCATCTTTCCGACCTCATCTGACTCAGAGCCAGAGTGGTTCATGCGGGCCTGAGCGTCGTGTATAGCTTCACACAAGGACAGAGAGGGACGGCCGAACCCATGGCAGGGCGTCGACCAGCTGTCAGTTTGCCTTGCCCCTGTCATCTCCGTCATGGGCGGAGGGTAGCTGCGACCAATTAGCGATATGCTGCCAGCCATTCTCAGGATGCTTCGGCACCTGGTAAGGCAACAGCATTCAGCAGTGTATCATTTGCTGTGGCCGATCCATCGCGAAGGGCTGCTTGATCGTGTCTGCGACCCTTCTTAGGTAAAATCTGCGTCATAACTGAGCGCAATACGCTTCTGCTCTGAAGCTGCTGTCAACTCAATTCGACATTTATCACCGCCAGCTGTCGATCAGTCTTCGTCTCCATGTTATCGTATCATCGATACATAGCCAGGAGCAAATTTCCCGTTTGAGATACCGCCTGCGACTTCTCCGTCATTGAACATCAATGCCCCCTAGCCCCCAAGGCTTGGCTTGATTGGCAGCATGGTATGATGGTGTGCGATCCCTGCATTTTCCTCTCTCTCCGCCTTTCCACTGCATAATGGAGCCACGCCTTTTAATGTCCTCCAACGCCCACCAGCACGCGAGTACCGACGTGAACCGAAGGCCGCACCTCCCGAACGCTCGGGCGGAGGGCGCCGAGAAGAAAGTAAACCGCAGTGAGGGTGTGTAAGAGAGACGCTGCACGTAGACGAAAACGATGGAACAGAGACGCTCACATGGACTTCCGATTATGTGAGAGAGGCTGCCCACGCGGTGAGTCTGACCGTTATAGAACCGTTTGGAAGTCTAATTGCTGGGCCCTTCGGCCAAGGTATCATCAACGGCGTGATTATGTGATGGGTGGGTTTGTTATCCGGGTCGCCGTGGACTGCTGCCTCGTATCCTTCCTCCCTCGCGTTTTACAAATATCTATTTGTCCCTTCTACATATGGCTGATCTCGGTGTATGGTTGGTGACGTCGGATGTCAGATTAGGCCATCGGGAGTGGAGTTGAGTGACCGGCGAGTGACTGGTTTTCTATCTGACCAAGAGGCCATCCGTCTACGTCAATGCTGAGCAGGCTCTGGCCCTCGTGGACTCACCGAAGGCCAATGGGGACTGCCGTCGATGGCCATTAGGAACTTGAGCGTCCGGTGGGATGAGACGATTTACCTGTTCCGGGGTGAGGTGTATGCTCCTTCGTCAAATTACCACTAAACAGAGGATATCGTGAAGAACAATCCACAAAAAGGAGTTTGATATGCAGCCCTACGTCTCCGGGATGCAAGGCTTCAGCCCGTAATCCGCCCTGTAAGGTGGCAGGGGATTGATGTGGTTGGAGACTTATTGCTCTCGAACCTTTCAGCCGCGCGTGTAGCGCATATTAGCTCGAACTCCCCTACCACATCTGGGCATATTTTAGCGATGAGCATGGATAACTTAATTGCGAAAATAAGCCAGGGGTTTCTGCCATTCCATTGGATAATTCGTCGCGTCTAAGATTTTCTGGGACTTTATCTCAGGCTGATCGCGGCTGGATCGTGGCGCAGGAAGGGCGGAAAACGCCTCACGATATTCAGCTCTGATGGGATCGAGCGCGCGCTTGTATGCAGAGAGATGCGGACGCATTGATGTCAGAAACAACCACCGTCGGCCAGCGCGCGCTTACAACTGAGTCAACTCTTCAGCGGGAGTGTCGCTCATCTTGTCATGAAAGATATCCCTTGTTTGTGTTTTGCCGATCAAGGCCCCCAACTAACCAAGCGGCAAGCTATCCGTGCCTCTTCGTGACAAGATTTCAGCCCCCAAAGAGCAGGCCTCATACGAGCTCATAGCGAGTTAATAGCTATGTGAATCATCGCATCAAATTTGAGGCTTGGATATCACCATTTCTGGATAAGCAGGCTGGGATTCTGTTTGGGTGTGGTTGTAAAACGTCTTGTATGTATCATCGTGAGAGTTTCAGAGTCTCGTATTACTCGGAGCTGAAGTTGGAATCTGTAGATCCCAGCAAGGATTATTCGGCAAGTGATGCCCACGAGGAGTCAACCCGCCCTTGCCTCTTTCCGACGGTTGGGGTCACTCACGGAACAACCCGAGACTTACTCAATGACGACTGTCTCTGACATGTAAGTGAAGCAAGAACCAGGTCGCATTTGTCGCCATTATACATATTGCTCCCTCGCCAAAGTGCGAGTGATAGGCTTTGCCGTCCACTATCTTTTCGGGTGGTCCTGTTGACTTATCCACAGACTCCCATTTGCTGGGCCAAACAACCGGCACTGACAGCTTGAGCGCTGTGTACTAAAATAGTGGGCCAACTGTCTATTCACCGCCCCCCCTAACTAAAGCAATTAGTTGGTCCCCTACTGAAGCCACAGGGGGGATGGACGCTAAAAGGAACTAGAACCAGGGGGAGGGGAAAATTCCATTGAGGGTATGCTGGCTTCTCGTCTGGTCCTCGACAGCTGTCTCCAACCTCCCACCGTCAACATCGCAGGCCAATTGCCCTCATTTTCCCCAATTGACCCTGATTGACTGACTGTGGCCGGTCGTGCTTTCAGCTCGCCCATCATGTCCAAGTCAGAAGTGAAAGAGAAGGACTTCGTGTTCGTCAAGACTCCTGCCGCCGTCCCCTATGCCCCTGCAGAGGACTGTGGTGTCCCCATCACCAAGGTATGTTCGAATACTGCATGAATGCGCAGCCGACATGCTCACGTCTCCGTGGCTGTCCCCCTTGATTGATATTGCCAGAATTGGCGTCTATCCATGGGCTCAAGCTATTGCGCTTCTCGCAATCCCTTGCCCCCATGCCCGCGATCATTCCGGCTAACCCGCTCATTCTCAGTCTCCCGCGATTGCCAATGCTCCCCTCCCTGCGGATGGCTCCGGCGCCGACTCATTCAGCAACACTCTCCTGATCTCCCTCCTGGTCGGCATTCCCTACTACCTCAAATGGAAGGTCGGTGGTGGCCTGAAGACCTTCGTCTTCTTTGCTATCCTTGTCGACCTTCCCCTCCTTGCTGCCTTCTGGCTCATCGTCTCCGCGGTCAGCCCTCGCAAGACTGAGAAGGCTCGCCTCCCCAACCGTGGTGTTGAGCACTACCTGGACTTCAAGAACGAGGCCGATCGCCTCAAGTACCGTGGCCAGACCAAGATCGCAATGGAGACCTTCCACGAGATGTATTTTGACGGTGAGGTTGACTTCAAGGGCGATGCTCTTGAGGCCCTCGAGTACCGCCACGACTGGGCCAGCTTCCGCTTCACCATTGGCCTCATTCGCTTCTTCCTTCTTGGCTTCCTCCCCGAGATGATCATGCACACTCGTTCCCAGGGTAAGTAATCAGCGCAGTATATTCTGCTAAGCTCTCTGGCCTAGACACTAACGAGGAATCTTTTAGACGAGGAGCAGGTTCGTGACCACTACGACCGCGGTGACGACTTCTACGGCTGGTTCCTTGGCCCTCGTATGATCTACACCTCAGGTATCATCAGCGACATCGACCGTGAGGAGACCCTTGAGGAGCTCCAGGATAACAAGCTTGCCGTTGTCTGTGAGAAGATCGGACTGAAGGAGGGTGAGACCATGCTTGATCTCGGCTGTGGTTGGGGTACTCTTGCACGCTTCGCTAGTGAGCACTACGGTGCCAAGGTCACTGGTGTCACTCTTGGTCGCAACCAGACTGCTTGGGGCAACAGCGCCATGCGCAAGGTTGGCATCCCCGAGGAGCAGAGCAAGATTGTGTGCTGCGACTACCGTGATGTCCCTGTCCCCGAAGGTGGCTACCAAAAGATTACCTGTCTCGAGATGTCCGAGCACGTCGGTGTCCGTCACTTCTCTGGTTTCCTCTCTCAGATCTACAACATGCTTGACGACGATGGTGTTTTCTTCATGCAGTATGCTGGTCTCCGTAAGGCTTGGCAGTACGATGACTTCACCTGGGGTCTGTTCATGAACAAGTACATTTTCCCTGGTGCCGACGCTTCTACCCCTCTTGGTTGGACCATTGACAAGCTCGAGGCCGCTGGTTTTGAGGTTAAGGGCATTGACACCATTGGTGTTCACTACTCCGCTACTCTCTGGAGATGGTACCGTAACTGGCTCGAGAACCGTGACAAGGTCGAGGCCAAGTACGGCAAGCGCTGGTTCCGCGTACGTTTTGCCCTTCAAATGCTCGTTTTAGATTAACATGCTGACTTGATTTCGCAGATCTGGGAGTACTTCCTTGCTTACTCCACCATCGTCTCTCGCCAGGGCAGTGCCACCTGCTTCCAGATTGTGCTGGTCAAGAACCTCAACTCTACCCACCGTATTGAGGGTGTTCCTAGCCAGTACGGTCTTGACGGCGCTCTAGAGCAATTCAAGGCCAAGTTCGACCTTGAGTCCTGGGCTGGCAAGAACAACGTCAAGACTCCTTCCGAGTACCTGCAGTAAAGGTCTAAGATCTGAGTATACGGCAAAATCTCCAACCAGCCAAATGGAATATTATTGGCAAGGGTCTTATTGTTCTAGATCCCGGATGGCCCGCAAGTCGATTTTGCCAAGTATGCTACTGAAGTGCCGGTGCATGTACGACGAGGCGGAAATGACCTAATTACTTCTCACTAATCAGGGCGTAGCGAGGCGACTCGCCCCCTGTCAAGTCTGGGTTGGTCAAGAGGAGAAACACAGAGCATCATTATGCTCTTTGTATTAGATAGGCTGCTGCTGGCGGATGATCTAATATCGGGTAGACCCAAAGATCTGCTAGCAACATGTAAAACGATGGGATAGGATTCGAATCTAAACGGGTTAATGCCCGTATGGTTCATGTGATTTACACATCTAATATTTAACGATTAGACGTAGTAATGAAATAATGGTGTCTTAGGAATCATCAATAACATTTAATTTCGGCGGTATGTGGTGCAGACCGGTGGAGGACCTAAAGACGGCTTGGTGCATGGCCTGGTCTTCTCAGACGACACATGATTGTTGGTGTAGAGGTCTCTCTCATGGTGCAACAGTATCTTTTTCGCTGAGGAATATGTGATATCTGACGACTTGGTTGCCACAGAAGGAACAGGTTTAATATATAGCAATGTAAGACCATTTGGGTACACCTAGGCCGATATAGGGTAGGTAAGTTGTCTGCTACACCAACTTCAAACTCAAGGCAAAAGAACTATGATCTCATCCGTCGAGCCGGAAATTCGACATTTTGCGCCTCTCTCACCTCACATAGGCTCGCAATTATAGCAGATACACGGATGATGAGGCCATGGACTTTGAGTCGTCTGAGCCTGCGCCACCCCGTCCTGCCACTTGCGCGGACGCCGGGTGCCGCGTTGCTGCAACGACGTTTCAACGGCACACATAGTGATGACCCAGTAGCCGGTCCCTACACTCCTCCAAGCCTCAGTCAAGCGAAATCGGGGTGGATTTGGAAGGACCATTTCGCTGTGGGCCCGGCTAGGCGGTTCAACACCCTCCTCAACGATCTCCTGCCCGACGCTTTCATCTTTCATGACGGGTATAAGAAGGCGATGCCTCAGGGCTTCCACCTCGTCTACTTCCCCATCCACGCCGCTCCGTCAAAGCTGGCCCCGGATGGCGCCGAGAGCCAGCATGTGCCTGGTGGGTTTGATCTCACGAAGCCGGGGGCGACGAGGCTGTGGGCTGGGGGCTCGTTGACCTTCTCCGATGACTGGGCCCAACAGGTCCGGTGCTTCAAGCCTGGTGGGGGGAGGACACCGTATCTCTGGACCTGCAGAGAGACGTTTGCCGGCATGAAAGTCCTCAAGCGTGGAGACGAGTCCAAGGCTGTGGTGGAGCTGCAGAGAACATACGGAACGGAGGAGGAGGGATTCGGAGAGGTGGGTAAAGAGCCGGTCGAAGAGCAGGTTTACATTGAGGAGACCAGGTTGCTGGCCTTTGTGCCCAATTTTGAGCCGAAGGCCACATCGTTTGGAAGTAGGTTCAAATTATCTGGCTTACGCGCTGTCTCTCCCAACATCTCGGACACGATCACAATTTGATTGTTGGATAGCCTGTGCTGAAACGTAGTCGCTGACCAAAACAAAAACCTACAGCACCGGGAGAAGCCGACTTCAAGTACAAATTCACACCAACACCCGAGCAGCTGTTCCAGTTCTCGGCGCTGACGAACAACGCGCACTTCATCCACCTGGACCGAGAGAAGGGGATTGTCCACGGCCCGCTCACTCTGGCCCTCATGCTGCGGACCCTCACCCACGCTGTGCATGGCCCGACCGGTACTGTGTCTGACGTGCTGAAGATTTCGTACAGGAACCTTTGCCCGCTCTACGTGGGGCAAGAGGCTACGATTTGCCTGCGCAAGCGGCCGCAGGAAATTGGGAAGAGCCCAGAGGAGACAAAGAATACTCCTGAGGAGAAGGATTCCATATCGGTGTGGGATGTCTGGATCCAGGAGCCGGGCGGAGGCATGGCCGTGAAGGCCACCGCTCATGTTCGGACAGCACCGGCTCAGCCTCCCAAGACCAAGAAATACCCGAGTCAGACTGGGTAACCAAAGAGATACCACCGCAAGAGTAGGCCCAATGGCCCAAGGCTAGCACATGGTGAATGCCGAAAACGGACCCAAGCCTGGAGGCCTGATGTATAAAAATTATCTTATTTGTATTATATTCGTACCTACAAACGTGGGAACGAAGAAAGTGGACAATTTACGGCTGCCATTTATTCCATGGCCTCGTCTAGTACAGTAGCTTGTATAACATATGGTTAATAAAACACAAGGGAATATGCAGTCCATTTACACAAATACAGTCCGCCCGTCACTCCTGAACCCAAAATATTCTTCCCCCTTTTTTTTCTCTATAAATAGTATCCAAAATCAGTCGGCGAAGCCAAACACTTCACCGACGGACAAGGTGTTGCCTCGCACACCCAGCAGGGCAACCCAGATGCCCAGCACGTCAACGACCAGGAGGAGCACGGCGCCCATCATGAACCTGGGGTTGAACACACGGTACAGCATGAGGTGACGCCTCAGCCAGCCGGCAAAGGCCATGGAGGCGAGGGCCTCGACGGCGTAGTAGGCGACGAAGGCGCCCAGCCCCCTCGAGACGGAGTCCAGGACGCCCTTTTGCTTGGGGCCGACCCCCCACAGGCTGGTGACGAGGGGCACGCTGGCGGCGGCGATGATTTGCGGGCCGAAGGTGTTGAGGGCCACGATGAGCGGGGTCCAGGGGTAGCGGATCGTCTCGAGGGGGATGAAGGCGGCGTCCCACTGGAGGCTCGCGAGGGTGGCCTGGTGGCCGGTGCGGAAGTAGTAGAAGTTGCCGAGCATGGCGAGCATGACGGGGCCGATGGCCTGTGACTTTATGCCCAGGCGGTCCACGATCTCGGCGAGGGCGAGGATCTGCCACAGCATGAGGCCCAGAGAGCCGATGCCCATGGGCTTTGTTACGACGGAGATCCCAACAACGAGGTTGAGGATGAGGATCAGGTATCGAGCGCCGTGTGCATTGCCATAGCCGAGGATGGTGACGCGGGCTTGGGGCTGCTTAGAGCCAGGGACTTGCGGGGCGGTTGAGACGACCTCTACACAGGGAGGTGCCCAGATAAAGGCTGTAGAGCCGGCGATGAAGCTAACGGCGAGTCCGAGCTGTGCGACGTATCTGCCGAAGGACTTGAGAATCTCGGATGAAACACGGCCAGCGAGCCACTCTCCATTGTCAGCAGCATCGATGATCCAGTAGGCGGCTGCGGTGAACAGGCCGAACCGGAAAACTCCGGTAACCCAGGTGGGCATAAGTCCAGCCCATGATTTGCTGGGGGTGATGAAAGACTTGACGATGCTTGGTAGCGCCAGGCTGACGATGACGGGAATGGCAAGCTGCCAAGGAGCAGATGTGGAGGATGTCGTAGAGGCGTAGTATGTGGATGTGCAGAAAGGCATCTGCTCCTCGCGGCACAGCTTGGAAAAGGAGGCAAGTCTGCTTAGGATTATAAAGGAAATCGAGTGGTATATAGCGAGAGTTCGGTCGACTGTTGATTCGAGCCGGAATGATTTCACGACACTCACAACGCCGAAAGTGGTAATAAAGAAGAGAAGAATGGAGTCTTCCCAGACTGTGAATGAGTTCGAGGCAAAGCCGATGGATTGGCCCAGAGTAAACACAAATGCCAGCCAGCCCCAGATGTTGTCTGGCACGATGTTGAGCAAAGTCTTGCCGACCTGGTGCAGTGTTTTGGTCATATGGAATACCGAGACAACAAGGGCTATGAGCAGCGTAGTTGTTCCTCCTGAAACCAGGGCCTCCATTGGTTCCTTTCGAACAAAGGCAACGCCGAAGGAGATCACCAGTGCAAGTATGACACGAAGGTCCCAGACACCGGACACTAAGTCGCGGTGGAACTCAGGGTCACCGGATGTATCGAGATCCTCCTCACTCTTGACACCAAGAAGCTCCAGCTGCTTCTCGGCAAAATCAAGCTCGATATCGTTGGTCACGGCGTAGTCTTCATGCGGGTCGCGGGATGAGTACATGAGGAGCACAACTACACCGATAGCTGCAACAACTACTCCGGCAATCATGCGCTTGACGTCGAATCGAGCCCAGAGTCCCTTGCACACCTGAAGAGTCTCCTCCTGGAATACCGTGAACGCATTGTATTCCTCCCGACTGCCCGAGGCGAGAGCCAGAGCCCGTTGCCAAAGCTGAGAGGGAGAATCCTCCTCAGTACTCTGGGTCATGCCTCGGGCCTCGAAGTAGGAGGCTTGGTATCGTTCGATACCCGCAGCGGCCACCCGCGAGGCGGCAGCTAGACTCTTCCAGTTGTTGTTCTTTGGCCCAATAAAGGCCTCCTCGATGGGCCGTCCTAGGTTGTTGTAGGGAATGGGGACGCCGAGGAGGAGAGAAAGAGTAGGAACAAGATCGATCTGGTTCACCCGGTGGCTCTTGGCCGTCCCGGGAGGAATCCCGAACGCAGGATCGGTGCGGCCAAAGACTGGGCGCTTAGAGTACATCCAAAGGGCAGCCTCGACCTCGTCATCGCTCTCGCCGCCATGGTCTCCCTTGCTATCCATTCCATGATCACCCATGACCACCAGCAGAGTATCGTCATCGATGGAAGCAGCAAGCTTGCGCACAAACTCGTCCATCTGCTTCAACTTGCTGGTCATGGCAGCGTGGTCCGGTCCATAGCGGTGCCCTGCGTGATCGACTCCAAGACAGTGTCCGATGAGCAGGTCCCATTGGTCCTTTTGCTTGCGACTGGACTCAATGAGAGGGAAGATGTTGTCGATGACACCATTGTCAACCGTATGAAGATCCCAAACGTTGAAGCTATCATAGGCCTTGCTGATGTTCGCCTCAAAGTATTCAGGGAACAGCGCCCACCAAGTATCGTCGCCCAGGTGTGCGATCTTCTTGCCGGCGTCTCGGAGCTGCATGAGAAGATTGTCTTCGTCGATGGCCGTACCAGCAAAGTTGCTCCCGGCATCCATAAAGGTGGGAAGCGTGCCAGTCGTGAGGCCCTTGATGCGCTGCAAGGTAGTCGTCGGAGGGTCGGCGATGAAGGGACGGAGGAAAGCATTGCTAGGACTCTGCACGGATGATTCGTAGAGGAACGGGAAAGCGTTGTGGAAAGCGTGAGCTTGGTCTTCGGCGAAGGGCACGGTAAAGTCGTATCGCAGCGCATCAATGAGAACTACCACGGCGCGGTCGAAGGTCTTGGGATGCCAGCAGCCCTGGTCGACGTTCAGAGGGGCCTTGTGCGAAGCGCTGTCGGCGATTGGAGGGGCGTCGCATTTGGAGATGTCGGGGAGCATCAGTCGGGTCAACAGAAAGCCGCTGGTGAAGAGGTAGATGGCAAGGGCGTGGATAGCCAGGACCCAAGTCCAGAAAGCAAAGGTCCAGTTCCATTTGCGCTCGAAGCCGCGCTTCCGTGCGGTGTCAATCTTGCCCTGCTGCTCCTCGAGCTTGTCGAGGCGCTTCTGCTCGTCTCGCGTGGCTTGACCACTGGCGCCAACGGCCTGGGCCTTGTTCTTGTCGGCCTCTCGCTTCGCTTTGGCCCATTGCTTCTGAATGGCTTTGAATTCGGGGTTGGGCGGCTGGGCCTTGGGCTTGGGCGTGCGTTGAGACATCCTTCGACAGCAGCTTGCTCAAGCCATCTAATTCGGGACGAGCTGATGGGGCAGTGCGTGAGCTTCAATGGAGGGAGGGAGGGCAATGGCTGGCAGCAACGACGCGATGGGGGAAGCAATCGTCAAAGCTGCCGGCACCGACTGAGTCGTCGTCACAAGCTGAGTGAGGTGTAGGTTGTAGAGCGTCAATTACTTGTTGCTGTTTGCTCTATAAACACACTTTCTAGTGGATCCGTCATGGCAGCGACGGCATGTGGGGACTGAACCAGATTTACGAGCTGGTAACATTGATCTCCCATGTCACTTTGGCTGTAACCCTTTTGGTTAAGCATGCTGCTTCTGATAGTTCAATGTGTTGGCGACAGTCGGCCACAGGAATGCTCCATTTCAGTGGCTGGCACTTGTCCAGCTAGCATGACACAAGCGAATGTGTAATAGACATTATCCGACGGATCATTGGATCTTAGATATATCTAGAGTCTCCAGATAGAAGAGGTCGCTGCTGTGCGACATCATTCACTGCTTCTGTTCGTATCTGGCTGGCAAATTTCCATTGACCGATCATGAATCAACTATTACTGGGATGCCGGTGACGCACTGGTCCATCAGACACGCGCCCTGGGCTCTCGTCCCGTCTAAACTAAAATACATGAGAACAAATCTGTGTTCATACAAGCAACCGCCAACTCCGTAGACAGGCAATCAGCGACGTGATCGCCATCCTTCAAACAGTCATTATAAGCGAGGGTATCGGAAAAAGAAATCAAATGGCTTTTCATCATCAGTGGGCAATGGGATGGACTTTCACACCGTCATTGATCATGGGATGGGGGCAACATGAGCATCACGGATAGTCTTCCCACCCTCCACCGCCACAGTCTCCGTCCCCTTCTACCTCTACTGTCGTCTCGAGAGCCTCCTTACCTTGCCGGATCATGTCCTGGAGCTGTTTGTTGAAGGCCTCCATTCGGAAATCAGTCTCGTCGTCTTCCAATTTGCGCCTGGCGGCAAGCTGTCTTGCCTCGGCCGTGAGGCGGGGACTGCCGTTGGCGCCTTGATTAAAGGACGTGCCTCGAGGTGATGCTATTGATGCAGCCGAGTTCGTCCGTCGGTGCGAAGGTGTTGTGACGACGACGCCTGTTTGTGAACGAGGGCGACGGGAGGAATGATTTCTGGGGACAGAGAAGGAAGCTGAAGGGGCAGGATTGGGAATTTTCGTTGGGGACGGGGATCGCGGGGAGGCATAAGAAGCCGTTGATGCAGGCCGAGATTCCGCGAGTGTGGGCACGGCTGTGTTCAGCGGCCCCAAGCCGATGGTGGAACGACGGTTGGTCGGCGTGCTGATTCGGCGCCCTGTAGCAGCTGAAGGGCCATGATTTCGATTCCGAGGAGTCTGTCTCTGCTGGGTATGAATGGAGGCTCGGGGTGTTGATGACGGTGTGCCAGATTTGCCAATCATGACCCAGTTTCTGTTCAGCTCGTCGGCGGGGCCGGTCTGACGCCGTTTGGCAGCCGGAGCGGCGGGCGAGGAGGACCTGCTGTCTGCGTCGCTATTGTTGTCTGCGTACTCTCTTGCGGTAGCTCGAGAGAATCTGGCATCAAAAAGGTGCTCGGCCTGGTGCTGGAAGTTGTTAGGCTCGTTAGGAGTCACAGGCACAATCTCATCCGCTTGCCCATTCATCTCATAGCCGCGACCGCCGCCAGCATGGAAACCTTTGAAACTGCCTGCCTTGCAGAATTGCCATAAACGACCAACCACATCGCCAAGAGTCGAGAAGGCGAATGCGCCCCAGCCCTGGGACTGTGCGAGCTGCTGTTGCTGGTCTAGATACTGCTGCTGCTGGATCGGTTGAGTCGGAAAGACAGGCACGTTATTCGCATCCAGATCATCTCGGGGTCTCTTCGTTCCTAGCATTTTTCGATAGTCGGAATCCGAGTACACGCTGTCGGCCATGGGGGTATTCCCGTCATTGTATTCAGTTGTTGGGGTGTGTATATGGCCTGCCAAGGTGTATGTTCTCGGCTCTGGATGGGTGGCCGTAAGAAATGGGTTGTTGAATCTTGCGCTGGCGGTCTGGGCCAGGCTCTGGCTCTGGGTACGGACGCGCCCGGAGTAGCCATCGCCGTGGTGTCGCTTGCGCTTAGTGGATGTTTCCTCCTCGATGCCTGCTCGGCTGGGAAGATAGCCAGAACTCGATGCAGAGCAGGGGGATTTGGCTGGAGTGCGGAAGATGTCTGGATGAACGCCATCAGACTGGAACGTTCCTGGCATGTGGAATTGCGAGTGGAGCGCCATGGTTAATGGAGTTTATCGTCGGGGAAAAAAATGTCGAGCAGATTGTAGGCAAGGCTGGATAAAGCCAAATGGAGCCGAATGATGGCCGTGATCGTTTTCACTGGATTTTATCACGGCTGCGCAACCATTCGTGCAGTTGGCGGTCGGGAGACTTTTACCGCTGGGGTGTTAGGGGTGAGGCATAGCAGCAGCCCGATGGTTCGTTGGTGCTGTTGGAAATGCTTTGTTGGGGAGCACGACCGCAGAGCTTGTTCGCAATGTCTCGGGTAGTCTGCTGCCTCGTGATCGCTGGTGGACAATAGCGTTAAGTCTGGTGAGGGCGGGGAGGAAGCTTCTGCCTGCCGGTGGCTTGGGCTTGTGACGCACACGGCTGGCCCCCAATACGAACGAGCGCCGGATGGTGTGTTGTAAATATCTGAGCACCTGAAACTGTCCCTCCAGCAACGCGCCCCACCGCCTCCCTCCAAAAAGTCGGGAGAACACCTCCATTTTTGATGCGCAAGTACCAAGTACCGCCCACAAGCCAGCTGTGGGGCAAGATCTGCCAGGTGAGGTCAGCCATCCCCAGGTATCGGGCACACTAGAACGCAGTGATCACCTAGAATACCGGTTATAGTCATGATATTCTTGGATGAACAATAATAGCAAATAAGAGAATCTGTCGCATTGGCTATACTGACTGTTCTCCATTTACAATCTTGGTTGTTTTTGAGATGGGTTCCAGCACATGCTACGCCGCCGACGGGCCTGGGTACAACTGAGGCAGAGAGCAGAGAACTGGGAATGCGCGTGGACTTCATAGAGAGATGCTCTTCATATTTCTAGGTTTGGCTTCAGCAGAGGGGTTTTATCTGCCAAGTTAGAGAAGAACCCAAGGGAGGACACAGGTATGCACTGGGTCGGTATGGCCAGGGAAGGGTGGGCGAGCGGAACTCTAAGCAGACTAGGGCATCTGTTAAACTGCTTTCGATGAGTCGTCGATTGTTTGCCTCAACGGGAGCCGGGACGTCTCATATAAGTACGACCCAAACCCCAAAGACTCGCGATTTGCATTTCAAACCCAGCAGCAGATTAACACTAGCCATCTCAAGGGCGTTTCAACCAACGAACCCAAGGTGCGTGCCAGCTCTTCCAACTTGCCTGTGCTTTCAACTGAACCGAGGCTTAGGTAAGCGGCTCGATTGACGAAATCTAGCCCAGAGTCCACTTCTCGGCTCAGTGCAGCCAATAGCAGGCGAGGTATATCGAATCCCCAGCCGAGTAGTCCCGTACCGATCTCGTGCGCATTAATTCTAGCCGCCCCCAGAGAGGCAAGAAAGTAATCCGGCCAAACCTCCAATCCCTTCCCTCTCCTCACCAGCCCGCACACCTTGACGAGTCAACCATGTCTGCTCTCCGAACTTCCTCAAGCCGCGTACTGGGCGCCTCTTTCGGTGCGCGGGCTGCCATGCTCCCTACCCGCGCCGCCTTCACTCGCTCCATGGCCACAGTCAGCGAGACGCCAGCAGAGCCGGAGCCTCGGTTGAAGACCTTCCAGATCTACCGCTGGAACCCAGACACCCCCAGCGAGAAGCCTCGCATGCAGAGCTACACCATTGACCTCAACAAGACCGGACCCATGATTCTCGATGCCATCATCCGCATCAAGAACGAGCAGGACCCTACCCTCACTTTCCGACGCAGTTGCCGAGAGGGTATTTGCGGCAGCTGTGCCATGAACATCAATGGCCAGAACACCCTTGCTTGCTTGTGTACGTAGCCACCCAGCGCGCTCCAATGCTTATCCATTGAGTTCCCGAACCCAATCGACCCCAATTGGGTCTTTTGGGTGCCGTTCTCGCCTTTGGGTTGCCTCGTGTGCTAATCGCCAATCCAGGCCGCATTCCCGCGGAGTCAAGTGCCGACGTCAAAATCTACCCTCTTCCCCACACCTATGTCGTCAAGGACCTTGTCCCTGACCTGACGTACTTCTACAAGCAGTACAAGTCAATTAAGCCCTACCTGCAGCGCGATACTCCCGCCGAAGACGTACGTGTGGCCCCTAGCTAATCGCTCCCTCTCCTCTTCCTCGGCGACCCCCCCTGTTTGCCGGAATGCTTGGTCGTTTTCATGTGGCCTATTCCTTTACTGACTCATCTTATACAGGGCAAGGAATATCGCCAAAGCAAGGAGGACCGAAAGAAGCTCGATGGTCTCTATGAGTGCATTCTGTGCGCCTGCTGCTCAACCTCGTGCCCTTCATACTGGTGGAACTCAGAGGAGTACCTGGGCCCTGCTATCCTCCTCCAGTCTTACCGCTGGCTAGCCGACTCTCGTGACGAGCGCACAGCCGAGCGCAAGCTCAACCTCGAGAACAACATGAGCTTGTACCGTTGCCACACCATTCTTAACTGCACCAAGGCCTGCCCCAAGGGTCTGAACCCTGGTAAGGCCATTGCCAACATCAAGTTGGCCATGAACTCGAGCTAGACGAGTGGCGAGGGTCGAAAAGGGGAAGAGAAGATTAGGAGGGAACAGTGGAGGAGATCATGTCTATTGTTTGATTTTTTTTTTACTTGTGTGGCTTGGGAACGTCCGCCGGGGCCTAAGCGGACGAGCGGGACGTCTCTTTTTTGAACAGCTGCCGGGACTTGCAGTGTCATATTGGCTGCATACATACTTTTCCCATTGGCTTTTCGGGCGCCCATGTTAGACGATACTCTTACTGTTGGACTCAATGTACACTTAAAATAGGAAAACTTGAAAATCAAAAACAATGCCACACAAGCTCTCATGACCCCGGATCGGGACCTGAAGAACATGCAAGCCAATTGCTGTCAATTCTCCCAAAGACTTCTCGCTTAAAAGTGTTGTTTTACCTTTGTTAGGTAGAGAGATCAGCACTTTCTCGCCTGGCTGTCGGAACTGTTTGTTGGTGGGGTTCAATTAAGACCGCCACCAACGGCCCAAGCCAAGATTTAGCTCCCCTGTCCGACGGCACTCCCGAATCTTCTTCGCTCAGCTGAACATTCCCATCTTCCTTTTCCCCAACACACATCTTGTATTATTTTCTTGGCTATTCCCCTCCATCTCCTACAAGACCGACCACCTAATCACAATGGATGCGATCAAGCCTTTCCTCCCCGAGGCCAAGGGAGTTCTGCCCTACTACATGCTCCTGGTATGCACACCACCAGATTCATCCCGCCCAACCCGACTTTCTCCCCCGTCTTCAACCATTGCTAACCACGTCGACTCTCAAACAGCTCTCCGTTATCTCCATCGGCAACAGCGTACAGAACTACACGACCCTCCACTTCTCCCGCCGGGTGTACAACGGCCGCTTCATCCGCAACACCAGGCTTCCCCCAGCCTCTTCCACCTTCAACCCCGAAGACGCGGTCAACAAGCTCGTCCCCGCCCACAACGACCCCAAGGCCACCGACCAGCTCACCCCGTTGACCGGCCGCCTCTTCGGCACCTGGACCTTCATCATCAGCATCGTCCGCCTCTACGCCGCCTACCACCTGCACCACGGCCCCGTCTACAACATCGCCATGTGGACCTACGTCGTCGCCTTCGGCCACTTCGCCTCCGAGCTGTTCATCTTCAAGTCTATGACCTTTGGGCTCCCCCAGTTCTTCCCCTTCACGCTGGCCACCTGCGCCCTGATCTGGATGCCCATGGTCCGGGAGTACTACGTCACGATTGAGTAGAGAGGGTGGGTTTAGGTTTACAAGCGATTTAATAGAGATGAAAATCAACCGGGGGGTTTGGGAGTTGGTAATTAGAACCTGGGGATAGGCATACAGCAAAGAGAAGGAGCATGTCAAGCATACAACAATCATACCTAATGTCAATTTCATTCATCATTTCACAGTTCTATCCTAAACTCCCCCAAGTCTCCCACAAGTCTTCCCCCCTCATGCGACCTTCCCACGGTACAGCGGCCCACCGCAATCCCTCAGCCGGGCTGCCGCCTGCTCGGGCGTGATGTCCCGCTGCGGCTCGGCCATGAGCTCGTACCCGACCAGGAACTTCCTCACCGTCGCGGACCGCAGCAGCGGCGGGTAAAAGTGCATGTGCAGGTACGAGCTCTCGACCTCCTCCTCGGACCCCGCGAGCGGGGCCTGGTGCAGTCCCGAGCTGTAGGGGAAGCTGGTGCCGAAGAGGTTGTCGTAGCGCCGCGCGACCTCCTGGATGGCCTCGGCGAGGTGGAGCCGCTGGGCTGCCGACAAGTCGACGAGGGAGCGGAGGTGGCTCCTGGCGATGATGACGACCTCGAAGGGCCAGATGGCCCACCAGGGGCAGACGACGGCGAAGGTGTCGTTGTGCCAGACGACGCGCTCGCCCTTCTTCAGCTCGAGCTCGACGTAGTCCTGCAGGAGGTGGCGCCCGCCGTGGGAGGAGCGGTACTTGCTCATCTGCCGAAGCTCCTTGCCCGGCTCCTCGGGGAGGGTGGAGGTCGTCCAGACCTGGCAGTGGGGGTGGGGGTTCGAGCAGCCCATGGCGGCGCCCTTGTTCTCGAAGATTTGCATGTAGCGGTACTCGTCCTTGGGGACGGGGGCGTCCTGGGGTTCTAGGGAGAGGTCGAGCTCCTGGGCGAGCTTGGCGAGCGGGCTGGCGGCGGAGAGGTGGTTGGCGTAGATGCGGGTCCAGTGCTCTACGATGGGGAGGATGTCCTTGCCGGGCAAGTCGGCCAGGGTCAGGTGGTGCTTGGGGGAGAAGGTGAGGACGTAGCAGACGCCCTTGACGCCTTGGGCTTGCAAGAGCCAGGACTCAGGATCTGGAGAAGTGGTTAGTAGTGAAACGACACTTGACCAGAGGTGTTGATGGCGGCGCTTACCGTCGGATGAGGGGTTGTTCTCATAGTCGGGCTGCTGCTCCTTGACAGCGCTGTAGTCGTTTACAAATGCAAACGTCTTTTCATACTGGGGATTACGATCTCCTGCTGCGCGAGAGTTCCCAGGGCAGAGGTAGCACTAGTTCATGTGAGTAGTGGTACATTTATGTGAGGGGTGGTAGATTAGACCAACTTTAGCATCGTACTCTGGAAGCTCGCTTTCCACAGCAGCTTCATGCTGGCCTCTACAAGTCACCAAGATGAGGTTAAATTTCCAGGTATCAGACGACGCAGAGTGTTGGTTGTGCTCACTGCCATGGGCGCTTTGTCCGGTGTGGGGAGACGAGCAGCCAGCTGTCTGTGAGCGGGTTATACCTCCGGTGGGAAATGTCGTCGAGGACCTTATCAGGCATGATGGATGTTATACTTAAAAACACGGGCTATGAGGCAACGTAGGTTCGGGCGAGGGAAGAAAGAGTGATTTTGTACCAACAGCCGTTTATTGCACGTTGAGCCGCCTGTGCTGAGGGGCAGAGCTACATACACTTTGCTGCAATTTATTACTGCCTACCAAATCGGGCCATCATCACTCGAAACGGTGCTTCTACAGCCCAGCCAATCGGTGGAGCTCCTCGGCCATGTCTTCGGCGAAAGCTGGAGGAGAAAAGTTCGTGCTATTAAAGCCCCGAAGTACCTCCAGAGCTGCGACGGCCTCTCGGGGCTGACTAAGTGGTCTGTTTGGTCCCCATGGGACATGTGAAGATTCATGTGAAATGGCTTAAAATATAGGAGTCAGTTGTCAAGGTTGTGTAGTCTCACTGTATAGATCGGAAAGGCAGTGATTCCTAACAGGTGCAATTTCTGATATGATGTGCTGTAAATACGGCGTTTGCAGCAGAGCTCATCCACATCCGTAAATACAGTTTGTTGCTGAGGCCGGCCTATGAACATGGTCTACACCAGGGAGCTTACAGCAACTCGTCCGAGAGGTAGACAGAATGCTTCTACCGTACGTTTCAATTGGTCTCGGTATGAGATAGATAATGCCTAGAGAGTTGGTGGGTAGCACATGCTGTGTCTACGGGTAGAAATGAAAGGAAAGTTGTGATGTAGCTGTGATGATTGCGTAGGATTACTGGGGGCGTTGGAGGAAAGGAATATATTAAATGGATAATCACTAAACTTGGGATACATACGGATTGTGTTACCGGTGTTCGAAGCCCAACGTGATAGAAAGCTGCTGCGAGAGTCCGAAATGCAGAAGCACATTGACGCTGGGTTCCGTCGTTGGCTGTTATCGATAAGAACCCATGCTAAACAGCTGTCGGTTGCTCCCTGTCTTGCCTGTCAGGCTGTGTACCCCGCCCTGGAACCTGGGGGGCCGCTTATGTCAGCTACGCGACAGCACCAGCGCGGAAGGGGCACGCAATTGCGCCAAGTCAACAATGACTGATTGGTGGCCCCCCTGTCGTCGCTATTGCACTGGACCATCTCCAAAGGCTGACGGACGAGCTCCAAACAGGCGCTATCCAGGAAAATCCATCAGAACCAGCCGCTTCCGCATCGGATTCCATCGCAAGACGTGCAGTTCCATCATCTCCGGGCATTTCGCATTCAGATCCGAGTTCTCATTCCACTTTTTAGGCGGTTGCGTCTGCGGTAGCCGCCCGTCACTCCGCATCTCCGCCCTGTCCAGAACACAACTTTAGTGTGGGTAGTGCGCAAGCCGCTGCCACACGTAACGCTCTCAACCCCCGAACATGGGCGTCATCCGGAAGAAGACCGTCACCAGAGGCGGCGAAGGCGGCGTCAAATACGTCTGCGATGTCTGCTCATCCGACATTACATCTACGGTGAGTTCCGTGCACTTTTCTCTTGTTTTTATTTCCGCCATTGCGCCGGACAATGGCTCGTCCCTGTTCCGAGAGTTTCCATGCTGATCCGAAGCGCGCATCTTGTTCAGGTTCGCATTAGGTGTGCGGATCCCGCCTGTAACGACTTCGATCTATGCGTCTCCTGTTTTGCAAAGGGTGAATCGCGGAATGCCCACGACCCCGCCACACATGCCTTCCGAGTAATCGAACAGAACTCATTCCCCATATTCGACCGGGAATGGGGCGCAGACGAAGAGTTGCTCCTTATCGAGGGCGCAGAGATATATGGGCTCGGTTCCTGGGCAGACATAGCAGACCATATCGGCGGCTTTCGCGAAAAGGATGAAGTCCGAGACCACTACCTCAACACCTTTGTCGATTCCTCGCGATTCCCTCTGCCCAAACGATGCAGCCCCCACGATTCGGAGCTTGCGAACGAGATCACGAGAGAGGAGTTCCAGTCGCGCAAGAAACGTCGCATAGAAGAACGGAGAGAAAAGGCCAAGAATGCGCCGGCCCTACAACCCAAAACCAAACCCACTGCCAGTGTTCCTAGCTGCCACGAGATCCAGGGTTACATGCCTGGTCGGTTAGAATTCGAGACCGAATATGCCAACGAGGCCGAGGAAGCAGTCCAGCATATGCAATTCGACCCTGGCGATGGGCTTAATCCTCGCACCGGCGAAATCGAGCCTGAAATGGAGCTAAAGCTCACAGTCATGGAAATCTATAATTGTCGCTTAACCCAGCGTGTGGAGCGAAAGAAGGTGATATTCGAGCACAACTTGCTTGATTATAGAGAGAACATCAAGCTTGAAAAGAAGAGGTCCAAGGAGGAAAAGGACCTGCTGCAAAAGGCAAAGCCCTTTGCTCGCATCATGAATCACAAGGAGTTTGAGGAATTCAGCCAAGGTCTCCTCGATGAACTGAACCTCAGACAGGCCATTACCCAACTTCAAGAGTGGCGATCCCTCAAGATTGGAGATCTCCGGGGCGGAGAAAAATATGAAGCAGATAAGGCTGCCCGAATACAAAAATCAATCCCCATGGGATCGATGGACAGAGAGCGCCTGGCCAATGCGCAACGGTCTAAGCAGCCGCCGCCACCAGAACCTCCGAGCGGGGCTGCTCTGCTTGTCGCTCCAGAGTTGCCGATACGGTCTGCTGGACAGACGAACGGCATCACAAACGGCGACTCCAAGCACCTCACAAACGGGCATACCAACGGGGTAAATGGCGTCAACGGCCACGGATCGGCGAAGCTAGCAAACTTGCCGATGCCAATACCCGGCCTGCAGCCACTCACGCTGACATCCGAGAACAATGCGGATATACATCTGCTGACGCCAGAGGAAGTAAAATTGTGCGAAATCGTGCGCCTAGCACCGAAGCCTTATCTGATGATCAAGGAGCAAATCCTTAAGGAGGCGCTCAAGACCAATGGTACGATGAAAAAGAAGCAAGCAAAGGACATCTGCCGGCTGGATTCGCAAAAAGGTGCTCGCATATTCGATTTCTTCGTCAATTCAGGCTGGGTCGGTAAGGCATGAGGGTGTGTATAAATATGGGTTGCATTTCCAGCCCCAACGATATGATTCGGGTGTTCGCATTTTGCTTCTTTGGTGTGGTAGAGATCTGACGGCGGCGTTTTGGTGTGGTCTTTTGGGCCGGCTATGGTAGCTTGAAGCTTGTAGTGATAAATGATAAATGAATATATTCCTATTGATGAACAGATGCTTCTGTCTTGTGAGAAAATTGCTTATTTGACTGTGGTTTGTCGGAAGCAGCGCAGGTGGGAAAATCAAAGGTATGATGGTGGTGGTGTTGTGCATGAGTAGAAGGTAAAGGTGGTGTCTGAAAGCCGCTCCTCCACTAACTCATGCACCCCTCTCGCCGAGTCCGTATTGGCACTGTGAAGCACCCAGCTCAACAACTACCACCCGAGAAAAAAGATTTGCCCAGGAAGCGAGAGCCTCTGAATGTCCATTTCATATATTCGATCGTTACTCAAACTCCCCTCCTCAGCTCGCAGCATGACCACGATAGCGTCCCTGCCGCGGATGTCCGCCAAAACTCTCTCAGAGAAGATTCTTGCTGAGCAAGATGCCAAGGACCCTACCCTTGCCATCATTGATGTTCGAGACGATGGTTGGTTCCCACACCTGACATATTACCACGGATTAACAAGCATGAACTAACGTAGGATGCGTTCTCACCAGACTACATTGGAGGCCACATCAAGGGCGCCACCAATGTCCCCAGCCATCAGCTCGATGCCATGATGCCGACCCTGGTGCGCCGTCTCCGCGAGAAGAAGGTCGTTGTCTTTCACTGCATGTTGAGCCAGATCCGCGGGCCGAAGTCTGCGTTGGCCTACCTGCGTTATAGAGACGGGCTGCTCATATCACTAGGGCAGAGTGTGCCAGAGGATCAGACGGTGTATGTGCTGACGGATGGCTTTCAGGGGTGGCAGCAGACGTATGGGGAGGACGAGAGGTTGACGGAGGGGTATGTGAAGGACTTACATACGGGCTTGGATTAAATGTCATTCAGAGGGCTCATATCTAGATTACCTATAAACAGGATTGGGCGTCTTAATGGTGTTTTTGTGCATTTATGAGTACTCTACTCGATATTAAACAACTTATGCCGTGCCTACTAACCAATATAATGCATCGTGTGTGAGTAAATGCCCACGACACCAAATAATTACAGATGCTTGTCATTGCATACCTAGGTAGGTAGTGCTTTGGATCAATATTGGCCGTGGTGGTAGCTACCGGGTAGCATGAAGCTATCATGATTCATACCCAGGCATAAAACATTTTGAGTTAGACTCCGAGGGTTTGAACCCACGTGTGGTGTTTAAAGTCACGAAGAGAGCAAACAAGCCTCAGATGAACACCTTGAAGAAGAATCTGTGGCTCGCGCCGTCATACGACGGTGAATAACATATGCTGTGGCAGCATTAGACGATCAATTCAGCTCAGAGTAATCGTGCAGCAAGTGACGCAATGACCATGCACCCATGGGATTGAAATGCCCGAACCCCCACTACTAGGCAGCAGATACCCTTCCTGGGCGCGGGGCAGAGATGCTTGTGCTCCCAATGTTTGCAAATAATTTTCAGGTGATGGCAACCAGAAGAGGAGCGGAATCTACGTGGAAACAAGGGATAGTGAAGGATTAGTCTGGTTACGCCCCCCTGCGGTTTTTAGGTAGGTGAGATCATTTGGATGGATCATCGTGATAACGTTTGTTTGTTTGTTGTTGCTTCTAGGCTGTCGCATACCCCACCGGTCCTTCCGCCTCTTGTCAAATAGCGCCGCCGCCACTGGTCAGATTCATTCCTCTCTCCGGCTCTTGTTTATATTCAACTCTTGCTCCGTCGCAAAAAAATCCTTGTTTACAACCTTAGAAAACTATTCCATCCAGAGATTTCACCTTAAAGCTTCGTCTACTACGCAAAACTCTGCCTTCTCCCAGATCCCCACGCTGCAATGGGCTCGTCACCAGAGCAAAAAACAAACGGGGAGGCGAGCCTCTCGCGTAAGACCATGCCCTATCTTTCCTACTGCTCCTACAGGCCAGGCTGTATATTGACGTTTCTGATGATCTTTAGACCTTGGATATACCCCTACGATCAGAGTGTCTGAACCATGGACGGTCGACAAGGCGTTGGATGCGATCCCTGACCAGCCACCCACAGAGGCTGAGTCGCCGATTCCGTTCTTCCACATGCTCGAGCGATTGAAGACCACAAAGAGAGAGGGATGGAGGCGTTTCGCGATCGACAGGTGAGCAGTGCCCGCAGCTGTCAACCACTAAACTGCTTCTAACTGCCTCGGTAGGGGAGAGTCCATCGCAGACCACATGTACCGAATGTCGATGATATCCATGTTTGCACCCCCGGCTCTACGCGAAAAGCTCGATCTCAACAAGTGTATTAAGATGAGTCTCATCCATGACATGGCCGAGCTCCTTGTGGGCGACATCACTCCCGTCGACAACGTGCCTAAGCCTGAGAAGAACCGCCGGGAGGCTTCCACCATGGATCTCCTGGGCAAGAATTACCTGCGCAATGTGCCTGGTGGCAAGGTATCGGGGGCGGAGATGCAGGCGATCTGGCAAGAGTACGAGGATTCAAAGACCCCCGAGAGCATCTTTGTCCACGACGTCGACAAGGTTGAGCTGCTTTTGCAAATGGTCGAATATGAGAAGGCGGCCAAGGGCAAGGTGGACCTCGGAGAATTCGCATACGTCGCTAGCAAGGTGGTGCTTCCCGAGATGAAGGCTTGGGCTGATGAGCTTCTCCAAGAGCGAGAGCAGTTCTGGGGAAGCACGGATCATGTCCGTGGCGAGAGAGGTTTCGAAGGCGGCGTGGAAGGCGAGACAGTGAATGGACAAAATGACTACTATCAGAGGGACAATTGATTGGAGTCTTGGTCTCCTCAAACTGGTGATCACACATTTTTGGTGGACAATCACCACGGTGCACTTCGGTTTATGATTTCTGGGAGTGCAATAATGACGGAGCGAGGATCAGGGCACAGGGCTGCCTTGCGGTTGTCTCTAATGAGGGATGGTTAATGGGAGCGAAATAGATAGATTTCTCACCACTTGGGCTTCAAAAAATACAGAATTTAGACGAGGTACCGAACTCAGATCACATGTCAGGAAGTCACCTAGTAAACATGGCAGCCGAAAAGAAACGAAAAAGTCGTGGATCGACCGAGAGGCACCCATAGAGATGATTCTTGGATGTGATGTTCCCACGAAGATGATATGCATATGGGATCAACGATAGAAGTATTGAATGATTTTATGCTATCTCATCAGGGATTCAGGGTTCCAGGGGGAAGTTCATTGCAATTTTTCTCATGGCGTTGCATCTACGGCCAACCCCAACGTCTCTACTCAACAGTTGTCTCGATCAAGGCCAGGAAGGGTCTCTCTCAATCGTTCGTAGTCGGAATCGACATTGAATTTCAGGCACTTGGACATTATATGTACTGCTTCTTTTAGAGCTTGTGACCGGAATTATCGGATTACTGATTGCTAACAATGCATACCCAAGAAACAATACATGAGGCGTCATTAATTGATTTTGTTTCATACTACTGAACTTTTCTAGCTATCATAGGAAGTGGTCTGTTCATAAAACCCTTCAATCCAATTTCTTAACCCTTCTGTCACACGCCCACTTACTATCACTATTCTTGCTGCCGATAGGCTGTGACCAACTTTAACCAATGGGATACGCTTGGCTCATTATGCTTCTTGCCGACTTGAAAATAGCATACTAATCGTCCATTTATTTCACAGAAGGGATTGCTGTGGTTAAGCAGCGATCATAGAAAGCCAGGTAAGGTCCACTTGAATCCCGAGCTCAATTTGGATTCTTAGGTGGTGGTCTGTATCGTATTAGAAACCTTGATTCTTCTTTGTGTGTACTAGGCAGGTATAGGCTACAATTCGTGTTGAGAAAAACTTTGTTAATACGATTAACTGATCTTGAAGAGTTAGAGTATATAAGTAAGCGTATCGACACGAATCTGACCCCTTCCCTTCCGATCGTGCGCAGAGTTGCTCACATGTTGGACAATCTGACAACCAAGAAGCCAGCTGGCTTACTAACTCATCTATAAGAAGACCCCCTTTCATACAGGTTGGGCTGGTACCCACTTCTTTCCGCACCTGGTAGGAGGGTCGCCTCGGCCAAAAAAGAGGCCCTCAACAAAATCACCCTTTTGAATCTGTTCAAAAATGCCATTTTAAAAGGCCATTTCATCACGCATATCAAATCAATCGAACAAATCAGATCCAGAGCATTAAACCAAAATCCGAGTCCAAGGGCCCTGGACAGACATGGACGCTGCGCTTGAATTGGCACAGAAGGTGCCGCAGCCTGTACAATACGGTCTTGCTGGCGTGGGAGCTCTGTTCCTCACCACCAAGCTGTTCGGTTTTTTCCGACTGCTCCTATCCGCTTTTGTCCTTGGAGGCACAAACGTACGTCAGGAATCCCACGAGAGCACATGCAAATTGGAAAAGACTTCAGATGGGCTAACAAAAACTCCAGCTTCGAAAATATGGAAAGCCTGGGACATGGGTTGTGATCACCGGTGCCTCGGATGGCCTGGGGAAGGAATATGCGACACAGCTTGCCGCCAAAAGCTTCAACCTCGTCCTCGTCTCTCGCACCGAATCGAAGCTGGAGGCTCTTGCTAAAGAGCTCCAGCAGAAGTACCCCAAGGTTCAGACCAAGATCCTCGCTATGGACTTTGCCAAAAATGACGATTCCGACTACGAACGATTGAAGGAGCTCGTCGCTGGCCTTGATGTTGGTATCCTCATCAACAATGTTGGTCAGAGCCACGAGATGCCCGTGGCTTTCCTCGAGACATCTGCGACCGAGCTACACAATATTGTCACCATCAATTGCTTTGGGACACTGAAGGTGACCCAGGCTATTGCTCCAATCTTGAAGAAGCGAAAGAACGGTCTTATTCTTACAATGGGCTCTACTGCTGGCTGGTCTCCCAGTCCCCTCCTTGCAACTTACTCGGGAAGCAAGGCATTCCTCCAGCACTGGAGCAGTGCCCTGGCCACCGAGCTTGCCGAAGACAACGTTGATGTTCAGCTGGTCATCAGCCATCTCGTGACGACTGCCATGAGCAAGGTCCGCCGTCCTAGCCTTTTGGTTCCCAATGCTCGCAACTTTGTCAGGTCTGCCCTTGGAAAGGTTGGGCTTGGTGGATTCCAGGCTGCTTCCAACACTTATACCCCTTGGTGGAGCCATGCTTTCCTGGTGTGGGTTGTTGAGACCATCCCTGGTATCTATGGCTCGATCACGCTGGGACAGACCAAGTCGATGCACAAAGACATCCGCAGGCGTGCATTGCGCAAGAAGGAACGCGAAGCCAAGAAGCAATAGAAGAGAATAGATGGTTGGTGATTCAAGATGTTTGATCGTGTGCCTCAGGCTGGTGGCCTACATGGTCTTTGCTCGGTGAGAGAGCTTGTATGCCTCCTCTAGTAACGTAGTCTATGATTAGGTATTTAATTAGAAATAAACGATTCCCTGGCGCGCGATTGAGAGCGCAGTTTAGAAAGGAAGGTCACGAGAGAAAAGCTCTTGCTTTGTTGTGCTGTTTGAATGACTTTGATCTCTTTTGTCCAGCGCCCTGAGACATCCCAATTGGTCGTAGCGTCCCAATTTGGCTAGGATGTGTGTTATTGGGGACAGCAGTGGGTTGATAAAGCGCTGTAGACCCGCAAAAAATTCCGACCGTGTTCCATCAAAGCGACAAACATCCAGCCTCTCCAAACTGCCGACCCAACGCGAAAACAACCACGCCCTTCCCAGCACCGAACGACAGACCCCGACGCCCTGCCTGGCCGAGCATCGCGAATACGGACGCGATCGACGAGAACTCATTGGCGCCGGAGGCCTTGGACATAGCTCTGCGGTAGCCACACGTAGCTTCGAGAGCTGGGCTTTTCGATTTGTAGAGCTTCACATGGTCCGTAAAGCTTGCTGCAACCACTCGATCGGCGGGGGCTATCTCTCCATCTGATATCGCAAACCCTACGGCCAACGATCGAAATGGCTTTTCCGCAGATCACCCCCATGCGGCCGGTCCCAGGCGCCTTCATGAACACACCGGCCATCGCATCGCGATACCAGTCTGGTTCAGAGCCCGTGCGACGCCAACTGTTTCCATCATCAGACAATGCTGTCAAGGCTCCTCTGGGACGAACAGTGTCGGGGACACTGGCAGCACCGGCTGCTCCAGAAGCCAGTGCCGTTGGAGGGCTACTCACCACCAACCCTCTGCCGCCCCCACGGGTCGAGTCAGTCCCACCGGTGTTGAAGGCCGCTACGGCCATCAATGTCTTCCTACGAACAGACGAGAACTTCCCTGAACTTGACTCTTACTGCAGACGTGAGCAACTTCCAGCGCAGCATGCCATCCCTAACTCTTGACACCCGTTGCTAACGTTTACTGTGCTAAAGAGGGCGTTTCATCCGACTACGAACTATCCCTCACAGATTCCTCCACTGCCCCCTTCCACAAGACGCATATGTACCCTATCCCGAATCAAGTTTTCGAGCACTATAATGCAGGAAAGCTACAGACCCTCATGGGACTGTTCGCCGATATCAATCACGCCTGGGTTGTGATCGATAACTCGCTCTTCCTGTGGGACTACACACGCAGCGATCCCGAGCTGATTGGATTCGAGGATCAGCCATACACCATCCACGCAGTCGCCCTTGTTCCTCCCAAACCCGGAATCTTCATGGATACCATCACCCACATCCTAGCGGTAGCTACATCGGTGGACATTATCCTGCTTGGCGTCGCGGTGACGGATACCCCTGCCGGAACTAAATCGGTGGCTCTCTACCAGACAAAAATGTCCCTCGCGCTACGTGGCGTCGACGTTCGAGTCATTGCCGGATCTAGTGATGGCCGCATTTTCTTTGGAGGGAGCAATGATGACAACATCCACGAGCTTTACTACCAGGCTGAGGAGAAGTGGTTCTCCAATCGATGCGGAAAGATCAACCACAGCCATCCTGGCTGGTCTTCCGTAGTCACTTTGCAGTCTGGAATTTTTTCATCAAAGACGCCTGAACATCTGGTTGATATCGTTATTGACGACTCGAGAAAATTGGTTTACACTCTATCCAGCCTTTCGACCATCCGAACTTATCATATGGAGCCTCCCAACGGACTAAAGAGGGTGATAGAGAAGGGAAAACTGCACTGCCTTCGTGATATCGGACATATGAGCGATGAGTCGAGTTTACTCAAGGAAAAGTTCCAAATTGTCTCCATCAGCCCTATATCCAAGCAAGAAGCATCGAAGCTTCACCTTATGGCCCTCACCGACTCTGGCTGCCGACTTTTCTTCAGCGCCACGAGCGCGTCGGTCATGTCCTACAGCGCGCAGCCAGATCTGGCACCACAGAGCATGCAGGTCCAGTTCATTAAATACCCACCCAGCCAGCACCTTAGACAGGTTTCCGGGGGTGAACCTGCCGTAGATCTTAATTCCCAGTCCTTGCTGTACAGCCGACATGGTGTTCGATTTGCCCCAGGTTATTTTGTGGACTTCGTTATGGACAGCACAAACAGCACAGTGGACTCACTTTTCGTTTCGGCTCCCGAGACTGGCCGAATTAAGAATGCGGCGACCGGAATCCCGACAAAGTATCCCGAAAGCGCCAGTTGGATTGATATTGGCAGCCGTGCTGAGACAGTTGGTCTCATCACTAAGCCCTTCGCCGCTGCCGCCCAGCCGATTGGTTTTGGAAACGAGTTCGCCATCCAGTTTGACGAGGCCCCTACCGAGTTTGCTGTTCTAACCAACACTGGCGTCCATGTCATCCGGAGGCGAAGGTTTGTCGACATCTTCTCGTTGGCTCTCCGATCTGCTGTTGGAGATGAGGGATTCGACAAGGTCACGCGCAAGTTCCTCCACATTTACGGTAGGGTAGAAACCGTTTCTACTGCGCTGGCTATTGCGTGCGGACACGGCGGTGATGCTCGCCCCGGAGCACCTCGAGCTATCGACCAGGCCACCGAAGACCGAGCAAGGAGTGTATTCGTCGATTACGGTGGCCAGCCCACAATCACAGAGACTGACGGCACAACACTCACAACTGACTCTGTCAAGCTCTCCTCACGCCATGATGCTTTGGCCCTGTATATTTCCCGCTTGGTCCGAAAGATGTGGAAATCAACCGTCATCACGCTCCTCGTTGCACCAAACGGGGCTATTGCTGTCACATCTACTGTTCCTGTAGCTAAACTTACCGATATCCAGGAGAACCTGGAGCGTCTGCGTAAGTTCCTGACTACGAACAAGGGACTGATTCAGGGACTCTCTGGCCCCGCTGACCTTCAGCGTGTTTCTACGCGCCAGGAGGAGGTTGCGTTGCAAGCCGAGCACCAGGCTCTGCACGCTCTCCAGAAGCTCCTGGAAAGCATCTCCGAAAGCATTTCTTTCGTACTCATGCTTTTTGGTGACCGCGTCACGGATATCTTTGCATCGCTGGAGGCTCCCACTCAGCAGCAATTCAAGGACTTGACATACGAGAAACTCTTCTCACAGTTGGAAGGTAAAGACCTTGCCAAGGTTGTGGTCAAGGCTATTGTTAATCGCAACATTGCCAGCGGTTCCAACGTGGAGACAGTGGCAGACACTCTTCGCCGACGATGCGGAAGCTTCTGCAGCCCCGACGATGTGGTCATCTTCAAGGCCCAGGAGCAGCTCCAACGCGCTTCTGAGCAGCCACTCAACACCAATCAGGCAAGAGCGCTACTACACGAGAGTTTGCGACTGTTTGAGAAGGTGGCTGGCAGCCTCTCCTTTGTTAACCTTCAGTCTGCCGTCACTCAGTTCATCAACCTCAAGTATTATGCGGGTGCTATCCAACTTTGTCTTGCGGTAGCTCAAGAGAAAGATCGAGGCAATACTGCCCTGACGTGGGTCAACGACGGCAAGCCGGCCTCAGACCCTCGAGCAAGCGCTTTCAACGAGAGGAAGAAGTGCTATGACTTGATACACGAAGCCCTCCGCCACCTCGACACCGCATCAAGCGCCGAGCCAGAGACTATTGATGGCAAGCTCACCCTGATCGCAACCAAAAGGCTAGAGGCATACTCGGTTGTCAACGATTCCACCGATGAAGTCTTCCACTTTGACTTGTACGAGTGGTACATCCAGCAAGGATGGACAGATCGCATTCTTGCTATCGATTCTCCCCACGTCGTGACCTTCCTTCAGAGTCTCGCCGCGACCAACTACGAACATGCAGATCTCCTGTGCCGCTTTTACACGAACCGCAGTCGCTTCTATGACGCTGCCGAGGTCCAGAGTCAGCTCGCAAACTCTGACTTCTCCATTGGCATCAAGGAGCGAATCAAGCTCCTCAGCATGGCCAAGGCCAACGCGAACGTTTCGACTGTTGGGGTCAGCCGACAGCAACAACAAATGCTCAACCACGGTGTCTCTGAACTCCTGGACATCGCTAATATTCAGGATGACCTGCTGGAGCGTCTTTTGGCAGATGACAGGTTGGACGAGCAGAGGAAAGAAGAAATTGAGCAAGCCCTCAACGGGAAGATTCAAGATCTTTCAGTGGTATGTATCGGCAATGTTGAAACTGGTTTCCTGGGATCAATGCTAACTGTGCTGTAGCTTTTTAATGAATATGCTGATCAAGCTGGCTATTATGACCTTTGCTTGCTTATTTACCACACTGCTGACTACCGCAATTCCACGACGATCTTTGGAACTTGGAGCAACCTTATCCAACAGGTCCATGACGATGTGTCGGAGTTGCAAGAGAACCCACAGCCAAACACCCCGCCGCCACCAATGCCTTACGAGGCTGTGGCCTCCAGAATCCAGAACATTGCTCACCGCACTTCGCTCGATAGCTTTGTGTTCCCTATTGCAACTTTGCTTCCTGAAGTGTGCCGTTACGCCGCTACCTGCCAGCAGGATGGGCGGATTGGTGCTGATGCTTCCTGGCCTGCTCAGCTTTTCCTTACACTAGGAGTTTCTCATGATATCATTGTACGAGTCCTCGAGAATGTCTTTGATACCCAGGATTATGGTTTCAGCGGCGCCTCTCGGTACCGCATCATTGAACTGATTGCATACGTCGTTAACGATTGGATTGCCGAGGTGCGCCGCCGAGGCGGTGTTGGCAAGGGTGTGTCCATTGGACCCTATGTTGGTGATTTACTGGCGAGGTGCGAGGCTGCCCTTCCCCCCCCAGGCCACGGCAGCAACCCAGGGGGCGCGGACCTGGCAGACATTCGCAGAGTGCTCAGGACAGTACAGAGGGAGGTTGCCGGCCTGGTAGAGCGAGTCCCAACTGGAAGCTTGCGGTTCGCATAGAGATTCAACAAATCGGTGGCGTATATATAAAAGACGGTCCACCAGCTGATGGCGGGATGGATTTTGTTTCGGTGGTTTGTATCTTGATATTATTTTGGTAAAGCGGACTACAGAGGGGTAGATAGAACGAACAAGGAGGAGGCATTGAGTGATGGCGCCTTTGGCGACGGAAGGGTTTCACTTTTTTTTTTATATTAATCCTTGGCTGGTTGCTTTCTCTTGGTCGTGTAATATAATGGCCTGACGGTGTATCATCTTGAAGCGAATAACTAAGACTGGATAAAAGACGAAAGCAAGGATTTGCAGCACGACCCTTCGGTTATTTTCCCCCTTCCACCATTACTAATGAGCAGGTTTCCATTCCCTGAATACGACATGAACATATATTTGTAAGATGTATTTACTGGGCAGCTCCTCGGCGACTTTTGGTGTGATGCAGGCATCAAGGTTCGCGAGCTGGAATCCGGAGACATTTCGGGCACTAGAGCAACGACAGAATATATTATATATTGGAGCGTGAAGGCCATGGGAATAGCACGTAAGTCGTGCTGCATGCGATTTAAACAATAAGTTTCAATAATTCAACCATTTATATTTAGAGCATTCAACGTGCTTTGCCCGAGAACAGAACCATGGCCCAGCCACAGACCGTCGCCCAGGCCGCCAAGGGCCTCGCCACCCTCTTCAAGGCGGGCATGTCGACCGGCCACGAGCAGCTGCTCATCATCACCAAGACCATCATGCCCCTGATCGCGAGCCCCCTCCTGCAGCAGATGGGGCTCGGCGAGGGGACGACTCAGCCGTTCGCGCTGCTGGACGGGGCGTGCGGGAGCGGCGTGGTCACGCAGGAGGTGCAGAGGACGGTGCCGCGGGCGGTTCTGGAGGGGAGCTCGATCGTCGCGAGCGACTCGTCGGAGGCGTTGGTTGACTTGGTGAGGACGAGGGTGGAGGCTGAGGGGTGGGTTAACACGGAGGTGAAGGTGCTGGATGCAATGGTGAGTTGGTAATGGTATTCTCAAACAGGCGGGAACCGTGGTATCTAATTGCGACTACAGGATACGAAACTTGCGGAGAATTCATTTAGCCATGTTGCGCTTGGGTTGGCTCTTCATTTGATACCTAAGCCGGATGATGTGCTCAAAGGTAAGCAAGAGAGAACACGGGAGAGGTTGTATCTAGTGATGGTGGCTAACGGGCTTGATAGACTGCAGGCGCATCTTAAAGCCGGGTGGCATCTTCGGCGCAACGACATTCAATAATAGCGTTGAGGAGAAGCGTTTCTGGCAGCCGGTTCTGCGCGCTGCGTTCAAGACGTTCCCGTTCGAGGCGCCCTTCCCCGACGAGATACCGATGCAGACGCACACCTCGGGCAAGTGGACGAGCAGGGACTGGGTGGAGGAGCATCTCAGGTCACAGGAAGGGTTCGGCAATGTGGAGGTGAGGCTGGTGCCCGGGACATATCACCTGCAGAGCGGGGACGAGTTCGTGACGGCGTTTGGGATGATGATCTCGTGGGTGATGAACTCATGGTGGAGCGAGGAGCAGAGGGCTGCACGCCCGCTTGAGGAGGTCAAGGAGCTGGTGAAGAAGTATCTGGATGAGAAGTATGGGGGCAAGGGGTGGGATATTAGTTGGGAGAATCTGGTGATGACGGCAACAGTTGAGTGAGGAGTTTCAGTTGTCTGAAGAACCTGGTTCAAGCGAAGTAGATTCTTACGTAGATGGGTTGCCAGTCTCACAGCAAGTCGAGTGAAGAATCCAAGGGTTTGTCCTGTAAATGTAGATTGTAATAACCCTCTTGAAGTTGATTCCTACATGTTTTACAACCACTGAATACAGGAACCCCAAGTGTCTCGGCTGGACTAAGTTATGTTGCTGTCCCAGACTCCTGAGAGACGCGACACGTGATTGATGCAGGGGCACTGTGCGCTAGCATTGATGTCAGCCACAGGGGTCTACAGGGGACCAAGTACTGTAGAGCCCCTGGCGCGCACCTCTCTGGCCCTCGCTTGGGGCTCTGATTGGGGGGCAGTTTGATGGCAATCGCTGACATTTGGAACGTGGCTATTGGGATTTTGACCACGGTGGTGGCAGGCAATGATTTGAGATTGCCTACCTGTCTTCATTCCTCTATCACATCGTCCCCCGCGTGAGTGTCCTCGAGGTCCGACTTGGTCTTTGCCATTGATCCTCCTGCCACCAGATCGCAGAGAGCATGGTCGTCGCATAGGTTCTCCAACCTCCACCTCCTGAACCGTCCGCCGAGATGCTCGCTGCCGCTCTCGCGCTCGTCCTGGGCGCCCTGACGTCCGCCGCCGCCGCCGTCCACGAAGATGCGCTCCCCTCGTATACCTACGGCGCGCCAATCCACGTCGAGTGCATGAACCGAAGCTCGTATGTCCTCCCCCGCCCTTGAGCCGAGCAATCCGCCCCCAAAACCAAGCCCCGCAGCGAAACAGTCACCCAACTAACACCGAGGATCGCAGGGAAACGGGTGAGCACCTCGAAAACGACAACCACGAGATCCAATGGATCCCCTTCCCGACGTGCAACGAGACCGGCAAGCCCCTCGAGTTCCACTACGGCACCGAGGGCGAGGTCAATTGCACCATCGACTTCGTCACCGACCCCTTCTTCCACCTGCTCGAGTTCTACATCCACAGCGACGCGCCCCTGGCCTGCCGCCTCCCGTCCCGCCCAAAATCCCACGTCGAGATCATCGGCGAGGCTCCCCCCGAGCAGGAGTTCATCCCCCTCGTCTTCGCCCTCGCGGGAACCCTCCAGCTGAGCCACATGCACATCAGCACCCACCTCAACGTCCTCCTGCACAGCACGCCCAAACACCACATACGCCCCCACGACAGCGGCGTCCTCGACTCTGGCGTCGCGTACAGCACCAGCCCCCTGAGCCACATGGCCGGCTCCTTCACGCGGAAGCTGGTCATCGGGGACCCCTTACCGCTCAGCTTTTCTGTTAGGTGGTTCCCCACGCCCCATCTGCCCAAGACCGAGGGGCGCGTCGAGTGGCAGGGGCTGGGCGGGCACATCTACGCCAGCACCGTCTTCTACAGTCTTGTTTCCTTCCTGGCCGGGTCGGTCGCCGCGGGCCTGTACACCCTCGGGGTCGTCCTGCCCAGGAGGCTCCAGGGCCGTGCGATGGGCGGCGCGACGCCGTTGGGCCATGGCTTGCATAGTCCTGCGCTAGGCAACGGCTGGGGGTACGCAAAGTCTAAGTCCAAGCGGATGGATTAAGTTTTCTCGACTGGGTGGGAGAAAAGTATCGTGGCATTAGGGGAGGGAGCAAAATTAGCATGTTTTTACCATTAATGTGTGTCTTTTACGGAGTTCTTGGGAGTAGAGATGGGGATATGTATTTGAAGTGTATAAATGATCATTCTCATTTTCATGTTAGCTCGCTGTGGCTCTATGGGAGGTGTATCTTATGTGTTAAAGTGTCATCCGGAGAGAATATACCATAGCCAAAAATCGGTTTTATACATGGCTGCTGGATTTCCCTTCCTGTGACCGGCTTTGTGCATTTACTGACTCTTGACCTTCTTCTCGAGGTTGCTGATACGGGCGAGTATGCGAAAGTGCATGTCAACAGCCATGAGAACAGCTGAAGAGCTCAAAATTGTGGTTAGATAACACACACTAGTACCTAAGAAAGGGATAGAGTAACTCACGTATCAAAGTAAAGGGGAAGTAAGTCCCCCACAGCAGCGACGCCTTCTTCGCCGGGTCCAGCGCCTCGGCGCCGAGCTGGGCGATGTGGTAGCAGGACACCGCGGCGCCAAAGCCGGTGGTGCACCCGAACGCGATGCCGGCGAGCTCGGTGCGGGGGTCTGTAGTCGTTAAAGAGGCGAGCTTGTAGGCGAGGTAGGCGCACAGGGGCAGCTGGACGAGCGCCTCGATGAGGATGCAGGCCTGGAACCAGGGCTCGTGGGCGGGCTCGGCGAAGAAGGGGTCACCGGAGTAGGAGGTGTAGGCGGCCTTGAGGGAGACGAGGAAGTGGAGGGGGCTGGAGGGGGATTCCCAGAGGGCTTTGGGGTAGAATTGGACGAGGTCGAGGGCTGGAGAAAGGGGGTGTGTGTGTTAGTGAGGCAGGCGGTGGTGATGAGTTTTGGTGATTGTGAGGGGTTAGATCGTACCTAGCATCCCAAAGAGCTGGGTCCCTACGATGAAGAGGTAGACCTTGTCGAGATACCGCGCAATGGCCATTTTTGCTGTTGTGGTGGAGGCTGGATGAAGAAGGTTTGTTTGCTTTGGCTCTGTCTGGCCTTGTCATCAATTGGGTTAGTTCACACGCGTTGGAGATCAGATCTCCTGGTGGGCCTCACTGGTGTGTCGGGATGTCTGTTTAGTGGGTGATTGGCTTGGCCAACTGGTTTCACTCAGATTGCGGAGAGGTCGAAAGGCAAGACAACCAGATTTTCAGACGTGTCAGCCCAATCTTTTTGAGATGTCGACGGTGCGCGGGGTTGGGCCAAGCCACAGTCGACACCGCCCCCTGTCATCTGTCATGGCTCTTCTCAGCCATACGTGAATATGTCTTGAATCAACAACAGCCATACCTAAGTGTATCGTATATCAACAACAGCCAAAACGTTGCAGTGAGAAATACCACAATGGCCAACCCCGACCAATCACCCGCTCAAGGGTTCCCTCAACAGCCTAAAAAGCTGTTCATCCAGCTATCAGGCGCCCCGGGAGCCGGCAAGTCCACCATGGCCGAGCTGCTGAGACACCCCACCGGCGCCGTGGTGCTGGACCACGACATCATCAGGTCCGCCTTACTATCCGGCAACGAGATCGCCTTCCAGGACGCCGCCAAGTCGGCCTACCGCCTGAACTGGGCGCTGGCCGAGTCCATCCTGAAGCAAGGGTTCAGCCTTATCATTGATAGCACCTGCAACTACCGGGAGATCCTGGACAGGGGGATTGAGCTCGCCAGGCTGCACGGGTGCGAGTACTGGTACGTCGAGTGCAGGGTCACCGACATTGAGCTGCTGGACGGGAGGCTGCGTGCGAGGACGCCGATGCGGAGCCAGAGGACGGGCGTGGACCGCGCGCCGGTTGATGCCACGGCCGCCGAGTATAGTGATGCGAGGGCGAGGTTCATGCGCTGGGTGGACAGCCCGGCGCGGCCTGGGGAGGGCGACGGGGTGAATTCGATTACTGTTGATGCGACAGCTAACCCGGAGGAGAGGCGGGATGAGATTCTTGCCAAGATATTCTCATCTTAGTGAAGCGACGTCGTAAGAGACGTGATAGCCCAGAGGCCAGAATCTGACAGGTTATCTGCGAATCTCGAATCGTGCCTCATGGGCGAGAACTAGGTTATGAAGAAAATTGGTATGAAACAACGATTTCTGTTAGCAGCGACGTGGAGAAAGAGGTGCACACGAAGAAAGTACTGCGAAACTTGGGAGATGGTTATTGCGTGCTACAAACAGACTTTCTTTTGAGCAACCCACAGCCTGGACAATTATAGACGGGATATAGACCAGGTAGATAAAAAAAAAAAAGGGATTTTTGTTAAAACCCAAACACCTTGCTAGTAAACCCAGGGAACGCAAACAAATGAAATGAAACCCCCCAATATAAATCATGATATCATCATCGTTGCGCCGTAGGTATCATCCGGGTACGCCAGACCGTCAACGGTCATCCATCAGCTCCTAGAACCAAAACCACGAGTCTCATCCCATCCCATCATTGCAGCCGTCAGATGGACGATGGGACGAGGGAAGAGGAATAATTAAAAGGGAAAATGTGAGCCCCTCACACATTGGACTCGGCCACAATCGTCGACGCGGGGCGGTACTGCTGCGGCGGCATCTGATCCTCCGCGGCCCTCAGCTCCGTCAGCCAGGCGTCGACCCTGCGCTGCTTATCCTCGGAGACCTGCAGTCCGTAGGCGTAGTTGGCGGCCCCGCCATACGCAACATAGACGTTCCCGCCGCCGTGGCCCTGGTAGTCGGGGCAGTCGTCCTCGCTCATGCTGTAGAGGGTGAGGTGCTCGAGGATGGCGAGGACGGCGACGGTGACGATCTCGGGGAGGGGGCTGCGGTTGTCGTGCCAGTCGCAGGCGGCGGAGAAGATGAGGATGAAGGTGTCCATGGAGTCGACGAGGAGGTTGAAGAGGAGGGCGCGGCTGGTCTCGCGGCGCGAACCGCGGTCGGCGGTCCAGAGCAGGGCGCCCAGGACGAGGTCGCGCGAGGCGAGGAGGCTGGCCATCATGAAGGCCGGCCCCGTGGCGGGGATCTCGAAGCTGGCGAGGCCGAGGGCGGGCCAGGCGACGAGGAGGAGGGCGCGGAGGAGGCGGGTGACGCAGAAGAGGTAGATGGCGAACAGTTGCGGCGCCGAGAGCTTGAAGGGGGCCGGGGAAGCGGGCGCGGCGCGGGTGGCCCTGAGGAGGGGGATGGTTGGGTCGTTGTTGAGGTCCATGATGCGCGGGTTGGTGGTAGACGAAGTAATTAGGAGGAGAGTTGATGGGATAGGTGGATGAGCGGATATCAGGCTGGTAAGTGGAAGCAATCGCAGCTGTTGGCGGTTGCCCGCACTCGAGAAGATGTGGCGATGGTGGTGATAGTGACAAAGCGGCAGGACTAGCTGCAGACAATGCAGTCACAAATGGTCGGCAGGTTGATTGAGCCCGAATGTACTGGCCCAATTCCAGAGCAAGGGGTACAAGTATATGGACAAAGTCTAATCGTCGTGGACAGCATGTAAAGCAGGTATATCAGTCGCACTGGGCAGGGGCTGGAAGCTCTCTTCCTTTTTTGTTCACGATACGATGGTGCAGTGCAGTAGGTGCAGGGATGCCGCGCGGAGCCGCCGGGGGCATCAACAGTGATTGTCAACTGACATGACGAGTTTTAACCTCTTGGGACCAGGTCCAGAAAAAAAAATTGGGCAGTGGGAGCGCAGACGGTTGTCAGGAGGGCGAGATGGGGGGAGCAGGCAAGAAATATCTCTCGCCAAGCCGATCTGCGAGTGAAGGGGCAACTGGCTGCCTCTCCATTCACACACACAGCCGGCGGTCAAAGCAGACGAAGATGCCCAGTCCTCTTTCCGAGTCCTCGCAGTTCGCTATAGTTCTCGAGGCTGGTGCAGAGTGTCCAGATCGGGATGGTGATGAGCAGCAGGAGGGTGTCGGAGGCAGGCCCTTGCACACTATGCGAGAAAGAATGCAACGGTCCAATGCGGTGGGCTTTGCTGGGCGACCTTATCGCGTCGGAAGTCGTCCAGGCCAGTCCAAGACATGGATGGCTCGATGGGACATGGGCTGGCCACTAACAGGCCGGAGTGGTGTGATGGAGGTGGCTGGCCTGAGTGGTGCGAGCTGCCGATCTCAAACGCATCCACCAAGAGCTGCATGCGGTCGTGCATCCAGCTTATTAGCCTGGCGTCCATTCATAGACTCGTGCATGCTGGTGGGTGGGTGGATGGTCGATGGCCAGAAGCATCGCGCCGGGATGGGCGATGAGGGTGGTGTCGATGAGAGTCGCCTCGTCCACGCGTTTGCCTCCCACCGTGAACTGTGAATTACCCAGCTTGAGGCAGTGATGATGAAGCTTCGGAAGATCACTGCATTTGCGGCGAGAGACTGGCTGCTGGCGGTGGCGGCTTAGGATACACTCAGACGCAGTGCAATGGAGCTGCTGACATGACTGACGATCGATCGAGAGCTTTAGACCCGATGAATCATGACTACATGTCTGCTGTGTCTTCACTTGACCGCAAGTTTCGCTGCTCTTCCCCTCAACCCCTCCAGCTCCCCCAGCAAATCCATCCAGACGCTAATTCCATCGACTGTCGCTAGTCACCCTGCTTTTGCTCTCTTCTTCCCCGACACCAGCCTCTCACTGCGTCCGACCCTACACCATCCACTCCCTCAATTGCCTTTCTCTTGTCTCTCGCTCGCAGGCAGGGCACCAATCAGTCGCAATGGCCCGCCATGCACTGCAACTGCTCCCTTCCGCCTGCGACGAGGGAAGGGTTGCGACCGGTGTGCGAGTGTGTGGTTCGCGCCCGCCTATTGCTCAGTTTGCCCTGCTCAATCCAAGACATTTCATGGATGCTGAAGCGAGAAGTGCATGCAGCTATGCACAAGCGTAACATGCAGCAACCACACCACACTGAGTCTACACATACATGATACATGCTTGTAGATTACTGCACTTCATACCACCTCGTCTGGCATACAGGTGACCATCCTGGCCTGCAGGGAGTCCAGGGACCACACAAAGTGGCGGATTCCCATGTTTCGCCTGCCCGGATTGCCATACCTGGATTCTCCCTGGCCCTGCGAATGGACGCTCGCTCGGAGCTTTGGCGCCGGTTCGCAGACTTTTCCTTTGCATCGCCATCATCTTATCTCTGGCGCTTGTTATGTGGGCAATCGCCTGACCCAACCTGATCTGACCACCGGCCAGTCACCACTTCTCGATTGCATCGCCTTATCATTCCTTCAGATTTCGCCATCACATCATTTCCCCACGCGCATGTCACGCAGCCGTCTGAATCCCGCCGTGATTTTCTGCTTACCGCGAGAAGCAGGTTCCGGCCGAGATGTCTCACCGGATTCACGCCAGCCCTCGTCCGCTCCGTCAGCCCTGCTGCCACCCTGCCTTGAACCTCGGATTCGTATTTTATACTCTATGCTGTGTAGCCTGCGGCAGACTAACCATGTCTGTGCAGTAAGTGAGCCCAATTGTGCATGGCGCCGATGGTGACAATGGACATTGCAACGCCTCCCACCATGGCGTTGTTACTGTTTGATTTGGCGCCCATGGAGCTCCCCAAAAGTACAACTAAAGTCTGAAACTTTAAAGTAGTGAGGCATGATCCCCAGACGAAATGTTCATGTCACCCAACCTCTAGAATTCGAATCTGACGTTCTGGTCCCACTATAACGGATCGTGGTTTTGTTCTAGCCGTTGCATATTTTTAAAATGCAGCTCTCTCCAATTTCCCCTAACTTTAGACAAGCTTAGTGGGTCTTGAATATCTAAATGGAGATTCCACATATGCTATAGGCTCCAAGATTATTCAATGGCTTAGGGTTCCAGCCGACTTCATATAAATCTTTGTTCAGTCCATCGGAGAATTGGCCCTTGTCTCACATTGTGAAGTGCAAAAAGGGAGGTTTTATTCCCATGCTATCTAGCACCAACAGCTTTCCCAGCAAATACTGAACCTAATCTGTCCTTTGTTACGCTCAACCTTGGAGTTGACGAATCATCGCATCCTCACTTTCACACCAGCAACAGAGCTGGCTACATTGAATCTCTGGACCGTTTGCTTCTAGACAGATAAGACATTAATCAACTAGGACTTCCCGCAGTGCGATTCTTGTTCTGCTGAGGAAAAAATAAACATACAACAGCCAGGATTCGCTGGTCGTCACCGAACCAGCTACTATTTGGCCCCTTACTAGCTTAACGCTCGGAGATCAAACGGGATCCAGTGCTCTCTAGCAGGTATGGTCGTATGTGGTTGAGAGAGGATGCGATTTGGTTTATAAATCATAGTGATGGCAGGCGAGGACCGTTGAAGCTACATGTACAGTATCGATAGATCTCCACCCAAGTCCGGACAGCCCCTATTAGGAAGAGACATGATTGATCAGATGAGATAGAAGCCAACTGTGCCAGCTCTTTTCATGGGTGGCCACACACCAACCCCTCATCTTGAGATGGTTGTGTGGTGGTGAGCTATCCTAGCCAGGGTTGTCGTCTACTTGCTCGTCTTAGGCCTGGCTGTCGCCCTTTATTATCGGTTTGCGACACGCCGGGCCCCTAGACTGTATTGGCTTCCATAGAATGGCACGCAGAGGCAGTCCAACGGTCTCAACTACTTCAATCTGCCATGCCGCCTTATATATGTGCGCTGGCGTGCTTTGTGCCGTCGGTCTTATGGGATATGTTTTCGCAAATGCAGCACGTAGCTGATAGATGGCGAGCTTGACATTAAATAAGGCTTGAGCGAAAGAGATGTCTTTCGGCGAGGGTGGTTTGCGTCTTAGCGTGCATTGTTACTGGCGATTTGACAGGATTTCTTGCGGAGACTTGGCTAGGAATACTGGTATTTGCATCAGCATAGGTTGCTTACTCTGGACGGAGGAAATGTTATCTATCAAGAATCGGTGAGAGAGGCGATATTAACCACTAAATGCTGTATTTATCTCATAGAAGGAACGAATCACTTAATTTGGTGCTTCAAATCTATGGTAGAGGGTGTGAATCAACTGGCTGAGCTACGTCTGGGGTTTCGGACTCTGAATACGGAGCAACCAGACCCTTGTATGGCTCCAGAACTCCCCTTTCTATGAATCGACCTTTAACCGCCACGAACCAAATAGCTTCGCTCTCATCCCTAACTTCCAAATTATAGTCCCAAAAGTCGTGCGAAATCAACACCTCTCTGCTCTTATGGTAACGAGCAACCAGCGATTCGTCCGTTGGTTGACCTAGAGGTCGATATTGACCTGGACTTAGAGGCATCGGGCCGATTGCAGTTTGAATCGGGGCTATGAACTCGATGTTTTCCGCCGAGTCTACCAGGAAAGTAGAGCAGGGAGTTACCGGGAAATTCGCGCCTCCTGTTGGGCGTTCTCTCCGCCAGACTAAGAATGAGTAGTTTCCTGTTCGCCCCCCTTCAGGGAAGCTCACAAAAATCAGTTGTTTGGAGTTTTGATCATCGCTCCATATTCCCTGATGGATTTCGATGACATAGTCATCATCACCTTCGGATTCCATTGCAATGGGCAGTGTTATGATGATTGAATCTGGTCTGGTTCCTTCTGGAATAGTCTTAGCGAATGGATGAGAGAAATGTCGGATTTATTGAGGTTGAGTTATCTTTTTTCTAGGTATTTATAAAAGTTGATAAGGGGCCTTTCACAATAAGAGATTAAAATTTGTATCGTACAAGAACAATGGTGTACCTCACGCAACAGTCATTCTTAGTTGAATTCATTCATCAGTACTCCTCAGGAGAGAAAGGGTCGTTGTATGCCGAAAGGGAACAAGCTTGAACTCTCATGCAAATAAAAATGAGAATGAATGGCCTATCTGTTCACTGTTTACGTACCTGTTGAATATATGAATCATCGTGCGGACTTTTTTTTAATTACAATTAAGCATACCGCTCTCCTATGACTATCTTCTTTGTCACCACACCCTTTCGATATCTTGACTAGCTTGATAAAAAAAAAAAAGCTGTGACCTCTGAAAACGACAATGACGCAGATTGATTCAAAGCCGTTCGATTTTCCTTAGCAGTCTGCCCGCAACGGCTTCAGTCTCGCCTCCTGCAATGAGCATCACAGAACACATATTTATCGAAACGATACACAATGGAAGTTATAAGCGAAAAAAAAAGAGGAGAAGTAGTATTGCGAATATGACAAAGGATGCTACTTTTTTAGCGAAAACGTAGCCCGCATCTGCTCCTCGAAGCTTGAGGAGGCCATTCCTGGGAATATGAGCCTTGACTTAATCTGCTTGACCTTGATCATTTGATCCTGCCCTTCACATCTCACTCGTGAGGACCTCCAGCTTTCAGTGCGCCAAGTATGTAACAATCAAGCTTCATACTATCATATGAGTCATACCTCGAGAGATTCAAACTAGCATAATGGTGGTTCTCCCCCTTAAGAGATCAAAAACTAGGTAAGAGAGGCCTTCACGCTCTCTAAAGCCTGCTTGAAACCGCGAAGCCTGCTAGCCACTCCCAGCTCCTCTAGAGAAATGACATGTCCGGGCTCTATTCGGTGCCAATCAGGGAACTCTTCACTCCATCTCAACTGTGCTGCAATTTCCAAGCCACCGACCCCCCAAATCGTCTCTATTGTGCTGTCAGGGACACCGACGTAGACGGCTCTTGACCCGGAAACACTCTCCCAGACTCGAACTGCATCCGAAATCTTGATGTAGTCGGTGATGACGATGGCAACTTTGTTGAAGGCTTTTGCACCAGCCTCCAAGATGGCCTCCACCACGACACCCACGTTGTGTTGAACGTCGCCGGCAATAGGAAGAACGGCATCCTCTTTGCTGGGCTGGATCCATATGTACGCCCCTGATTGGTTCTAATATAATGATATGAGATGAATTAGCCTCACTTATATAGAATTTGAGAGTATTCTATGAACATGATTAAACTCTTAGACGGAAATTGAGCGTAGAAATTGAACGTACCACAGGAATCAGCTTCATCAGCGGGCTAAAGGCCATGTTGGACGGATACCATCCGACCCAAATTCGAGTCATCTTGGCGGCCAAGCTCGGGAGTTTCCCTTGGATGTGCTGATAGGACTCATGCTTGAAGTCAAAGTGTGGAACCGGCAGTCTACCGTGAGACGAAATCTTGGCGGGAGGAAGTGAGCTCATGATATAATGCTTGAGAGTTGGTATCTTCGATGCGGCATTGGCAATGTTAATCTGCTGCTGTTTCTCAATTTGGCCAGCGACACACTGACCCCTTTGCATCACGACATTCCTACTCGCAACGGTCAAGAGCAATGTATCATAAGTAGTGTATTGTTTCAAGGACTTACCAATCAAAATTTGTAAGAGCAAAAATGGCCCTTGTTCCCTAAACTATCGTCTTAGCTGGCTTGTTATGAGTTTGCTTTGTACCTCACTCACCTCAAATGCTTTGATGAGAGAGGTTTCATCATCGGCATCTCCTGTGACCACCTCAACACCCTGTATCACATATCTCATCAGTATTTGTTACTTGGTTGTCTCGCGAACTGTATCGAATTCTCACCATTGCAATGAGCTTCTTGGAAGCATCACTCTCTGGATTCCTTGTAACGGCGCGGACTTTCCAGCTTGGGTTCCCATGTAGGGCGGCCACTACAGAGCCGCCCTGAGATCCAGTGGCGCCCAGGACGGTGATTACAGACATGAGTGCTCTCAGGTGGTTCTCAAGATGCAAAAGAGAGTGTAAGCAATTACAGCATCGTAATATTCCATAGGTAATCTAGATCACACTGACATTTTTATACTCTTCTACTACGCCAAGACATATCGCATTGACAACAACCAATCACCTGGATCGTGACATTCCAACACTGCCGCGCGCAAGACGAATTCAGTAATTGACATCAATTCCAAATACAAAACTCCAAATGCGGGGTTTGGAGAACAGCGAGAATTACGTGGAAGATCACGTTCGATTACTACCCTCTTTAGATTTAACAAGGCATGCTGATGTGTAATGCGCGTCGGTCTCGGCCTCGGCATTATGCAGAGTGCCGAGCTCGCTCCAACGTGAACACAGAGTAGAATCATGAGGAATTATTGGCTCATGTCACATTTAAATAACTGGACCATATCTTGGAAGACCTAGGTGGCTCGCCAGAGCTCACGCCATTTACGAATTGGCAATTTGATACAAGACCAAACACCGTTGAAAGACAACATCAGCTTCTCACGCAGGTAAAAATTTGCCTATATCCTCTTCCAACAACCTCGAATCTTCACAATGTACACGACCGATTAGCAATCGAAAAAAGGGACATGTATGAGGAAGTGATCACTTCTGTCAAATGGGATTAAGATACAGGGTAGCTGGTAGATTGCGGACAGAGTCTTATTGAGTAGGGTAGTTGATATGCCTTGGTAGTGCAGTAGAACCTCAAAAAAGAATTCTGAAAAAATGCAAAAAAATATATAACAGCCGGTATTCGCTGGTCGTTACTAACCTAACTACTAATCAGCCCCTTATCCGTTTAACTAGGTAAGAGCGAATAGGATCCCTTATATTTTAATAGTAATACTATTTTCTGGATAATCTATAGAAAGAGCTAGCTATTTCCCTACTACTAGAGCTAAATAATAATTATTTATTAGCTAACTAGAGTTAGAACTATTAATATCTCCTACTAAATATCTAGTTTAAGCTAATTATCTATTTTATATATTATAACTTTTTAAATTTTATTTTTTATCTTTTTATAAAAAGAAAAATTATATTAGAATTAGCCTTAGATATAATACTATATAGATATAATATTATAAATAAAGATCTCTATAATAGATTATATAGTTATATATATTTTACTATCTAAAGAATAAAAGTAATAGAAGTATTATATTCCTATTATAAAATAAGAATAGATTACTAAGAGTAATATACTTTTTATACTTTATAATTATTATATATATATAATTATTTTATTAAATAGAATATTTCTTTAGATAGTTATTAATATAATTATCTATATATCTATTATTACTAGCTCTATAATACTTATATATTAATAAATAATTTATATTATATAGTTTAAAATAATCTAATTATACTATTTAGAATAATACTTTAATTAGTTTAACTCTAATTTATTCTAGATTCTATTTAGTATAAATTATCTAATTATTATATATTAATAACTCTTATTTAATTAATTATTTTATCTTAATTACTATATAATATTAAAAGATAAAATAGTTTCTATTAAACTACTAAATAATATTCTATAAGCTCTAATAGCTTAAGAAATTATATAATAACTTATAGTTTAAATTAAATAACTTAAGAAGAAAAAGATAAAAAATAAAGAAAAGATAATATAATTAATCTCTTTAGAACTCTTTTTAAATAATATTAATAAACTAGAAAAATTTAAAATCTAATTTTAAATATATTTTAAATTCTTTCTAATTAAGCTAGTAATAGATAAAAATAAAGTTAGATTTATAGAAATATATCTTAATAGTATTATAGAATAATAGTTCTAGATCTATTTTAAGAACTAGTATAATAATAAAGTTATATTAAGCTTATAGAATTAGAAAATAATTAATACTTTTATTAATTATAAGAACTTCTAAACTTTATTTATTTTAACTTTTAATTAAGTAAATAAGAAATAATAAGTTATTAAAGATCTTAAAAATCTATAATAAATAGAACTAGTATTAGAATATACTACTAAGTTTAGAAAAATCTTAATTTAATTAAATTAGAATAATAGCTCTCTTAAAGCTATATTTTATAATAAACTTAAAAAAAAAGTTAAAAATTAACTTTTTAAAATAAATAAATCTAAAGATCTATTAGAATATATAGTAAATACTATATAGATTAATAACTATCTATATAAAAAAAAATAATAATAATATAAATACTATTAAATTATATTTTAAATAATAGTAATTATAGAAAGAAAAAATATAAATTTAATATTTATATAAATAATCTTTATTTATAAATAATAAGAAAAATAATAATAAAGAAGAATTAGAAATTATTTTTATTAATAAATAAAAATAGAATAGAATATATAATAAATAAAATATATTATTATTAATAAATAAACTTTAAAAATAAATTAATTAAATAAAAAATAATCTAAATTATTTATAATAGAGCTATAGTATAGTAAAATATTAATAATAGATTAAAGAACTTTAAAAGCTATAGAAATAGAAAGCTCTATATATATTTTTATAAAAATAGAGATTAAGAGAAATTAGCTTATAATATTTATTAATTATAGAATATAGAAAAATTATATTTTACTAATAATAATTAATTAACTCTATTTATTATAAAAAAAAAAAGAAGAAATCTATATAGTTATAAATATTAAAGATTTAAAATTTAAATATAATAATAAAATTATTAACTTTAAAACTAATTATTTTATAATTAAAATCTAAAAAAAGAAATTTAATATTATTTATAATCTAATATTATTAGAAATCTATAAAATTATATTAGAATTATTATAATTTTAAAATATAAATTTATTAATTAATTAGTATACTAGTTAGATAGAGTAAAGAGATATTTTTATATATTAATATTAGGATTAATAAAAATTAAAATTTTATTAGATATTAAAAAATATATATTTATTTCTTAATATTTAAAGATATTATTATAAAAAACTATAATAACTTATAATAATAAATAAATATAGAAATATTAATTTTAATAATATTATAATTTAATAATATAAGGAATTTATTATAATAAGAACTAAGATAAATAATATAAATCTTAGATTAAATATAGAAATAAGAATAGCTTTTAAATATAGATTTAATACTTATTAATTAGAAATAATTAATAAAAGAATAATAATAAAAATAAAAAATTAAGTATAATTAATAGTAAAAAAAATAGAGAAACTATTATTAAAACTATTTAATATAGAGATCTAGAAATAGAGCTAAATAAGTAATTAATAAAAAGCTTAATAGAATAAGAAAAAAAATATTTAATATAAATACTAGTAAAAAAAATATTTAAAATAGAAAGAATATTTTAAGAATATTCTATAAAAATATAATTATTTTAAAAAGATATTATTTATAAAAGAACTTAAAATAGAGCTATTAGAATATAACTAATAGAATTATAAAATCTTTATTATTAAAAAAGAAAAATCTAATTTCTATAAATTATATAATCTTATAGAATCTTAATTATAAATACTTTATAAATATATTAATAATATATTAATAAAAGATTATATATAATTATTAACTTTATCTATAGAATATTCTATAATATTTATATTAAAGAAAAATAATAAACTTTATTTAGTTATTAATTATTAATAATTAAATAAAATTATATAAAAAGATAGAATATTCTTATTACTAATAATTAAGCTTAGAAATTAATTATAGAATAAATAATAGTTTATAATATTAGATCTAAAGAGAGTTTATAATCTAATATAAATTAAAAAAGAAAATAAATAGAAAATAATATTTAGAATAAAATTTAGTTTTTATAAGTATTTTATTATACTCTTTAAACTAATAAATATATCTATAATATTCTAATAAATAATTAATTAAATACTTTAGAAATATCTTAATATTTTTATAGTTATTTATCTTAATAATATTTTAATTTTCTCTAATAATCTGAAAATATATAAGAAGTATATATACTAAGTTTTAAAAAAACTAGAAAAAATAAAACTTTTTATAAAACTAAAAAAAAGTTTTTTCTATATATAAGAAATTAATTTCTTAGAATATACTATTTAACTAAATAAAATATAGATAGAATAAAGTAGGATTATTATAATTAGAAAATAGAAAGTATTAAAATCTATTAAAAAAATATAAGCTTTTCTTAGATTTACTAATTATTATTAATAATTTATTAAGAATTATAGAAAAATTACTATATTTTTATATAATAGTATTAAAAAGAGAATAGAATTCTAATAGAATAATAAATAATAATAAGTATTTAATAAAATAAAGAACTAAATACTTTTAGAATTTATATTATAAATATTTAATTCTATATAAAAAATAGAATTTAAAATAAATATCTTAGACTTTATAATTAATATATAAATTATAAGAATATTTAATACTTTATTATAATTTAATAACTAAATAAAAGATAAATATATTATACTAAATACTTATTTTAATTTAATTATAAAATTATATATTAAAAAGAATTAAAAAATAAAAGAACTAATACTTTTAATTAAAAATCTAAATATAAAAAAGTAGTTTTAAAAATAAATAAATAGCTATTTTTAACTAATAATAAAGAATATTTAGTATAGAAAACCTTAGGAGTTATACTTAAGGAAATAATATATATTAAGATCTAGATAAAGATTATTTCTAGCTTAAAAAAACTATAATAAGATATTAGAATAATACTTATTAAAGAAATCTATAAATATTTACTCTTAAAATATTAAGAAATTAAGAAAATATTTAATAGAATTAGATAATATTATAATTATCTAGATTTATAAAAAAAAGTATAGATTATAGTTTTAAAATATAATACTTATATATAAATTAAATCTATATAATATAAATTCTATAGAGAACTAAAACTAGTTCTAGTATTAAAATAATTATAGTAATTAATATTCTTTAATTATATTATTAAACTATTATTATTAAAAG